CCCTTCTCCTCGGCACTCAGACTGCAGTGGCAAAAGGGTAAAACTGCAATCATTGTTGCGTGGCTTCACCTCATAGGCCTCTCCGATCTTGGTGAACTGTTTGGCTGCATTTGGATCTCCTTCATTTCGGTCAGGATGATATTTTTTTGCCAGCTGAGGGGTGGGAGGAGGAAGTGTAACATTTTTGTTGGATGCAAATTTGTACATTGCACACATCACACCAACGTACAATTGTCGGATTTTTTGCACCATAACACGAACAACAACAAGAGTGTTTGGACTCTGTCCACTGACTTGCTCCCTCGGCTCACCTCACCTCATAGTAGGCCTTCTTGATCTCCTTCTGACTGGCGTTGCGAGGTACACCGAGTGTCTTGTAATAGTCTTCCTTCTGGTCTGACTCTGTGTGAGTGGACATGAAGAGGAGACTCTGAGGTGTGGGTTCCTCACTAGTTCCCGAGTGGAACGTCCTGACGCCGCCACAGGCTCGAAGGAGATATACTGGATGGTGCGCTCTATTTGGAGTGGCTGCGCCCACGTGGTGGAGCGCACTCGGGACTGCTGCTGATGTCGTCGCCGGGGGACAGGACGAGAGAACGCGCCATGCTCTGCAGGACACTGCTAATCTTTTCCACCTCTTCATCCTCGTGACACGGACCTCTAAACCTAGCAGAGAAGCGCCCTTGTGCAGTTTTCTATTTATACGAAAAACAAAGTGCAAAATTGCAGTTTTGGGACATCTCCGACCAAAGACAGAGGAACAAAATGACGTCTTTGCCGCACTCTTCCTCTTCTCAGCGCTCTATTCCTCTCAACAGCGGCCGAGGCGAGTCCAGTAGCGGCTCTGGTCTGCTGGGTCGGTCTTTCCACAGCAGAGACTACATGAGCACGAGTCCCGCGGCGGGGGAAGACGAGCGAGAGGGCTCGGGGAGCCAGCTGGTGACTCCCGTCATAGACGACAGCGAGGTGGAGGGAGAAGGAGGCCGCTACCTGAGCCACACCAGCCTGGAGAGCTTCGGGAAGAGACGGGCTCGCTCTGCAGCCAGCGTCCTGCAGGGGAAGGACGGAGAACTTGAGGAAGCTGATGATGAGGACTGGTTCGATCTTCCCAACCCAAACAGGAGAAAGGAGCACCTCACAAGGTGGACCATCCTACCCATCGTTCCTCCCCCTTTCTGTGTAGCTACCTGTCTTCTCTTTCTTCTTGCAGTGATCTGCAGACGTTTATTCATCTTTTGAAAGGAAATGTTGGCACTGGATTGCTGGCCATGCCACTGGCAGTCAAGAACGCTGGCTACATTGTGAGCATAATAACACCCCCCCGCCCCCTCCCACCAGCATCTTTTCGGCACACCACAAAGAGAACATGATAGACGTACAGCTAGATCAACATCTACAACAAAAACCACCATAATGTAGCGGCTAAGCTCAACATTGCCTCACAATGCCTGAGATGGTACAAAGTCCCTAAGGACACTAGGACATAGTTTATAATACCTAATAACTATAGACTACAGTTACGTACATAGAACCTATACACCACAGTCTACAAAAGAAAAATTTGGGATAAATTCCTGTTGCTCTCTCTCTCTCTCTCTCTCTCTCTCCGCTCAGCTGGGTCCTATAGGACTACTGGTGCTGGGCATTATTGCCACCCACTGCATGCTGCTCCTTGTGAAGTGCTCCCAGCGACTCAGCAGACGGTAAACACAATCTCCTCTGCCTTGCTTCCACAAGAATGGAGATCCACCATGTTCCTAGTTTTAAGCTGCACCATAAGATAAACCTATGTTATATACACACACACAAGAGCTTGCATCAATAAGCAACCTAAGACTTACTTCTCTAGAGTAATTCCGTTTCTTTCAGTTTTTTCGCTATCACAATAATTTACATTTCTCTCTCTCTCTCTCTCTCTCTCTCTCTCCCACCAGACACAATGTGGACTCTCTCAACTATGCCGAGGTCATGAAGTTCGCCATCCTCGAACGAACCTCTCACCCTATCCTGGGAACCATTGGCTTGTAAGACCACACCCATTATCTCACTTAGAGCCTAGTAGGTAGAAATACTCAGGTCAGGAAGAAAGTAACTTTTCTTTTCTTTCGCTCTTGGCCTGTGTATTACTTTAGTTATGAATATTCCAAAAATCGACTTTCTTCTTTTTCGCTCTTGGTCTTTGTATTTCTACCACCTTTAGTCATCCATCTTCCATGGCCACTAAAATATTCCTAGATGTATATACTGTTGTTGTGCAGGTATGGTGTCAACATATTCCTGACGCTGACTCAGTTTGGCTTCTGTGCCATCTATTTCGTCTTCATTGGAGACAGTCTCAGTCGAGTAAGATCATAAATACTGTGTATAGCTTTAAATTTTTTATGACCATCTGCAAAAATTTGCATGGACCACTATTTTGTACAGGGTCTTCATAAGCGATCTGCATTTGTCCATGCAATGCACCACACTTCTAACTCTGTCTTGTCACTTATCCTCTCCCTTCTCTCCACCTTCCCTCTCTTTCTCCTACGTGTAGGTGGCACAAGGAGCATTTGACTTTGAACTGTCCACCAAGGCAGGAATAGCGATCATCCTACCACTAGTCATAGTCTGTTGCTGGATTCGAGAATTGGAAGGTCTCACCATGTTCTCTCTGGTGGCCAACATCTGCATCCTGTTCTCACTGGTGGTCATTCTCTATGAGATGGTGTACCAGCTGTCGGTGGGGGAGGGGGACGAGGAGGCAGCCATCAGGAGAAAGTCTCTCACTGCATTCAATTTAAAATCGCTTCCACTCTACTTTGGCAGTGCCGTGTATGCCTTTGAGGGGATTGGAATGGTAAGTAAGGGGTTAAATATTCAGCGGTCATTAAAGATTGAAATACCAGGGTGCTAAAGATTGACAAACTAAGGGTGAATTATTGGGTGACTGTTTAACATTTTTTAAGCCTACTGAGCTAACCGTGGACAACTGTTAATTATGCAGAAAGTCACATGCCAAAGATTATTTTAGGAAACAATCGTCTGATGTTTTACGAAATTGTTTTTCCCGTCTTGTCAGGTGCTACCTCTGGAGAATAAGATGGAAAAGCCTCATCATTTCAAGAAGATTGTCGTTCTGGGGATGGTTGTTATCGTAGCAACCTACATAGTGTTTGGGTTGCTAGGATATCTGGTGTACGGCGATGGTATCTGTCCATCCATCACTCTTAATCTCCAGAGCCCGGCTAGAGTTGCTGCCAACACGTGAGAGCTGTAACATTCAGTGCAATACCACCCTAGAAATGAGGACTCCTCTCTAATAAGGACAACTGTTCCTCCCCGAGAATTTCTTTAACTCCTGAACCAAGAATGCCCCACTTACATCAGCACTTTGTTCTGTACCACTGGTGTCCTGATTGTTCCACTGAAGAATGTGTGTGGCAAATATACTATACAAACACTGTCTCCCACCAACTCCTGCACTTACTTCCCTCGTCTCCTCCTCACTCACTCCTTCCCTCCCTCCCTCCATCCCCCTGCAGGATATTCACCATTGTAGTTCTCTACTATGCCTACGCCATCTTTGCCTCCTACATGCTCCAGTTCTACGTCCCGATGGACTTTCTCGAGATTCCATTCTTCAGACTCATCCGTGCGGAGAGTTACATCGACCGCCTCTTCTACTCTCATCCCAGACTCCACACACCGGTCAAATGGATCCTCCGCACTGTCTTCAGAACCGTCATCGTCTCTATTACAGGTCTGTCAGAGAAATTTGGGAATAGCACCAAAAGACATGAAAAGTTTTGCCGAGTGAGATAAGTGATACCACGATGTCCTTTGAAAAAGCTGACCCATATAATATGCTCCAAATTTTGCAACTTTGAACGCATAGAAAAAACTTTACTTGTCTTGTCAGTCAGTTGAGTCATAGTTCTCTGCAATAAAATGGACACTGTCTCTTATTCTCTCTCTCTCTCTCTCCTTCTTTCACTGCAGCTGGGTTGGCAGTGGTTATTCCTGATCTGGATGGTCTTATTACTCTCATTGGAGCCGTTGCCAGTGCAGCACTGGCCTTCATCTTCCCTCCTCTCCTCCAACTCCTCACATTCTGGGAGGCCAAACCGCCGCTTCTCCACCTCCCCCACATCGGCATCTCCTTGCCCTGGGCCTTCACTGTGGCCAAATGTATAGCTATCTTCACACTCGGTGTCCTGGGCTCAGTTACCGGCACCGTCTTCTCAATCATCAGCATTGTCCAGTTCTTCGAGGAGAAACCCCACTGTCCAGCTTAGCAATGGTGTTGTTGGTTGTTTTGTGTGACTGCAGCACCGTTTGAATCATGCACCTATAATGGACCCTGTACTAGCTACATTCATGTGTAAACCCTGAGTGACTGTTTTGAACACCGCAGAGACGGTTCAAGCTCCCAAAATAGTTACGATACCACACTTGCTTGGGTGTAAACACAAGGCAAGCACAGGTAGCTATCATATTTTCTACAGTGGGTATATACAGGTGAACTATCATAGTAGCAAAAAAAACCACGAGTTTTCATATTTTATGCAAACATGTACAATTTTGAGTGATTGTCAAACCTGCGAGAGAGATAATTGCCTCTTGTAGCTAGTCTGGAGTGTATATATCTTCTAGAGGGTAAAGGTCACTGGGGATAGTGAGATTCTCATCTCTCTGCTTGTTCTTTGATTTTTCCTTCGCTCTGACTGCGTCCGCTGCGAAACTGTTTCTAGCGATGTCATCGTCTTCTGGAATGATGGAAATGTTTGCGTAGGCGCGGAGGAATGGGAGGGCGTCCAGGACGAGCGTGGAGAGGGGCTTGTGAGCTCCGAACCACCAGGGGTTGGCAGGTCTCCGGGTGAAGGTGGTGAGGAGGAGGAGGAGGAGGGTGAGGTAGAGAGGAGTGAAGATAGCAGGGTACGAAGAGGTCAGCTGGCCGTCCAGTTTAGCCACCAGCAGACCCTGTGAATACATACATATAGAAATTGGAAAGGAGTGTTGAGCAAGACATGCAGATTTGCCTGGCAAATGTGAGCAAGGCTGTAGGGTGTTATATTTATGCACACATCGAATATTATGCAGATCTTTAGCAGCAAGCTAAACACACATCAAAGAGATTTGATAACCAGCACGCACAAGATGAAAGTAAAACAAGACATAAATTAGTATACTGGTTCCAATACAGTTGTATTATACTCACAATAAAGATGGTAGAACAGAGCCAAATGGCGAGGGAGGAGACAAGGCGAAGAACATCGGCCGCCCTTCGTGTCTGAAGTTCTTGCGGAGTTGACGTGGGGGAATATAAATGGAGGTAGAGGATATAGCTGGCGTAGATGCCCCACCCAGTGACGAAGGCTACCAGCAGGAGGTAGGTGGGGATTAACACCAGCTGTGGGGGAGGAGGAATGGTGAGTCACTGTGGAAGATGTCTTAGCTGTAGAGCTCACCGCCCATTTCCAGAGGACCACTCCGTCCATTTTGATGCCGAGAAATATCACTTGCACCAGAGAAAATATCCCCAGCAGCTCCAACTGACAGGGAAAGAGGGAGTGCGTTTCATATATCTACTGCATACACAGCAGTCAGTATGACCCATAAAATTGTACAGCAGTAGGAGCCTTGACCCACTTTGGCAAAAAAATTAGCTCTTACCTGGTGGAATGAATACACAATACGAAGTGGAATCTCACATCAACGTTTCTCTTGCGGAAGCAGCCCCAGATGCAGGGAGGGGTGTAGAGGAGAGGGAGGAGGTAGAGGGGTGTGAAGACTGCCCTCCACTGGTGGTCCCCGGTGTCCAGGTTGACTGCAACCAACAGCTCCGTGAGGAAGATGGGGAACTGGAGGAGTGAGGACAAGATGAGGCCCTTCAGATGGTAGAGATGCTCACGTTCTTCTCTGGCGACCGTACAGGAGAGAAGATAGAGAGAGCATTGGTAACTGTTTTGACCAGTAGAATATTACGGCAGTTCACTATCTCCATTGTTTCACTATGCTGCAAGTCCATCTCATGATATAGAATTTGTGTACGGATAGGTCTTTTTGCAGCACTCGTAGCTAACGAAAGAGTAAATGAGGGAGGGAATAGGGTGAATTTAACCTCAGTCTTTTCTTCCAGATCCACACCATGATGCCGCTGACGGCTCCGGCTAGAACCAGGAGGTTCCACAGCCAGAGCGGGAGGAAGACGACGCCATAGCTCACGGAGACGACTCCCTCCGCCCGCAGAGCCACCAGCACTGAGAAGAGCAGCAGCAGCGAGTACAAGATGGCGTTGCTACACGTGTACACACACGAGAGGCCGCGCGGTACACACTGGCTCTTCGGCGAGGGTTTGCTAAACTCACCCGACGTTGAATCGGTCCAGCAGGTCCTTTACGTAGAGATGCATATCATCTCTCTCGTCTTCTGCTCCGCTGTTGGACTGGAGGAGGTGCGCTCTAAATGGAACTGGGTGTGCGTTAAATAGAAAAGGGGCGTAGAAGACGAGATGTGAAACCCCCACGCTTTCCCCTTTCCGACGAACGCAGCAGCTACTGAACATGGCGTAAGCTCCCGAGACGGAAAGAAAACTCTCGAGAGTGTTAGACGAATCTACACAATCAGGAGAGTTCGCGAGAGAGAAGCCAGAATGAACGCTCGCCGACGGCTAAAGCTCAGCTCTCTGTCCTTCTCCCTCCCGGACGTCAGCGAAGTCGGCTACACGCCGTCTCCTAGCTACTACCCGCCGGCCCAGGAGATTCTGGAGGAGCCCGAGGAGGCAGAGGAGAGAGAGGTGGACGAGGAGAGCGGGCCTGGGTAAGGAATAATGGTGCAAGCTGCCGCATAAACTGCAGGGTGGGGCTACACTGTTTCTGCATGTGGGAGTCGGCAAGGTTGCCTGCTGTACTACGGTAAACTTGCAGACATTGGGAGCCTTAGGAGATGGGTATTGAATTACGGAACACCCAGACAGCTCACGGCTGTAATATCTGCTGGTTCATGTTTAAAAGCAGCACGTTTGCGTTTTTCTTTTTGCTTTTGTGATTGTGATGTGTCTGTGCAGAAGTTACAGAGTTGGCGACACTGTCAGAGAGAAGGAGGAAGACTGGGTGGACGCCACAGACCCCGTGTCTGGCTCCGTGTTCTTTGTTAACTCCGCCTCCTTGCCACGCCCACATCCAAACGGCTCCGCCATCATCCCGAGCACCAGCAGCTCGAGCCTGTCTTCCTCCACCACCTCCCTCTCCCACCCTCACCCCCTCTCCTCCCTCACCTCCTCACCATGTCCGCGTCGTTCCTCTTCATTCACAACCTCCCTCCCTCCCACCCCAAACGATGCCTTCTTTTCTTCGAGTTTCGCAGGCCCTCCCTCCCTCCCTCCTCTCCCTCCTCACAGACCAGTGACCCCTTCTACCAGCATCTCATCTTCTGCTCTCCCCAGTCCAACCAACAGCCAGAATATCGACGAGTGAGTCATCAGGACACCTCTGATCAGGAAACCCCACTAATCAGGACACCTTATTGATAAGGACACCTCAATTATTATGAAAAGTCTTACCAATCATCATTATTGTAATTTATCACGAACCCTTGCTAACAAGATCTGAAACTGTGTTTCAGATTTTTTGTGTCAGGGAGCTATTTCCGTGAGTCGGTCGACGGAGACTCCGCCCACTGCCCCTCCCCCTGTCCCTCGGAGGGCTGGATGCCGAAGAGCGTGTCCAGCAGCAGTATGGGGGGAGGTAGTGTGAGGTGGAGAATGAGGAGGAAGTGGAAGAAGATGGTGGGGAGGGGAGACAAGATGAGGGGAAGATCCTATTCCCACGGACTGATGCCCAGCGACAGTGTCCCTAGTGAGTGGCTTAGGGTCATGCTACTGCACTCTGCAGCTATAGTCAGGGTGTTCAGGATGGTTGGTTGGCCTGTCATTCCCCCCACTTGCTTGCTAAAAGTACGAAAGTTTAGGCCACCCATTTTTCCACAATCACTCCTGAGGATTGTTTGCACTGCACACTCCAGCAATAGTCAGGGTGTTCAGGATGGTTGGTTGGCCTGTCATTCCCCCCACTTGCTTGCTAAAAGTACGAACGTTTAGGCCACCCATTTTTCCACAATCACTCCTGAGGATTGTTTGCACTGCACACTCCAGCAATAGTCAATAATTTCCTTGCACTTGCGTTCTAAAAGCATGCTACCCAACTTTCTCTCATTGCTCTAACAATAACTAAATTTATCATGTTCTATAGTGTAGCTCCAATTTTCAGTGGTTCAGACATGTTTTCTTTTGCCGCCGCCAGACCTGAGCTGTGATATGGAGTACGCTCACCACCCGCCCAGCTCCGTCCCTCCCTCACCTCCCCACGGAGAACTGTTTGGCTCCCAGGACCTCCCTCTCGAGGGAGGCGCCCATGGAACCATCGTCACCGCCCGGGTATCGCTGAAACCACACCCACTGGCCGGGCGGCCCCATCGTCACTGGAACCTCGAGAAACTCGGGATTATTCCTGCAAGGTGTGTGTCTCTTTCTTCCTCCATCTTGGCCACCACTGTCTCTCTGTGTCTCTGTCTCATACCCAGAGCTCTGGGAGGGAAGAGGTATCGGTCGTTCACAAACCTCCGATTTGCCTTCAAGAACCACTACCCCCAAGGCTCCTCCTCTCTCTCCAACTCTCTCGTCATTAGAGGAATAATTCCAGGGACGCCAGCCTCCCTCGCTCCCCAGCTTCAGCAAGGTCTCTAGGTCTCTCTCTCTTTCAGCTCTCGTGGTGTATTAAGCTATATTGTACGTAGCATCATTGTTACGTTGCACTGTAACTCTGTGAGGTTTTGTAAGCTGGGAGGAGCCTACTCTTTAAAAACAGTCCATACCCACTACAGAATTTGTAAACCTCACTGCAGAGAACGTCTTTAGAAGACATTGCTGCCACATCTAAATGATTCCCTGCTACAAAGAAAAACTTTGCCCCGCAGACATTTATAAAACTGTGAAACGTACTGTGAGGCATCTTGTTCACTTTCTGTGCCACTCAGGAGACACGATTCTGGCCATCAACGGTCACGCGGTGTTCCTTGAGACGGCCAACTCCATCCTTCGAGCTCAGTCGAGGGAGGTAGAGCTTGTCTTTATCGTGAAGAAGAGGACACACGTGGGGTCAACTTTCACCTCCACACCCGCACACCATCACCTCCTCACGTCCTCTCGCCATGGCAACCTCGTCAGATTGGTCTCGGGTAAAGAGACGACGTCATCGCGACATCATCGCCACTCTCCCCCATTCCTCTTTCTCTGTCTAACTCTGGATACAAAAGAGGAGGACCCTGCTGATAAGGCATGCTGATTACCAGTTTTACTGTTTTCTTACAGAAATTCATTTGGTTTTCTCAAAGAGATCCATACATACTTATATATGATGTCATAGAGTATCACATGATGTCATGTGACTTTGTACAGGACATTCTCTACTGCTATCCAACTGAAGCAAGAGACTGGAGCACTGCCAGTGGTGAGGGTGTGAGGAGTGAGGAGGTGAGGAGTGAGGAGGTGACAGCTCTACTGATGAAGCTGCGGGGAGTGTTCCTTACTCTCAGTGACGTCATGGGCTCCATTACAGCCGACTCCCATTCTTGGTCAGTCAATATAATTATTTTTCATGGTTCATCTTGAGTCACAATTATATATACACTCTATAAGGTGCATTTTCAATGTAACTCACTTCAGCGGGAGCCGTTCAGGGAACCTTTGTGTTTCAGAGTCAACCTACATACACTTGAGATTTGGTCTAGTGACAGCTTCTCTCCCTCCCCTAGTTCCACGGTGGAGGTGAGGGGGAGACCGTTCCACTGTGCCCACGTCCAGCGAGGGAAGGAGGTACTTCTCCTCGCCCTCCCTGCCTCCCTCCTCCCCCGCCATCTCCTCCTGGCCACCACCATCAGACTGGAACACACCCTCCGTCTTCTCTTTCACTCTCCACAGAGGTTTGTGTATATCTAGACTCTTCACTAATACTAAACTCTGTTCAGCGGCGTTTTGTAGTGGAGTATTTGTTCCACTCTCTCCCCACTTGTCTCCCTGCAGTGTTTTTCCTCCCGAGGATCATTCGAATGTGAACCACGTTCTGAGCCTCCTCTTCCTCCATCTCTCCTCTCATTCTCCCTACCCCCACTGGCCACACCCCCTCCGTATCTCTCCACTCACTGGCGTCATTGCTGCCCACAGCAGGTCTCCCTTCTTTTCTTCTTCCTCCTTCATCCCTTCTTCCCCTCTTCGCCGTTCCTTCTCACCTTATCTCTTCCTCTTTGCCTCTCCCCCTCTTCTCCTTCCTTCCACACCCTGTCTCCTCCAGTGAACCCTACCCTGTGGAGACCGTTCTACGTGTCAGCGAAGCTCTGGATGAACTCGAGACAGCGACCCCCTCCTACCACCTCACTGACCTTGCACACTCCCCCCGAACCTTCTTCCCTCGAGGCTCCGCCCTATTTCACCAGGTGGGTGTGGTCTGTTGGCATTGTCACGTGACTGCAGCCTAGCAACCGTGGACTCTTATTCAACAGGGGCGGTTGGTGGTGAGTCATTTGCAGCTGGCGAGCTTGTCCAAGTGGTTATTTTCTGTCAATCTTATCGTCTTTTGGAGATATCGGCTCTCGAACCAAGATCCTCTATTGTCGTATGGAGAGAGGTACATATACACTGTATACACATTATACAGCACAATAGCATTACATACCTGTACATACAAGTATTAGACGAGGCATTGTAAAAGATGTACAAACTGCATTTAAATATGCTGCATTTATACAAAACGCAATGCATTTGCTCTCCAAGTCAAAGCGCACTACAGTGCTGGGTTCCTACTATATACCTCGAGCTCGTTGACACATGCTTTCAGATCCATTTGCACCAGTCTTCAAGTTCTGAGGTTGAGGATGTGGAAATGAGGGGACGCGTCTTCCTGCTTCTGGTGGGTCTGGACGGTGTCCTCGTGGGACTCGTTATGGAGGGGTGTGGTCTCACAGATGAAGCCACACCCACCCTGGACCCCGCCTACGTCACTGAGGCCAAACAGCTGATAGCAAAGTTGGACCTTCAGGATGTCTTTGACAGCAACTCTTCTGGCAGGTGTGTATGTTGATGTTTTTCTCATTAAAAAACTTTTTGTGGTGCTTCTTGGGCTTTATTATTGTCACTTTCCAACTTTTTAATGGTACACTTTTACATTTGACTAATGAGTTCTCCCTCTCTCCCTCCTTGTTCCGTCTCTTTCCCTCTCTCCCTCCTCTCTCCCTCTCTCCCTCCTCGCTCCGTCTCTCCCCTCCTCTCTCCCTCTCTCCCTCCTCTCTCCCTCTCTCCCTCCTCGCTCCATCTCTCCCTCCTCGTTCCGTCTCTCCCTCCTCGTGTTCAGAGGGTCGGTAAAGTCCCAGATCCCACTGGTGGCCTCTCTGGACCGAGTGCTAACTGCCCACCTCTCCTCCCCTCGTCACTCCTCACACCTTCCCCACACTCCCCGATCTAGCAAAAGACGCTCTCTGGACAAACACAACCACACCAAACAAGGTATCAACTTACTTAACTCGTCACATTTTGCAAAAGATACTAAACAATCGCAAAACTTTTATACGCATACACTATAATTATTGTGCCACACTCGTTGACCTGCACTTTGAAAGAAACGTTGTTGTGGACTTAGCTAGTTTTTGTTCTTACTCACACACTACTGTATTATATATACCTGTATATATGTGGATAGTGAATATAATTATCTCTCCTGGCAGGGTCAGATTCCGAGGGTGAGGAAGACTCTGGTCTCGCACCTCGCTCCATGACCTTCCCTTCCTTCCGACCACGAGGGAAGAAGAGATCCAGTCCCCTACCATCGCTACCTGAAACACTAGCCCTCAGACAAAACTACACGTTAGCTCAATAAACTTTAGTTGGGGAAAAATATTTAGGCATACTGGTCAAATTTGCAGACTGACGGCTGGGAATGAGAATATTCTTCTTCACTACCTGTCTTTGGAGGCGGGGCAGGGGGCGTGGCTTGGCCCCACCCACCACACCTCGTCCACATACGGCACCCTACACTTGGAAATGGTCACTTGTTTTCACACCACCTGCTCATCCATCAGGGAGATGCTACTGGCAAAGACAGATGTACGAAAGTCACTGTATGGTTGTGGTTTCAGATAATGATATTCATGACCACACAGGAGGATCTTGAAGACGATGTAGACTGGGAGGATGAGAGTGAGGAGGAGGAGGAAGATATGGCGATAGAGAGACAAGCAGTTAGTCCTCCAACTGTGACAATCGCATTCCCTAATTCGTCTCCCCCTATCTCCTCAGACCCCTCCCACTTTCTCTTGCCCTCCACTGACAGGCGGTCGGTGTGTGGAGCACGGAGTTCTGCTGGAGGTCCCTCTCAGGAACTTTGCCACCAACAAACAGCTGAGGAACATCCCTCCTCTCTGCTACTGGGTCGTCGGGTAAGCCAACCTCTGATTACTGTGCTCGTTTGCAGGGAATATCAATACAGTGGTACGCCTCTGATGACTTTCTTCTTGACCTATCATAATTATATATCTCGCTCAAAAAATGATCTTTCCCCCTGGCGCGAATCGGGGAAAACACTTGGCAAATTGTGCATTTGTGCGAGCCACTGCCCAACTAGCTGATGATAGACGGCTGTCCGATCGCAGCTGTCTCACGCTCGACGGTGGTGGAAACGTTATTGAAGAGCAAATACGAGCCGGCTCCTATTTTGCTCCTGATTTTGTCTTTTTTTGGCCCTAAACCTACGTCATTTCCACTTCCTTCTGCCCTCTGAACAAAATCTGTTGGTGATCCCCACTCCCTTAATGTGTGGTATTTTTAAGTGTCATAAATAGACAGGTAATCTCCTGGGGTCAGAGGTGGGTTCAGAGGTATTATAGACAACAATAGTCATCATTGTCAGAGCCTGGTCAGTGGCCACCCAATATTCATACTATTGTTTGTTGGTGCAAAATTAGCCCAACTATGCATGCCAGCACTTATCTTTTTAGCATGCTGACATATTGTTAGCCAGGTATATGTTCCATGTTGTTTCCATGCGTGTAATGTGTAATATATAATGTGCAGGAGACTGTTTCCAGAGGAGGGACGAGAGCTGTACGTGTGTTACGAGGATAACGTGTCTCAGACAATGGTCGAAATGACCTTTAAACTTCTATTTGCCACACCCACTACTTAACAACTCTACCACTGTCTATATCATATATTTCTGCAACCATTTCGCATAATATTTTTATCACATGATATAATTTATTATGAACCAGGTGAATGATGTAATGATCTGGTGAAGTGATTTAATAATTTGGTGATTGATCATGTTGTTTTCTCGGCAACAACACACCAGTTTTCGTGATCGTAAAATTCCTCCAGAATCCTGACTCCGCCCACCTCGTTAAACAGGGCACTCAACTCATTTCTCTGGAAGACGTGATAGTACCTCAGAAACGTCTGAAACCCTGTGCCTCAAGACTGGGGGTCATGTGATCTCCCTTAGTAGTCACATGACCCAAATCAGGCATCACATGATCTTTCTTCATGGTCACATGACCCAGCCTTTCGTCCTCCATTTCACTGCTGTTGTGTAGTTTTGTTGTCCCTTCTTCTTCACCATCTTCCCCCTCCTCCCTCTCCCCCTCTTTTCTCTTTCCCTCCCTCTCCTCCCTCTCCCCCTCTTCCTCCCTCTTTATCTTGCTGCTCCTTCCTTCTTCTTGTTCTCTGTTTTCTGTTCATCTTTTTCTTCTTCGCAGCCTCAGCTCCAGCTGACCCAGAGACATAGCGAGGCTGTAGGTGCCATGGAACAAGCACGTCCTGCTCTGTAAACTAGCGAAAACAAACAGCAAAAATTTATCTATCACAGACGCGAAGAACTTGTTGGTTTATGCATTTGCTACTGATGATTAGAGTTATTTCATGGTTAGTGCGTGCTTGTTAAAATGAGGTTTGTAAAAAGTGTAGTCCTTGGTTGTTAGAAATGTGAGGAAAATCACCTTTTTCCTCTCCTGCTCCATGGCCCACACATACACCAGAATAGTTCCTCCTTTCCTCGTCACCCGGATCAGCTCTCTTAGAGCCTGGAGCCTGCGGGAGCCACTGGACAAATGGTGCACCACTGCTATGCTGATCACCGCGTCAAACGAGTTAGTCCGGAAAGGCAAGTTCAGGCAGTCTGCTACTGCGACCTCGTGACCTCTTCCACCAGCTATACAGGCTAATTCGGGACACATGTCACATCCAATTGTGTATCCAGAGCATGCCACAGACAAATATTTTCCATTTCCACAACCTGTTAAAATATATAGTGAGAAGCCACTTGAGCGGGTGCACTAATTAGTGGTGGTAATTATACCTACGTCAGCGACGATACTTCCGGGTGGAAGCTTGCGGAGGAAGTCAGCAACTTTTGGCCAGGGTTTGTACCTCGTGTCACTGAAATGGCTCGCTATCTGGGAGTAGACGGCGTGTACGTGCCTCCTCTCCAGCCCATCCTTTGTACCTTCAAGCGACATTATCTGTATCTCTTAGCCGGAAAGTTCGCTCAATCTAGCCGGAAACACCACGTGTCCATTACGTGTCCTACTACATGTCTAGTCTCTAGTCTACGTGTGTCAATAAAATCATCGTGCTGCTTACATAAGCACGCATGTGCGCATGCGTGGTACGTACGTAAAACAGAGATGCTCTCGCGCATGCAGCAGCAGGAAAGGTACAGAGAAAAAGTACCATTTGTTATAGCTATGGAACGCAGTCGGTACAATGGAGAACTGCATTCTCTGCAGCTGCCCGAAGAGACGGCGCAACTGTTGACAAAAATTGAGGAATCCCAGTTCGGGTTCAGAGAGGATCTGCAGGGTCCGTACGGCCCGCGCCGCAGTAAGTATTTTTCTGCAAATTTCGCGGGCTTTCGCCCAATAGACCTACTGAATCCACCTAAAAATCAATGTTGTGGCAATTGTGGCAATTGCATTGCAGGTCTATTTGTCTTTTGCAGTGGTGTACGCAGACTATACTGCGTCGGGCAAATCTCTCAGCTTCGTCGAGGATTACATTCGGAGTCACGTGCTCCCTACCTACGCCAATACACACACTACCACCACGGACACTGGCAGGACCACTACTCAACTAAGAGAGGAAGCCAGGTCTGTGCACAATATGTAGTAAAGGTCAAATTCTGAAAAGCACTCTGTAAAATGAAACTGAGTCTCCAGTAGTGTAGATTTATTTTAAAATATTGTGCACCTTCGAAATTTTTTGCAGAGAGCTGATCAAGGAAGCCCTGAACGCACCGAGGAAGATGTCTTGCTGTTTGTTGGCAGTGGGTGTACCGGGGCGCTGCACAAACTAGTGAGCTGCCTCTGCCTTCATCAGCTTACTCAACCCCCTGTGAGTTTGTGTTTCTACTTTCGTGCCTTAACCATTCCGAGACACATAGAGGGGGACTTATAAGGCTCTCTCATTAGGTGTCTATGTGTGTGTATTGATTTTTGCCTATTTTTACAAGCGCGGTCTCTTGCTTGCTGAGGCCACTTCCGCTACAACTATAACGTTTTAGAAGTTTATCCTCAATTCTGTGGATGACATCAGGTGGTTGGCACTGCTTGTACCTTGCACACTTTGCCTATTTTTAGTAAGATATGTTGCTGACGTCCTCTGCATGTCCGTCTGGAATTCATTCCTATGGTAAACGTGCACGCGCATAATATATAGCATCCTAGGGGTTGCGATACAGTATAGACGACATTTGCTGGGAATCTTCGTACATTTTCCTGTCTAGACCAGTGGAATGAAGACTCTGTAACGGGTATTTTATTGAGTGCGTCTCATTCCTTCAATTGTCACTGCATGCACACTGTCAACATTCATCAGGTCGTGTTTGTTAGTCCATTCGAGCATCACGCTAACCTCCTGCCGTGGAGAGAGAGTGGTGCCGAGGTGGTGTGGATCGCTGAAGACTCCACCGGAAAGACAGACATCTCAGACTTGGAAAGAAAGCTGCAGGTACATTACATAACATATCTTGACTTTATTGATTGTTCTTTATCTACAGTTCTACAGCAAGAGTGGTAGACAGTTGATAGGGTCTCTGAACGCAGCCTCCAACATCAGTGGAGTCCTGACAGACAAAGTCTCACGGAGAAGTGGAAGAGGAAGTGGTTTTTCAATTGAGAGTGAAGATCGATCAGAGAAAAACACCAGATACCTCGTACGATACGATCAGTCAGAGAGACATAAAGGATTAAAGGAGATGTGGGTCAGGGTGGTTTGTAGGTGGAAGTAAAGGGTGGAAGGTCGATCCGAGGTGCGGGAAGAAAGATAATGGGAGACAAAGGGATAAAAGGGGAAAGAGGGGCCAAAGGGAGAAAAAAAAGAAAAAGGAAAGCTATTATAGATAAGCGGATAAATGGGAATAAAATTGGCATCAAACGCAACCAGGGAAACAGACAGTTCAGCCAAATTCTGTAGTGGAGACAACCACATAAAGCGCATAAGAAAGTCTTAACTACCAAATCTTGGCCTGGCGATTCTAATGGGGACATTTGAGAGTAAAAACAGAGGTGGCTGATGGGAGATGGTCGGGAGGGGAAGGTTATTGAGCTGCAAAATAGAATATCGAGGCGCGAAGGGGAAAGTAAATAAAGGGGGCTGAGACCTGTCCTTGGCCGATCAAGTCCGGTCCAAAGCCAAATAACACCCGACCCATTCGCTTATAGTGGCATAGGGTGAGATTCTGGTGATGGACGCGTGCTTTATGAAGACATAACGGAGGTCTGAAACTGACTAAGTTAGTTAGGTTAGCGTTCCCAATGAGACCGGGTGACTCCTCAAAAGGATAAGACTGCAGAAGTGAGCTCGGATAGGGGCTGCACTGTTGGATAAGGGTGGGGGCAGGTACAGATGCATCTAGAACGTTCTGTCTAATCAAAAAGCGCGTAGTCTAGCCTATACAGCTTGTCCTCTGTTCCGACCGGGCTAAAATTGGCGCTTTAGTGGAGCCCGACCGATGTAGTGGCCTGCAGTGTCTAGTTAAGATACCCGTGACTTAGATATAGATCAAGTCGGCAAACGACAACCGTCCTACCGGAGTACTATTTTGTCTGGAATGTGACACAGCCTTAGTTATACACAAACGCCGACAAGGTTTAGGGACAACTTACACACAGGTATAAAGCATTAGACAGGTGGATTATCTAAGTATTAGATAGCAGGACTAGTGCATTAAGACATGTTTCGACCGGACTGGGGACAGAAACATTGTGCCATCAGGGATATGCGTACAGAGAGGGACGCAGAATTGGAACAGGTACGTAGCGCCAAGGAATAGAGTAGAACAGCGAAGAAAGAAATAAATCCAAGCTAGAATGGCCACAAAAAGTCAAAGACAGGCTTTAAGCGATTTTAAGACCGGGGTGGAGAAAGGTGTAATAATATATAAACTAATATATACCCAGGATACCAAAACTACACTACAATCACTTGATCATTATTCCACTTCAATATTGGTCATTCAGTGTTTACGAAACATAAAAGGTCAGGGCGGGGACGCACCGTAGTCACGTACACAAAAAAGTAGATAATAGGTGGACGAGGGTTTGCGATCTACAATCGAACCAATCAAAGTTAAAAAGGAAGACGCAACAAAGAAATTAGGATGGAGTCATAAGTGAGTAATTGCGAAAAAGCTACGGCACAGATGGATTCTCCATAGGTTGGCACATAAACACGTAGTAGAGGCTCAACTACAAAAAATCATAATGGAAAAGTGGTAAACGAAGTCAGGACAAAATAGCGGGGAACTAAAACTGCGTGGAAGCATGGATCTCGAATATGATGACAATTCCGCCCATTGTCTAACAGATATATAGGCATAATCCCGACCCTTAAAAAGACATAGTAAGACTATCAGCGAATTGAAGCCTGTTCACCAGGCGACGTTAATCCTTATGAAAGCCTGGATAGGTTTCTCTACGGTCGCGACGTGGGAACCAGCATATCATTGGACTAACCCCTCAGCGACGAACCAAACACGATTCTGAAATCGTTTACGTGACTTTAGAAACCTCGGACCGGCGGCCGCACAATCGTTTGCGAGACGTTAAACCCCATCCTCTTACTGCCCAACCCTCTCTTTCCCCTCCCACCACTCCTCCACAAGTACAGAGCTCTCTCTCTCTGGGACTTGCCCTCTGCTGCTCCATACGTCAAGATGACATGAACCCTCTGGTTCTTGGTCAGCTCCACCTCTTTCTTATGTGCAGTGAAACTTGTGAATCAGGGACATTAAAAAGTGTCCTTTATTCAGAGCTACCCCTTGTTGAACCAAGTGTCCTATAAAGATTCTGAGGGTCCTTTTCAGAGGTTCCACTGTAAAACGCCAACCTCTTTCACATTTCCTTCCTCTCTTTCTTCACTGTGACTGTCTCTCTCCCTCCACCACCATGCAGCCATGACAGAGATCTGGTCTACAAAGACGCCATCTTTTTCTCGGTCCACAAGTTTGTCGGAGGACCAGAGACCCCGGGAGTCCTGGTGGCAAAGAAACACCTCTTTCGCAACATTTCCTCTGCTCCAAGCGTTCCTGCCGGAGGAACAGTGTCATTTGTGAGTTTAGCAACCTCTCAAACCTAGTCACGTGACTAGTGTGCTTCGTCATGTGATTGTCAGGTGACCCCGACTACTCAGCACTACTGGAAGAAGATCGAGTTACGCGAGGAAGGGGGGACTCCTCAGATAATTGGTTCAATTAGAGCTGGGCTCGCAATTCACCTGAAAGAAGCTGTTGGAGCTGAAACGATAGAAGAGATCGAATCCGCATACAGTTGCAAGATAGTGAAGGAATGGAGAGGAATGCAAGAGGTAGACAGTAATGTACTGCGTTGGAAGATTTCTGTTTACACGGAAATGTGGGTTCAACTCAGACCCACTAGCAACGGAATGTCTTTCCTCCCTCCGACACACATGCAGCTGTACCTGGCCGGTCCCCAGACCGTTCCAAAACTGCCGACATTCTCGTTTGTGGTACGGCACGTGGACAGCGGCCGGTTCCTCCACCACAACTTTGTGAGCTCCGTTCTGAACGACGTGTTTGGGATCCAATCTCGAGGAGGATGTATGTGCGCAGGACCTTACGCTCAGGTAAAAACACGATCCACAGACACGTAGAATGCAAAATTGAGTCCAAGTTAGGATAAGTTCGCAAAACACCTGTCATTGTTTACCAGCAAACTCCGCCAGCTATGGAAGCCATTGTGTCTGTGCTATGTCGAAGCCAGCATCATTCTCAGTCCTCAGCAGATAATATTTCATCAGATATATATAGAGTTACCTGGTTACAGTAAACAAAAGGCGTGCGACCAATGCTAATGAGCAACATGTCTGTAATAGTTACAAAATTGGCTGAAATGCGACTCTGCATGGTTTCTCTGAATAAGTAATGGATAATACATTTGTCATGTTCCGTTTTCTAATGCTGGAATTCAGCGTCTACTTTTACAAAAGTGATGACATTGTTTCTCTCTCCCTCCCCTCCCTCAGATTGTGCTGGGTATAGATGAGCCTCTGGCCCAGAAATACATCATGGAGGGTTCTCATTTCCCCGAGGAGATGAGAGAGGCCCTGAAACCTGGAGTCACTCGCATCTCCTTCCCTTACTTCATGAGTGAAGAGGTCGTGGAGTTTGTCATTGAGGCCGTCCGGATGGTAGCCAGAGAAGGCTGGAAACTCCTACCTCAGGTAGTTAGACTAGCAGAGCACGAGGTTTTAAAATGCACAAGGGCTAAATTTGTCAATGAGAAATTGGGGCTCAGTGCAAGAACGCAACTAAGTTTCCATTTTAGCCATGCTGCCCACATTGACTTTCAGATTTTTCAGCCGAAAGCAATCACCAACATGAAACCCTAGTCAGCAAGAAAACAAAACAACAGATTTATGTTTGACTCGTGGCATTATGTTTTGTTCATCTTCCCACAGTATGACTTCCTTCCAGAGACGGGGACATTTCGTCACTGTCGCCAGTCTCAACTGCCCAGTCCTCCGAGGATCAGAGACATCACCTACGCCAGCGGTGGAGACATGGTCTCTCCCACCACACCCCTGTCCAGTCACCCCTGCACCATTTCTCTACAGCAGGTAAAGAGTGCATGGAGCCTCCGAATGAAGGACACCACGAACTTTGTCCCTTGTCCTCTCTGTGGAGGTTAGAATAATAGAAAGTCAACCTTTGGGACCTCAAAGTGTGTCATTATTTTGAAGAGGTTTTCTCTACTGTGGCCTCTATTGGGAGTCTTCCTTATTGGTGGTTTTATACTTCAGCATAAAATTCATTCTCTCCAGCCGGTTAGCTTCGGGCAGGAAGTCTTAACGACATTAGTCAGGTGGAATTCTGCCTAACTCTGTTGTAGCTATATTATGTCAACAGAAAATTCCTCGTGCCTTATTATTTTCAGTTGCTTAGTTTCAGGTAACGAGTGGAATTTTCAATTTGGCCATTTGGGGATATTAACACGCTCATTATAAGCTGTTGTGTAATTCCATTAGCTTAGCCCAGGCATGCAGCGATAACATGATGTCATTTACACATTGGTTCTGTAGGGAGTATTGGAAGAGGCTAAACTACTGTTTGAGAGAGCGGCGGAGGAGAGCGTTCCTCGCTCCAGCCAGCTGGCCCGGGACTATTCAGCTCTGATGCTCCTCGGGAAAGAGATGGAGGAGATGAGGTGGTTCATGGTTCCATATGAAGCCCACCTGTACCTCACCGGTTCCTGTCCCCCTGTGATACGAGTCCCGTTTGAACCGAGGGACTACACGCACGGTGACTGGTACAGCAGTCAGTACTTGAATGAGTGGAACAAACACTGGAACCCTCACTACTGGGAAGAGACAAAGAGGGAGAGAGAATTGGGGGAAGACCCTGTTATTATCCACCAGTGGCAGTGGACTATTTACCCAGCCAATCGAAGCCCCACCCACAAGATCCAGTTACAGCCAATCAGAGACAAGGGGCCAGGAGGAATGCGGGAAAAGAAGGCGTTTGCGTCGATGGAGTGTCTGTATAGCGAGAGAGAGGCGGAGAGTGGAGAGAGTCCAAACTCCCCTCGTTCCAGTGGGTACTCGAGCGAGGGGGAGGAGGGACACGATACGACTACACCAGAGGTGAAAGGTCACGGGGGGAAGCGGAGGAGGAGAAAGGGGAAAAGAAGCGGGAAAAGTAGACAAGTTGTAATCACATACGGAGAGGACAGTCGTCAGGGGAAAAAGTGTGTAGTCATGTAGTGCACATTTCTTCTGAGCATATTTATTTTCCTTCAGAGCCTATTTATTCTCTACGCTTTTGTCAAATCGTAACTCATTCTTTCTATAATATTGTCATGAACTTGTGTGTATATGTCAAGAGTGATATTTATTGAGCCAAATTGAACACTATCTCTGTTCACTGGCCTCCGGTACAGCCAAACTCATTTCCTGGGGAAGTCCCTGAAATAAAACAGCGTGAATAACGCTCAACACATGAGAGATCATCGGTTAGGAACCTCGTCAGCAGGCGAGAGTTCCAGGGATTTTATCTTCCTGTGGCGCTGGATCATCCCGTAGGATCTCCTGGTCAGAATGACGCCGGCGTACACCGTCAGACCGACCATCGACCAGACTATGGTCCGCTGAGTCAAGTCTGCTACGCGACCCCAGCTCACCATCTGCAAATCTCTGCTTGCTTCTCCGTTGGCGCACGCGCGTATAAATAGGGCGGGATAATTAGCGCGTGCGCTATGTCACTCAAAAAGTGATGTTGAAGAAAACAGTAGTGTTCTATTTGAAGTTGTAGGTGGGGTTCTGAGGGATCCCGCACCACTGGCTCAGGAACCTCCACACGCCAGAGCACTCTTCACTAGGAGAACTCTATTTGAAGTTGTAGGTGGGGTTCTGAGGGATCCCGCACCACTGGCTCAGGAACCTCCACACGCCAGAGCACTCTTCACTAGGAGAACTCTGAAAAAGAGGAGATGAAACTAGCAGATATGTAGTAGGAACCAAAAACTAACCTTGAGAGCCATTATAAACTAACCTTGAGAGCCATTATAAACTAACCTTGAGAGCCATTATAAACTAACCTTGAGAGCCATTATAAACTAACCTTGAGAGCCATTATAAACTAACCTTGAGAGCCATTATAAACTAACCTTGAGAGCCATTATAAACTAACCTTGAGAGCCATTATAAACTAACCTTGAGAGCCATTATAAACTAACCTTGAGAGCCATTATAAACTTGTTCCAGTCTTCTTTATTGGCACATCGACCTCCGACCCTGAACTCTACCTTCTGCCTAAGTACAGGATAGCCTGCGAGAGCAATTCGATAAAGGGCAACCTTCATAGAATGCCAAAGAGAAACGAAGAGAAATTGGTGCATATTACTAATACAATAGTGGGGTTAAAGAAGAAAGACAAAGGAGTTGTGGAGAGAGTATTATACCGGTGAGGACACAGGGAAGAGAGGTGACTCCGGTGTGATGGCAGGAGAGGGAGGCGACGTAAGCCCCTCGTTCGTCAGTCGGAAGAGATTGCTCCACTCTCTGGTCCAGTGAGACTGCCAGTACCCACTCCTTCACCTCCTCTCTCTCGTCCTCCTGTGTAACATAATATATATGTATATAGCAGATAGAAGAACACATTTTCAAACAGCATAGCATGACATGACCTCGTAAAAATGCACGTGTCAACGAGGAGGTAAAGAAAGGCGAGGCAAAGGGGAAAAGTCAACACACCTGCTGGCACAATGTGTAGCACACATGTAAAATTTTACAATGAAACTTTTCTGTACTAAGGTTGCTTCAGTTAACAACAATTTTTTCATACCGTCATAAATGGTTTTTCAGGCAGCGGGACTTCGAAAGGGATGTCGGTATTTGTGAAATCAGAGTTGTCGAGCATGTCTAGCGAGCCTTCTTCAATTGCCTGCAGAAATAGTAGGGGCAATAGAGGAAGAGGGGGCTTCACTCTAGTAATTCACAGAGCAGACAGGAGAACATACGTACCTCACTCAGATCCAGGAAACGGTTGAAGAAGACAAACGCCATGTTATCCCAACCCATCCTCTGCAGAGAGAGAAACAGTTTTACTAGAATGTAGAGCACAAACTTTATGTGCCCCCAAAATTTGTCACTACACAGACCACAGTAATCATGAGTGAGAGCTCAATCCTGTATATATGTACCTTGCAGAGGAGGCCGGCCTGGTAGAAGGCTCTGTCGGGGGGCAGAATGTCGGTGTACCTCAGGAGACTCACAGAGATCTTGGCTGCCAGCCCAGCCAGCTGGGGCACACCCAGACACGCAGTTCGCGTGGTGAGATAGTGTGATGCAGAGAGACAGTGCTGGAACTCTTTGTGAGCCTGGGACCCGATCCTCCCTGGAGTGGGACAGAGTCTCCACAAGACCCAGGAGGACGTTGCGGAGGAGGGAGAGAGTTCTGCAGCCTCCCTCTCCCTCCCAGTCTCCCGAGAACACCTCCACACACAGGTGCTTGTAGATGTTGAAGTTCTGATTGAAAAGAGGAAGATGGTTTGTCAGACAAACCATAATATCAACCATACAAGTTCAGTATTGACAATGAAATGTGAAACCACAGGTAGGAGGTATAAACCTGAGGGTTGGGGGAGGTTCCGTATTTGTTGAAGAGTTGCAGAGCAGTGAGGGGAGCACTGGTCTTGATGAGATGAGCTGCATACAGAGCTACATACTTCTCCAACACCACCGCTCCCTGCAGGGAAAAGAAGAAGTCCCGATATCTTCAGAGGGAGTATATAATTCACTCTTATACCGAACCACCGAAAAGGTTTCAGTGGCGTGCACAACAAAATTTTCACCAACAAATCACAAGTTTTTTTTCATGGTAAGTACTTGTTTCTCAGCCAGTTGTAGGCAGTGTTGCCACTGTCCCTTCTCACAGTACATCCGGAGAGCTCCCTCTGGGTCCACTCCCTGCATCTGGTGACCAGTCAGACAGTCAGAGAGAGGGATCAGAAAGGGGGTGAGATATGAGGCGAAAAAGAGGTTTAACGTATATATACCTCATCAGGTCTATTTTGCTCCCTCAGGTAGTCCACGTAGGCTTGCTCCACGTACTCCACATACCTGCACAAGAACATGCAGAGTTCATCACTTTCGTTTCGTTCAATTTCTGTTTGAAGTAAAAGCAATACAGATTTTAACGACCTAATATGCATGCTCCCATGTGCACAGCATTAGATTAGGAAGAGAGAACAAACGTTTGACCAGTTGAAAATGGTACTCTCCCTCTCAGTATCTGTGTGTGCGTGTGTGTTGGGGAGGGTGTTGACCTTGGGGCAATGTTCCTGGCAATCTCCCTGGCTTTGTCCCAAGCCTCTCCAGCCATGTACATGTCCAGTCCTTCCTTCACCATCTCCACACTCAGAAACATCTCCCCTGCCTGACACACACACACACACACACACACACACACAACACACACACACACAGCTATGTAAATGAAATTTTCACATTGATAGTATATACCCAATGTGCAAGCATTTGTAGCTACAAGTTAGCCCTTATAGTTTTACTTGGCCTATTCCCTGTTTCGGCTTTCTTGTTCATGCTAATCAATGGTAACCTCCGTAGCAAATTCTGGTGCTGCATGTTACCTGAACATATCTGCCCAGATGAGCCAGTCTGTCCGAGACAAGGGTGACCACGTCCACAGAGCGAGTCGAGGCAAACTTGAGGGTTAGATCCACGGCCTTCTCCCAGCTGTCCTGTAGGACATCGTGATCAGGACAGTTGGACGACGTGACCTGAAGATAGACGTCGACGGCACGGGAGTGCTCGCCACTTTGTTCCCAGGTCCTGGCCTGGGAGAGGAGGTCCCTGTAGCTCCTGAGATCAACAACGATGGCAAAGTTCACAAAGATGGGCAACGTTGTGTTTGTGGATAGTGATGCAGACAAAAGCCTTCTGAGTGCCTTGCATATCTTGTCTATTCTAGCTGCAATACACATGTAAATCACATTCATGTAATATCAAAAGTGGGAGAAAGGAATAAAGAAGAAGAGGTGTCTTTTCTACACTTACGTTCCACTTTTGGCAGCCATTTCTTTCTGAAACTCGTCCAACTGAGGGATTGAAAGAGACAACTCCCATCGTTACCGGCAATCACTGAGTGATGTGGTGATCTAGCTGTGTAAGTATCATACCTGGTGAGGGAGGTAATCCTTCATAATCCTCAGGGCATCCTGCCACATATCTGCCTCCTGAGAATCAATACTTGTACCAGTAAGAGAGGCAGAGAGAAGGAGGCGGGGCTTGCCTTGTAGAACTTGGCCACCAGATCTGGTCTGTCGGCTCTGAGGAGGTGACCCTCTGCCTTCTGATAGTTCTTCTGTTCAAATGCCACCCTTGCCTGCATTCACATATTATACACTCACCTCACTTCTCCTCCTTTATGAATGTATGTAGCTTCTATATACATAATATACCCATAGTGTCTACTGCATAGTGTGACTGCTGTGTGTATGGAGTTCAGTGCACTTTGTGTGTCTAGCTTGTGTACGAGTATATAGACACAGTACATAGTGTGACTGCTGTGTGTATGGAGTTCAGTGCACTTTGTGTGTCTAGCTTGTGTACGAGTATATAGACACAGTACATAGTCTGTCTGTGGTGTCTGCTATAGGCATATAGTGAACTGTACCTGGCCAATAAGTACGTCAGACACACTCTCAGGGCAGTGCAGCTCAGCCACTCGCTGGGCGTCGTCCCACGCCTGCTGATGAACATACATCAGAACTGCCTCCTTTGGTTTCCCTGCAGCCGCGAATGACTCTTCAGCCTCCCTGAATTTACCCTGAGAGAAGGCAGTGGTCGACTCAATGAGGAAAAGTAGAGAGAACGGTGACATTTCAGAGAGAGAATAGAACAAACGAGAGAGCGGTGAAGGGAGTTAGGATGAAGTCTCTCACCTCATCTTCAAGGTGCAGTGCTTTCTTCAGGTGAATATCCGTGACCTTTTCTTTCAGTGCTACTTTAGCGATGCTGAACGCAAAATCAAACTCACTAGATAGAGACGAGAGAGAGAGAGAGAGTTTCGTAATTATCCCACTAATTACCAGGGGTTTACTCACAAGTGATCAGTGGCATAGTCAACGGCAGTCTCCAGTAGACCAAACTTTGACATCAGTTTTACTGCACTGTCTCCGCCTGCAACAGGATGGAGTCTCTTTCACTTAGAGTGCCCTGGACTGCCATTTCTATGTAGCTATACATATATTCAGCAAGTTCAGTTTCTATCAAAAGCTGCTCTTCTTCTACTAGTACACCTTTTCATTCAAGTTTATTGTTGCTTGTCGGTGAGTGAGTTGTGGCAGTGAAACCGACCGATTGTCTTACCAGTGAAACTGGTCTTACCAAGGTTCTGAGCCCAGGTGTACGCCACTTGGTTGGCTGCACTCACTCCACCTCCATTCTTTGCAACCTGCGAAACACACAGCAAACACTGTTCTCTCAACCAACACTATAGTCAGGTTTCTGAATATACTGATGCATTGGACATACATACCCTGTGGGCATCTTCCCACTGTCCCTTCTCTCTGTACATGCTGACTGCTGATTTCCAATCCCCTGCCTCCAGGAAATGCTTCTCAGCTGGTCTCACTGCTCCCTCCGCCTCTAGCTCCTGCGGCGAGGGGCCGGGGAGGTCAATGAGTCTGTAATTACAGGAGCTACCCCGTGTTTACCTGGGCCAGGAGGAGGTGTGTCTCTGTGAGGAGATCGCTGTGGAATTGAGCCACCAGATGAACCATTGGGTCGTACTGTAAGACAGAGAGTATTTGCAGTTAAACAGGGACGCCTGATGACACCCACGAAAGTGCCCTTCACTCCATGTATTAGAACCAATTGTCCTTTATAGAGAGGTCTTCCTATTTAGGAGCGTTCTTTTCCGGAGGTTTGAGTGAAATAGGTGGGAAGTTGAGAAAGAGAGAGAGAGAGAGAGGGGGGCTCACCTGCCGGGCCTTCTTGTACATACTGATGGCTTGGTCTGGTTCGTTCACCAACAGAAACAGCTGCTCCGCTTCACCCAGCCTCCCTTCTCTCTCCATCTGGCCGGCCTGTGGGGTTCAGCACAAAACACGTTCATGTATGGATTTGAAGAAATCGCAAAGTAATTGTCGTGAATGCCTTTTTGCTGAAAGTTTTAGTCGTGAACGTTTTAAGCATTGCAGAATGGAGGCACAGGGAAGTAACCAAGAGAGGGAGGGTACCTGGGCCACGTAGAGTTCCCTGATATCATCTGGAGGCATGCAGCCAACAGCCACTCGGTGAGCCGCCCTCCAGTCCTCAGCTCTCACATACATGTCCATAGCCTCCTGCACACACAAACAAACAGTATACGATGGCTAGATTGACTCTGGCAAACAATACATGTACACAGCGTCACGAGTTTCCTTTGCAACTTCAACAGCCTAAAGTTTGAGTGTCTGTAAAAATGACACTAGAACTGTACCCGTGTGTTTAGAGTAGTTGATACACTTTAGAAACAGTTTATCTTCGTACGAAGGCAACTTTATTCTGCCTACTATACCTGAGCCATGTTGGCCCTGAGGAAGTATTTCTCTGCCATGGGCAGATCTCTGGTGGAGGCAAAGTGAGAGGCCAGTAGCTGGTAGTGTTCGCCTGCCTGGTCCGGCTGGAGCATGTCCACTATCTGCACCGCCTTGGACCACTGGCGGGATATTATCGCCGCTTCTGCTGCCTTCTCCAGTCGCCTGGAGAGTAGGGACAGAGAGAGTTATAGCTATAGTTGGACGAGAGAAACACTGATTGGTTAATATGCATTCGGTACAAAAAACTGGGATCTACATATTGATACAGAAGCAGCAAACTACTGACACAATAAAAATGTGATAATGAAATAAAGATGTTCTCTGTGGTCCAGTGTGAGCTCACCCGGCCTCAATGAGGTGGACAATGGCAGCCTCGTACTCTCTCCTCCCACACAGGTACACTCCCCACTCCTCCTCCAACTTCACCACCTGACACATGGAGATCAATCGTAAATCGAAAAAATCGCGGATTTTAAGTCATGTAAGTAGTCACAAATTAATGCTGCCGTTCAAATTTGCATACTAGGGTATCATGCGAAATAGAATTCCTACTGTGTGAACTTTTTTGGTCAATGAAATTCTTCTATCTTTACCTTACTGAGCAAGTACAGTGGTTCCTTCACATGCTATTGGGAGTAGTAAAGTGTGCTATACCTGGGTGGGGTAGGCAGATCTGGCCAACTCCACCGCTCTGCGGAAGGCCCCGGCTCTGCGGTATGCCTCCATTGCCTGTTGCAGCTCCTGTGCCTTCTCAAACAGCTCCCCGGCCTTCTCAAACTGACCTCCCTCACTCAGAGACGACGCTATGTGCCTCAGGAGATCCGGCTGGCTAGACAGCTCCTACATGGCACTTTTCAAATTTCAGCACACATTGCATGAGCATACACTATTCTAGGTGTATAAAGAGGAGCCTAGACCACATGTTTTTTATATTTTCATGGCTTGATTGCAACTATGCCAAGATTTCGGATTTTGCTTGTTTGACAAAACTCTTCTCAGTTCATCAAAGTTCAGACCTGGTGTTGGGAGATGAGTTTTGCAGCTTTTCCCGGGAGTCCAGCCTTCATGTAGAGAGAGATGGCTCCTGGAAGGTCTCCCTCTCTCTCCTTCATCTTCCCGGCCCTCTCCTCCTGCCCGCTGTCCAGGAGGTGCTGGTAGTGGGTGGCTTTCAGAGTGGCCAGGTCTGGATGACTCTGGGAGAGGATTAGGAGAGAGAGAGAGAGAGAGAGAGAGAGTAATCAGACATGGACCATAGAGCGGGAAGCTTTCAAGAAACGTTCGTAATTCAGTAGCAAACGAGAATTGTCCAGCAATAAAAATGTCCCCACCCACAAATTTCCCCGCCCACAAACTTTCACGACAAGTCAAAAAAAGAGAGAATTCGCCAGTTTTTCCCCCCACTCTACTAACCCTTGCTGCAGCGACTTCAATTGCGTCCTCCCATCGATGCAGCTCTTGGTACATTGTCATCACCATATCCAGTTCACCCTATGACATGTACATAAAAGTGGGAGCACTTTCAACATCAGTGTGTGTGTGTGTCTGACTCTCTCTAGGAGGATGGCCTCGGCTTGTTTCAGCTGTTTGTTGAGTGCCGCCATTTTGGCCTCCACCAGGTAGTGAGTGGTTCCATCCTGTCCCTTGAAGAAAGACAGAGAGGGAAGGGAAGGGAAGGTGGGAGTAAAGCAATAAGTTGTAGATCTGCTTACTGTTTCTAGGGTCATCTTGTCAGCTAGTTTGCCGACCTCCCTCAGGTATCGCACCTTTGCCACATCTCCCAGAGCAGCATAACACCTGCACATACAGACACACGTCCATCTCCTCCTTTTTGCCTACTCATTACATCATCGTTGTTGAATTTGAGAACGTGCCTGACATGTTCCAAAACATACCAGTCTCGAAAATGTAAAAATGCACATACCTCAAATCACAACATTTTACAGTGACTACAGGTACTCTCCTATCCCTCTGTATTCTCCCCTCCCCTTATGTAGGCATGTACTACCTCTCTGCTATCTTGAGCTTCCTATCCTGGAGACTCAGCTGCCCCAGAGTTCCCCACATGGCCTCGCTCTCTCCACTCATCTCCAGTCCCTCGAGGAAACTGAGGGCTCTGAGGTAGTCCCTGTCGTCAACTGCCGTCCCAAACTCAATCAGACCTTCGTCGAGTGTGTACGTCACCGTGTCAACTCCAGTCTTCACCATCACCTCCGTACGGCCGCCCCTTCGTTCAAGACTCGTCACCTCACCCTGTACATACGTGCGGAACCACAGCAGGACATTCTTGCTGTGTGTACATGTGGATGAGAAATCACACACAAACTATACCACACAGCAGGAAAATTCCCCGAATTTTGAGATCTGAAAGCCATCCACAAAAGCTTATTGTGTAGGGCTGGACTGTAGTGAAATATTCAAGCAATTCTTGAAACTTCACATATATATCGCAATGTATGTGATATGATTTTTGCAGGTATAATGTCAACTCCTTCGAAAGTTTCTGCTGCATAAATGGCAACTGAGGTGGGGTAAGCCCCTGGGAAACGAGTGAGTAATTAACCCTCACCTTCAGAGGGAACATGGTAGTCTTGTCGGGGATGTTGATGTTGTACCAAACGCAGAGACTGGTCTTGTTCTGGGCGACGACAACGTCACTCTGAGGGATCCACTGAACGTAGGAGCAGTAGGAGAGGAGGGAGGTGAGGCTCTGGGTCCCCACGTCGTAGAGATGGAGGCGGAGGCGCCGGTCACGGAACAACAGCTTGCGACCAGTCTCGTTCAGCTGGGGGCAGAGGAGAGACAGTGTAAGACAGGATTATAGGGGATTTACAGCCTGCCCCCCCTCGTTCACTGCTCTAATGAAGATCATTGTAGAAATTTGCAAGACCATTATAAGCGAGGTGAAGGAGATGGAGAAAAGGAGCATTGGTTGGATGGTGGTATATACCTCAAGCCAGTTGATGATGCTGTCATGAGGAACAGTAGCCAATACTGTCCCCAAACTGAGGTCCACTGTAAAGAGACAGACAGAGGCAGAATATCAAACAACAGACAAACCTCAAGAAGGAAAAAGAAAAAGAAAGAAAGAGGGAAAAAGGAAAAGGTGACGAGAGGCTCACTAATGCAGATGGTACGGAGGTCAACGAGGTATGCCAGTTTCTTGCAGTCGGCCTCCTGGTCCTGCCGGTGTTTCCTCTCATTGATCCTCACACTGAGCAGATGGGGACTCATGTGTTCAGTCCTCACTGAGCCCAACACCTCATTCACACCGTACTCCACCAGTGACAGCTCCCCCGCATTGAATATCATACAGACCTGGGGGAGGATGGAGGAAGGGAGCGTGAGAGAAGGATTAGAAACGACTCACATTTTCGTTTTCGAGGTAAAACTTTTCATTCCCTCCTGACTGCCAGGCGACCTGCAAAGAACAACACAAACCCAGCAAATTGTGAATCCAGTTTCAGGGACATAAAAAAACTTTTCACAAAAAAACCTTTTGTGAGTACGTATAGCTGTTGGACTTGAAAAATTTAGTCATAGAGGTCTTTGGTCTTACCTCACTCAGTTTGCAGCTGGCAAGGTCACCCAGGAGGAGGGTAGGAGAGGTGTGTCCAACCAGATACCTCTCCCCTCCCAGTACCTGCACCTGCTTCACCTGGTGTGATAGTCATGTGATCTCTGGTGGGAATCATGTGATGTTTGTTTACCTCGTATCCATGGCGAGACTTCATATTGACCCTTGACCCAGTACTCATATTGGTAACAATCACCTACAAACAATGTACAGTTAATTGGTAGTAAACACACATTTGTTTGTTGTTGTTGTTGTTTACCTGACTGAGAGCAACGTAGGTCATCTCAAATCTCTTGTTGTAAATAACTCTCTTCAGATAGCAGTCAAACATCTCCAGAGCTCCACAGAGCGAGCCCTGCACACATAGAGAGAGAATTTCTCCACAAATGAGAGGGTTCTCCTCTTTAATTAAAAATCCTGTGAATTAAAAAAAGAGGCATATAGGGATAGTATAAAAAGAAAGGGAGACAAGATAGGGATGGGATACGTGAAGCATGGTCAACGAACTGTGAGAGCACACTGATATATACACCCAAGCCCATACTACATATTGTTGTCTCTCACAGCTAGTAGTCGTGAGCCGTCCCTCTTCCAGGAGAGAGCAGTGACAGTGTAGAAATGAGGAATGTCTCTGAGAGTTGACTCCTCCCACGACCCACTCTCAGACACCCACCTGAACACACGCAACCTGCAAGAAATGGAGAGAGGGGGAAGCTTTGAAAGAGGGCAAAAGGGAAGGATTAGAGGGATTTTGGCAATTTATAAGGGCTATGTTTAAGGAAAAAACGGGAAACCTAATTCCATTCTTGAACTGGGCCCTATTGCCCCTTATACATACTTTACACACATTCCCTTTAAAACTAGCTCACAGATCTCATGTGGGAATACTAGAGTGATATGTACACACCTGTCAAAGGAGCCGAGGACGAGGGCCTCTCCACTGGGGCTGGTGGAGGCACAGGTAAACTCCTTCTCCTCTTCGACCTTGGAATAGTCAAACTGCTGCAGCTTCTGCGAGCAACGCATATATACCATGGAGCCACATTCAACACACTAGTTGCCAGCTTCGTAAAGTCTCATTCTATAGACTATGCATGCATACTGAGTGAGATTACACTGCCATAGCACAGTGGTTTGAGGTGTCGTGGGTTCGAATCCCACCCAGGCACCTCTTCTTCTTTTCTTTGAAAAAAAAGAGCTGTCTTGGGTGTAGTTGACTTGTTTGCCTTGCCTTGCCTTTCTACCTCGCTACCAAGTTGTTGAGACATGCTTGCTAAAAATGAGCACTGACTCTCCACCTTTCCTCTCTGGGAGTAGAACTGGACTCTGCGATCACAGCCAGCTGCAGTGATGCAGTCAGCTGCGGACCAGGACAGCGCATACGGTGGACAAGAGTGTTTTACCACTGCTCCCTGCAGTACATATAGGGCCAGTAAGTGGGTAAGAGAGAGGGGGTTGATAGATTGCGAGCTTACCCCTGCTAATCCAGAACCATCTTCTTCAAACATGAACCTGATGATTGTACCGTCTGCATGTCCAGAGATTATACCCTTTCCAGAGGGGCTGCAGGGATACCATACCATGTATTATAGAGAATAAAAGTTGTATATACACTGTGAATGCTGCAAGTTTTGCTCCGTTTTACCTGACAGCAAGAGACACGACATAAGAGCCAGATGAGTAGAGAGTGTGGGTCTTGCTTCCTTTTCCAGCTCCCGATTTCACCTGCAGAATGTGCAGAGAGCCTGTCTCTATATACCTGCTCTAGTCCATATCATAGACCTAACGGTACCGAAGTTTTTCATTACCTTCCCATCTGCCAGACCAACGACGAAGTTTGACTGAGAGGACGGCCATACCAGACAGGTCACTGCACTCTTCTGCACACTCTTCCCACTGATTACTTTCTTCTCTCCCCTACAGCAGGGCTCCATTACTTTCTCGTCATCACAATCAACTCAGGGGCTCACCAATTCTCCCCGATGGTGTACACAAAGGCTATGTTGTCACTCTGACCCACAGCTACTCTGGTAGAGTCTGGAGAAAATGCCAGTCCGGTCACCTGGTAGCTCTGTTTCCCTAACTAAATGAGAAAACGACATATGTGACGGAAGCTGCAGGCCAATTCTGCAGGTTTACGTTCGGATCTGCAGGTTTTGTGGAGAATTTATCCCTCCGCTCGCCGTGATCGTCGAATAGCTGCACCACGCGGTCCACCGTCACCACTGCGAACTTCTTGTTGCTCGGGGCCCAGGCAACCGCCGTCACTCGAGCCGCTCCGTCCTGCGCGGGATTACTCTAATTAGTGCGCAGCTGATCCCGTCGGCGGCGGGAGTCTGCAGTTTCCAGGCCTACGGCAAAATGCATCGTCGCACGGCTTACCTGAGGTACCAGCACAGTTTTTAGATGCTTCAACTTCATTACTGATAGCCAAGAAACGCCCTACAGAGAGCGATTTTTGCCAATACACATCTGAGCCAACTGTTTTTTCACCTAGCAGTTGCCAGGGCAACACCATGAATTACGTCACCCGGTATAAAATTCACATCACGTGATGATGTGTGTTTAGCTATGACGTAGTTGTCAGTGTCCACAATATATATATACACACGCACGCGGAGCAGTCAGAACTGGTGTGAGGCAGTCCAGAGTGCCCTGCACAGCCTGCAGTCTGCAGGTGGTACAAAAAGATCGGAGAGCAGTTCTTGCTCATTATGCAGCTGTCGATCTGTCCGCAGATCCGTTTTTGAGCTGTCTCCATTCTTCAAATAGAGGTCTAAGCTCGCCCACAAGTACTCTCGGCGTCACGGATACAACATGCTAAGTGAGAAGAAGGACCTAATCTTGGCTGCAGTTTTAACCTAGCAACGCTACAGCACGTATTTCCAAATAGTGCCCACTCCTTTGATTTCTCCTTACACAGGTGGGGGACTAGGCGGTGGATTGTTTGGACAAACGCAGACCCCCGGAACAGGGGGCCTGGGGGGGATTCTGGGAGGAGGGGGACTCGGTACGGGGGGCACTGGAACCTCGGGGGGGCTCTTTGGAGCCAAGCCAGGCGGAGGACTCTTCGGGAGCAACCCTGCTGGAGGGGGTCTGGGGGGTGGGGGTCTTTTCGGACAGACCCCTGTCTCGTCTGCAGGGGGAGGCCTCTTTGGGCAGGGAGGTGGGATCCTGGGGGGCACTGGGCAAGCAGGAGGGGGCCTATTTCAGACCCCTCAGTGTGAGTAACAGAGGTAATGTAGGTGTAAAATTATATGATTCGTGTTTTTTCATAGCAAATCTTGGAGCTAGACCAGGTGGGTTTGGAGGTGGGGGGTTGTTTGGGCAGACCCCTGGGCTGGGAGCAGGAGTGAGTGTCACGGGGGCCGGCGGGGGGCTTTTCAATCAGTCGACCCCCTCTCAGTTACAGACCTCTGCCGGGGGGCTGGGTGGAGGTGGCGGACTATTTGGCGGAGGAGGTAACGAGTAGGGGTTTTACTCATAGATACTTTTTACATGTGGTTCGATTTTGAATTAGGTATTGGAGGATTGGGAGGAGGTCTGGGACTTGCAGGAGCAACTTCTGGTACCACCGTCAAGTTTGAGGTGTGTAATGAACCTTTATCGCGTCCAGTTTTACCCTAACCCTGGTTTTTACGATAACTTTTACCCACGTTGTTTTACTGTTTGGGCTCTATTTTACTGAGGCCTCTTCCTTTACCCTCTCTCTCTCTCTCTCTCTTCCCCACCTCCGCAGCCAGCCAAAGGCACTGACACAGTGATAAAGAACGGACTCACTCAGAACGTCAACACTCTCCTCCAGTGTATCACCGCCATGAAACCGTACGAAGGCAAGAGTATGGAGGTAAGTATGTATAGTAAACCAACACCTTTCACTGTTCGTTTTCTCCTTTTTTGATGGCTTGTTTATTTTTCCACTTTTCCTTGTGTAAAAGCGTACACCATAATTATGGTGGAAATATTTGTACAAAAAGTGTTTTAAATTTACGTGCGCCCCTCACAAAGTGTATGTGTACATGGTTAAAATTTTGTGTCTTCCGTTGCAAATTTCCGTGATTTTGCTCCGAGTATTGTCTCTCATCTTCTCTCTGTGTGTGTGTGTGTTTGGCTGGGTTGGTAGGAGCTAAGAATGGAGGACTACTCGGCAGGAAGAAAGGGACCCAGTGGACTGGGGGGACTAGGAGGAGGAGGAGGAGGAGGAGGGGGGTTGTTTGGACGTCAGCAGGTGCCGCAACCGACTGCGTCTGGTGGGCTGTTCGGAGCCAAGCCACTCGGGGGAGGTACGGTAACATGTGCTGTTGCACAAACCGTAAGTAGCAGACTTGATCAGGACCCTTTTGGATTGCCCTCAAACCTCCAACCCACTAAATATTCTTGGATGAACAATTTTTAGCTAATACTTTAATCTTGTGTTTATGATATTATGTTGTGATACGTTTGTACGGTATACAGGCCTAGTAGGTACGACAGGCACGGGACTGTTCAACCAACAGCCCCCTCAGACTGGACTGGGGGCCATGGGGGGCGGGGGGTTCTTCGGGGGGCAGACGAAACTCGGAGGTGGCGGGGGGGTGTTTGGGGGTCAGAGTGCGGCGCCTTCCCTGGGGGGAGGATTATTTGGAAGTCAGGCGGTGTCAAGTGGGAGTTTGTTTGGCGGTGGGACTGGAGGAGGTCTGTTCTCTCAATCTAACATTGGAACTGGTCTTGGTGGAGCGCAGGTATATACATCTTACGTGATGTAGAGTAAACTTTTACAGAGAACATGTAGAGTTTGTTTTATGCACTAACTTTTAGAGCGTTTCTTTGTAGGCAACACGTTTTCCCTCGCTGGGTGAATATCTTTTCTCTCTGTCTCTGTTTCTCTCTAAATCTTTCCCTGATTGGTGCTATATACTGCTGTCAGCTGGGAGCAGGAGGGGGATTGTTCAACAAACCAACTGGACTTGTGACCGGCGGTCTCAGTACTGGTGGACTGGGAACCAACACTGGTCTTGGAGGTGGGCCTATAGTTGACTGACTTGTATGACTACTATGTGACCTACACTACACACACACATTGTACCGTTGACATAATCTTGCGTAACACTGCTGATATTTTGTACTGTACATAGCCTTGCCAAGAAGTCTCTATTCTAGCACACAATTTACCCTAAGTTGAGTAAGAGAAGATATGCTTATACTGTTATTTCAGCAAACAAGAAACTTGACCAGTTTTCGTAAATGGCAGCATGACATTTTACTCTGTGTGTGTGTGTGTGTAGGAGGGTGGGGAGGACTGCAGACCTCAACAGCAGGGCTTGGCGGTGGTCTAGGTCTTCTCAACAACCAGACGAAGCCGGGCGGTCTCGGCGGAGGGCTAGGCGGAGCCCTGGGCGGGGGCCTCGGTGGACTGGGTGGAGGAGGGTTCGGCACCGCCGGTCTGGGCGGGCTCGGGGGTCAGAACAGGCCGACACTCGGAGTGACTGGACTGGGAGGTATGGGTCTCGGGACTGGGACTCTCGGCCTTGGAGGAGGTAAGAAACCTGCTTGGAACTTTTGGTCAGTTAAAATTTTGTCTGTAAAATTTATAGGTTTTGGTGGCGGTCAGCTCGGGCAGTTTGGCCAAACACAGTGGGTTATAATATAGTATACACTGCTACTAGAGCCAGTGCTCGTTTCAGTTTCATTGTCACTGCTCACACAGAGCGCAGACGCAGCTGCAGGCGCTGACAGCTCAGCAGCAGGAGATTCAACTGAAACAGCAGTTGGAGCTGATGGCCGCCTCTCCGTTTGGCGACTCGCCTCTCTTTCGCAGCGCCATCTCTGTGAGTCAGGGTTCTAGCTACAGTGGGGAAGCAATGGGGGAAGGATTGTTCTCAACTCCCATTTCTATGCCTGTAGCAAAATATGTGGAGGTTCATTGCAACTCCAAAGCAAGATCTCTCTAACCCAAAGCAAGATCTCTCTCTCACAGATGTCCCTTCTCTTTCCCTCCGTCCCTCCCTCCGTCTGTTGTCGCAGGACGCAGCTAAGAAGTCCAGTGCCGGCTCATCACCAGCAGTGTCAAAGGCTTCGTCCAAAGTGACTCCACACTACAGACCCAGCCTGCGCCCGGCGACCAAGATCCACACTTACTCCCACAGTCCGTCTCCCTCTCGCCTCAAGGGAAAGGCACGCCTGTTTCACGGTCTGGATGATTCTCGAACCGCCGGAGGAGGAGGAGGGGGTGCCCAAAGAGACGTTTGTTCCTCGAAAGAGCATCAAAACTCTCATCATCCAGCCGAAACGTAGTCCAGTAAGTTTGCTCTACCTGGTATATACATATAGTAGGATAGGTTTAAAACTTAGAGGAAAAATTTCATTGGGTCTGGAGCCATCAAAGTATGCACAAAAAGTGGATGTGAATGCAATAGTGAATGTGTTGATTTTACTTCAACATTTCTGCCTTTGTGGATGGCTCCAGATGCACAAAACAAACTTAGTTAAGTTTCCCTGACATATTTGTTGGCGTGAGCTGTTAAGTTGTTTGTGAATGTTTCCCCCTGTAGCCCCCTCTCCCTGACTCCACATCACCCCCTCACACCGATCTCACTCCTCACACTCCCATTGCCATGGAAACTCCTCCTATGAGCCACACCCACTCCCCGCCCCCTCGTTCGTCCATCCTACCCTCCTCCTCCTCCTCACCTCCCGCGTTCTCAGTCTCCAAGACAGGGAGAGATGAGAGCATTGAGAGTCCTCAGTTGAGACTGGGAACCACCTCCAACCTCATCGAGAAACCTATTCCTATCAGGTATATCCACTCATTACAGAATGGCCCAACCACCTGTGCAGCAGTTCATCACTGATTTTTGCTGCTTAGCCAACTGTTTCTGCGGTGCTCCATATGCACGATGGGGCATTTTCAATGTACAAGTGAAGTTTATCCCAAATGTTCTAACACTGATGTTGCAGACCCACTGTCTCTCCCGGCCGAGGGAGAGAGGGAACACCAGACGTGACCACACCCCCTCGACCGACACATACCAGTGACTCCACCCACACTCACTCCACGGAGACCACGCCCACATCTGGGTTGACTCGGCAACCGCTTCACTCGAGGGACGTCAGCAGTACTGACGGGTATATAAGAAACATCTGCAAAAATCTCCTACTCTTGATTATAGGGAGTTCTACCAAAAACATATCCTCACAAATGTTGTTAAAATATAAGAAGCACTTTAAAGTATTGTGCTTTTGCCAGCTTTAGTTATGAACCAAAGTGGCAGAAGAAAAGCGTCTACTTACAAACTCTCTTTTCCACCTCCGTAGCAACGACCTGGGGTTGGTTCTGACACGAAATGGTTACTACACTCAGCCGGTTCTCTCTGAGCTGGAGACCACCAAGACGGTGGAGGGGAGGTGCGAGGTGGAGAATTTCACCGTCGGCCGGAGAGGTTACGGGAAGGTCTGTTTCTTGGGAGTCACTGACGTGGTTGACCTGGACCTGGACTGCTTAGGTATGTACAGAACAATCTATACCACGTTTACATGGATGAGGTACATGGACGATAGAAAAGTTTTTAGCTAGAAAAATATCTTGTTTTGCCGGCGTCTATCGTATCCCTGTCAGCAAAATTTGATGTTGTTGCCCCTTTGAAAATTTTTTGCTATGCGATACATTTACTTCCCCTCTCTGTCATTCTCTACTTATCTCTTCCCTCTGTGACAGTTGTGATAGGAGTGAAGGAGGTGAGTGTGTACCCTGACGACAGCTGCAAGCCTGAGGTGGGGCGCGGTCTCAACAAGCCGGCCAGAGTCACCCTCGAGCAAGCCTGGCCCATCTGCAAGACCACTCGCCAACCAATAACAGACCCGGAGCGCCTGGACAAGATGGGCTACGAGGAGAAGCTGCGGCGATCCACGGCAAAGATTGGCGGGACTTTCATTGAATATGACCGCCAGACTGGAACCTGTGTCTTTGAGGTGAGGGTGGCGCACTATTTTCATGTGTTTTTCAACTGGTTCGTCCGTCGGCCTTTTCTCGACTGTTTCTCGACTTGTTTGTCTTGTTCTGGACTGGTTGGTCGTGTTTTTGACCGGTTTGTCAACTGGTTTGATTCAGGTGGAGCATTTCTCCAAGTACAAACTGCAGACCGATGATTCAGATGAGGAGGAAGGAGGGGAGGGAGAGGGGAGAGAGGGGCTACCCAAGAGAGTAAAGGTAAGCAAACTACTCTTCTCTTAACCACGTTAGTAAGGCATTGAACCCACCTACAAACAGAGAACATTGCACACTTGTGTTCAGACTGCAATATTTTTTACACGTGTGCATCGTGCGTTGTTTAGACACGCATGAACCTTGTTTTCTGCCAAAAAATTTGCATGCAAAATTGACAATTGTGCACAAATTTTGCAATGTCAACCGTTTTTACTTCCTCATTAGATGGCTAAAGAAGGTCACCAGGCACGACAGACGAGTTCTAAAACCGGTCAATCAAGTTTCAAAACCAGTCAGACTCGCCAGTTGGATGAGGACGAAGCTATGTCAGACGAGGAACAGTTCAGGGATGCCGAAGATGGCGTTGCACCAATGGAACCACGCCCACCTGCCCCTCCCCCTTCTCACAGCATGACAGCAGCTATGGGGTTAAATACTCACCACATTCAGGTGATGAAGGCCTCGTTTTTTGGAGCCAATAAAAGAGGCAACCCAGGGGGTGTGGTCAGGGGTGGTTACCATTGGCAACCAACTCAAGATCAAATTGGAGGACACGGCAACTGGTTGCTATCAGGACGACATCGTCAGTCCGATACTATTGCGACCGGAATGGAACGAACACTCGGGGGAATTGAATTCCGTGACACTCCGTCTCCGATCCCGTACCTACCCTCAGACACTCCCTCCCATCATTTCCGTGGCAACAAGGCTCAACCAACTCGTGCCACGCCCATCCCTACCCCTTCTCAGAGTCTCCTGGACTTTGCCGGCGAAGATTCACTCCATCACTCCACAGTCCAGAACCTCTCTCGTTCCTCTTTCTTACATTCCACCACTGCCGGCAGATCCGCCCGTAGACCACGCCCACCTGCCCCACCTACCTATGGGTTAATCAAGGGTCAAGTAACACCTCGAGGTGACCTCAATTCTCTCGTTCCAATGTCTGATAGTTTGGTCTGTGGACGGACTCGTCTGGCAGCTGACGCTGGACTGTTTCTGGGGCGCTCGTTTCGCGTGGGGTGGGGCCCGAACTGGACCCTGTCTCATTCCGGTTCCAGCATCTCTGGAACCAGACATGGGAATGGGACTCACTCCCTCCAAGTGGTGGTAGAAAAAGTGTCCCCCACTCCATTCATGATCAACGCTCCACCTCAAAGGATATCCGTTAGTTCACCAAACACTCCATAATTTTAGCTATTCATAACTTTTCCTCCGTTTTATAGCCATTTTTCGAGCCATACCTGGCCTCACAGTTGGAGCACAGCGACGTGAAGTTTGATTCCGATTCTTCCATTCCCCGGTTCCACCCCAAGGAGGGGGCGTGTCTCCTCCATGGTTTCGATGCCCTCTCTCGGCACCTGCCTCCAAGTCGGGACGGCGACGGACTGGCCCAGAGGCAGATGCAGCTGTTGTGGGGGCTGGCCATGGCTCTGTGGGGGGAACTGGAGGGAGCCAGTGAGAGTAGGTCTCTCTCCCTCTCTCTCGTTTTCTCTTTTCTCTTTCTCCCAAGATTTTGTTAATAATATTATGCACCTTGTATACACACCAGTGTTTTGTGTGCTTGGGTGGGGGAGGTTCTTTCTTTTCCTCTGATATTATACTTTCAGCTAGTATGCTATAAACATGTTTTTTCTTGTATACACACCATGAAAACTTGAAAATTCAAAAAGTGAGTATTATTTGTGTGTGTTCAGACCCAGCTCTGGCAGACCAGACGTCTTACGTGCACCGCCTCGCGCGACGTAAGGCGGTGACTCGCTGGCTCATGCAGGCAGCTGCTTCCACCGTGGAGAAAGAAGTTTCAGCCTCCGGGGACACAGTGAGTGCATCTAAAACTCTCGGGGGTAAAGCAACGTTTGTTGTGCCAAAAATAGGCGTAATTATTGGCATCTTTTTCCACAAAACTATGGGTATCAGTAAATTTTGTTGTGCCATTTGTTACCCGGTATAATTATGCTAAAACCTTTACCGGGGTAAACAGGAAGTAGGTATTTGTTACAACTGGAGTATCTATTGGTTACTCCGAAATCGTCCTAACTTATCCCAGGACTCGGAGTACCTCGGAGCCCTCCTGAGTCTGGTGTCTGGACGGCAGATTGCGGGGGCGTGTCACCTGGCCCACAGACACGGTGACCACAAGTTGGCTCTGTTGCTAGGCCAGATCACTGGTGGCAAACCAAACTTCAGACGACTCGCCTACGAACAGCTGGACCTGTGGAGAAGACTAGGGGTGAGGGCAGCTGCTGCTCACATTTAGGAGTCCAGCTACTGTATGTAGATGATAGCTAGTGGAAAAGATTTTTTTCACTTAGAACGACTATATATTAGTGGAGAATGGATAGCTTGAGACTGAAAAGTGTCCTACTCTCTACAATGTGCAGTGGAACCTCTGAATAAGGGACAGGTTGGAGACATTTAAAGTCTCCTTTATTCAGAGTCTTCCTATATTAGGAGGTAGTGAAACACACTAACATAATATTAGTCTGAGGCAGAATCAAGTGTCTCTTATAGACCTGAGTGTTATTAAGAGGTCATTTGTTGGAGGTACATACCACTGTAAACCGTCTGTTCCTTTCTCTCTGTCTTCTCCTCCAGGTACAGGAGCACATCTCCTGCCCCAGACTCTGTCTCTATGCTCTCCTGGCAGGTCTCATGGTGTGGGACAGAGACGAAGAGGGGGAGGGAGGGGAGGGAGTGAATGTCTGCCGTGGCCTCGACTGGAAGAGGGTGTTTGGCCTCCATCTCTGGTACAGCTGCTCTCCCACTGCCAGAGTCGCTGAGGCTGTCGCTCAGTTCACCAGAGCCTTCTCTGTAAGTGCCACAGTTGCACATACAGTTGGCGAGTGACGAAAGCCAACCTACATAGTCCTCTGAACGTGCAAGATCATCACATTGAGTGGGTCACACTGTGTAGTGTTCTGTTGCTGATGCTTGGGGAGAGGAGGCGATATTGGGGAATTTTGCTGTAAACAGTTTTCTTGGCTGAGGTATTTTGATACGAGGTTGGAAATTCTCATTTCAGGATGAGGGTTGCTACACTCTCCCTCCTGTACCGGCATACATGGAAATGAAGGGGGCGGGGTTTGTCCCACCCACTTTTGGTAACTACGACGACTTGACGCTGGACTCGTGTTTCCACCTCCTCCGGTTGTACTGTGCCAGAGACCACAGTCTGGAACGGAGTCTGGACCCAGCCACCTCCGTTCCATTCCACCTCGACTACAGAATCAGGTACATATCACTATTGAATAAAAGACATTTCCGTACGTGCCCTTGCGTCTGTGGCCTATAAAATTGACAACATGCATCTTAGGAGTGTAATACATCTCTCTCTCTCTCTCTCTCTCCCATTGCAGCTGGCACCTGTGGAGTGTTCTCCATTCTCTCTACTACACCCACCTCCACGCGTCGTCTCTCTCCCTCCTCCACCTCAGCTTCTCGTCGCAGCTGGAGTCAGTGGGTCTGTGGCACTGGGCCGTGTTCGTCCTCCTCCATCTCCCTCTCCCTGCTGCCAGGGAGGAGTCTGTCAGAGCCGTCATGATGAGAGGGTGTTCTGCCAGTGAAGAGATGACTGATGAAGAGGTGTGTGTGTGTGACCTTCTCATTCCCACACCTTCCCCAACTGCGTACTTGATTAATAACTTCGTACACACTCTTAAAATACTTTATTGCTAATCGTTGTTTTCGCAGAATATTTTGGTGAACTTTATCAGTCAGCAAGCGTGGCACACAAACTTTCATTTTTTCACACAATTTTTCTTTTTAAGAAGAGTTCCAGTTCTTTGTGTGAACAGTTTTTTTTCTGTAGGAGTTTCTGGTGGAAAGTTTGCAGATCCCTGAAACATGGGTCTACAGTGCAAAGGTTAGCTTCCTTAAAAAATATTTCATGTCAGATATTTCTTTGCCATTACTGTTGATCAGGCTGCGAGGGCAGGCTATGACGGTAACCATCGGCAACAGGCTCTGCATCTCCTGCAGGCTGAAGAGTGGAACCACGCCCACTCTGTTATCATCGACCATCTCGCTGCTGATGACATCATCAGTGGTACGTGTGTGAAAAGAAAAACTTTGCAAATCACTCAAAAATAACTTCACGGAAAAGCCTTTGCAAATGCCGTTGGTGTGCATGTGCATGATGCGTTCAAAATTTTTTTCGCGGCTGAAAAGTTCCCTCTCCACAGGTGACACAAGTTCTCTTCAAAACATGCTGGCAACTCTCTCTGATCCAAGTCACTCCTCCAACATACCAAACTGGGACCACACTGGCTCGGTGAGTCTCATTCCGGAACTGGAACCAGACCGTTCCCCTCTTGTCTTCCTCTAGGGTTACCTCGACTTCCTCCGCATTTCATCTCGACTTGAGAAGATGGCCCAGGTGAGGGGAGAGATTATGTGACTGTCATGTGATTGTCAGGTGATCTCACGTGAACCCAGGAGTCAGAGGAGGTGGACAGTTATGAGCTGGAGGACCTGTATGCTGGGCTGACTCAGCTGGCTCAGAGAGTTCGCCACCTCCCTGCTCGCAGCCCCAGAGAAACGTGAGGACCACTGTAGAGAGAGCTACATCAGATACACACAGTGACTGTGCATAATTAGACGTCGGCAGATTCAAATTGACCAATCAGATTGCATAATTATTTGCCGACAGATAATGTAATACTGTGGAACTTAGACGTTGCACATATTTACTGTCAGATATGCACAGACTGTACCCACGTACATATAAGACATACCATCAGATATGCAATGGAACAACCTCTGACTAAGGACCACGCATTTTGGGGAGATTGTCTTCTCTGCAGTGTACTAGAATAGTAGAAACATATTTATCCAGGGGTTTTCTGATTGTGTCATTATTTGGAGCGTATATTATCAGAGGTTTGTATACATTCTGCAGACTTTGTCAGGTGGAGATTGCCAGACGTACTGCGGCCTACACAAAGGTGGTCTGCGAACTGAGAATGAATCTGATTGGTGGAGACGACATGACAGACCCGCCCAACCCCTCCCGGGAGATCGGCCACACCCTCCTTCCCCTCCCACTTCCGTCAGACGCGGTACTGGCTGAATTTCGCCAGTTGATCCAACCGCACATTACTGAGCTACTTGTCTAGCCCTTCCCTCTGAAATTGACTGTGAATAAACTCGTTCTGCATTGCAATAATATTGACCAAAGAGCATTATTTAATGTATGACTGTGCAAAAAGTAACATTTTTATTTGGCTGTGAAACGTAACTACTAACCAATTACGTTATGGCTTATGTATAATATTATACAGGAAACTTGAACCACTTTGTCGGTAAATATGAAACAATATGTGGTGCTATAATTATTCAGTTTCAGTGTCGATGGTGACGAGGAGCGACAACAGCTGAGGATACTCCCGAGGCTCCGTGGCCGTGTTCTCGTGGTGACCTGCGTCGACGATCGCGCGAACTGCTCCCACTTTCCGAGATGTTCCTCAGCACCAGCTCCCGCTGTACCTCCTTCCTCCTCCGCTCCAACTGGTGGACGTTGCGAATGAGCTTGTCGCGGAGTACGCCCTCTTCTGCGACTCTCTCTCTCCGCCTTTGCTCGGCCTCCTCTCTCTGCTCTCTCTCCTGTCTTGCCCTCTTCTCTGCCTCCTCCTGTTGGTACCTAGTGCCAGGAGGGGTCAATGAGACTTTGGTACTCTGTGGCAGACGGTGGCTCAGTTTGGTACGGTTTCGGCAAGAACTCACTTTTCTTCAGCAGCTCCTGCGAGTATGGTCCTCAGAAGTCTCTGGGCTTCACCTCTTCGCTGGACGGCGACATTCTTTAACTCTGTCACCACTGCCACCCTTTGCTTCCTCTTTTTCCTCCGTCTCTCCTCTCTCTCTGCACGCCGCTTTGCTGCCTCTTCCTCCCTCCTCCTTTCTTCTTCCTTCATGAGATAAACAAACGGAGAGGCTCTTAGACCATTTGACATAACAGATTGAAACGTATACTCTATAAGGAAATGTCACGGGTGTGTAGATAGGTAATGATAACATACTTGTGTACGGAATGTGTGACTATGCAAACTTCACCACAGAATACACCGCGCATTTTGCAAGTTTGTTTCATCCTTAAAATCTGTATACTAGATATACCTGATCTATAATTATTCATGAACAGTGGTACCGCAAGTAATCTCTGTGTCCTTACAAAGGGGAGGGGGGTAGAGAAGGGAACTAATCGTGTGTTTTAGGCCACCGTATATACCTGTCTCCTTCTCTCTTCCTCTCTCTTCTTCTCCTCCTCCAAGCGTCGTTTCTCCTCCATCTCCTCCCTTCTCCTCTCTTCCGCCCTCCGTCTCTTCCGAACGTTCCTCTCGCTCAGGAACGCCGTCTTGTCGAAATCCACAGCTATCCTCACCACGGCCTCCTTACCTCCCTCCTCCAGTCGCAGAAGTGACATCCCCTTCAAAGCACCCATAGCATTATTAAAACCAGCATACTTTTCATACTGGATATACGCCTCGAAATAAAACTGTCGGGAACCGGGCCCAAATGAAGAGAATTTCTCCTCCTTTCGTCCGAGAGCCGCCGCGGCCGTGGGGTCGTAAATCCCGACCTGCGACACGGTGCCGAACTTCTGGAAGGCCTGGACGAGGACCTTGTGACACGGACGCCCACTGGAGGTTCTGCTGGTGAACCATTTGACAGGGAGACCGCTTATTTTGAGCGTGTCCGCCCGCTCACCTGGCCGGCCGTCGTCGAAGGAAGAGACGCCTCTGGACTGGAAGTGCTCCTCCCACTCGGCCTTGGTCGGCTGCGGCGAGGCGACCTGCTTCGCCTTCAGCTTCAGGAGCTCGGAGAACCCGCTCAGCTTCATGCTCTTGCCGTGGAGGAGAAGGACGATCTTGCGGACGTTGCGCACGGAGTCCAGCTCCCCCTCGAACTGGATCAGCTCCCGCGAGTAGTTCGAGACGCGGAGGCTGATGAACTCGACTGGCATGGAGAGGGCCTTGATTTTCTCCATCACTTCCCAGTTGGAGATGGATTTTCCCGAGTCCTTGATCTCCGGGAGCTTTACTTCTATCCACACGCGAGCCTCTGGCTTCAGAAACAGCCCGGCAGGCAGGTAGAACGCCAGGGGAACGTCGTCGGCCATTGTTAGTACTCTCGCTCCGTTTACCTATGACCTTTCCTATTTAGAGCGCACTCTTTTCCATGTGGAGCGCACCCAGGTATTTTTGAAAAAGAGCGGGCGTTTTTCAAGGAGAAAGAGAGAGGGACGACTCTGTAGGACATGGCTACGGCTACGGAGAGAAAGTTCACTAACCTGAGGAAGCGACTGGACCAACTAGGCTACCGGCAGAGCCTGGGGGTGGAGTCTCTACCCCTGGTAGAGAAGCTCTTTGGCGACCTCCTGCAAACGACAGAGAGTCTCAAGAGCGCCAAACAGCAGCTGGGTAGGCAGCAGGAACAGAAAACAGTCTGGGAACAGCAGGTAAAAGGCTAAAAGCTATAATGTACACATAGTCAAAGGGAAGCTGATTTTTTGGGTTTTGTCCCCCTCCCCCTCAGGTGGAACCATACCGTGCCGACAATGCCAGAGTGGTGCAAGAGAATACCAAACTGCACCAGCAGCTCCTGAGACTAAAAGAGAGCGCAGAGTCCCGCATGCGGGACCTCAAAACTGTTCTCCGTCGGCTGGAACACGAGAATGCGGACCTAAAGTTCCTCAACACGCAGTACGTGACGAAGATGAGGAGTCTGGAGCGAGAGTCGGAGACCAAGAGCGAGCGGCTCCTGGCGCTCCACCAGAAGAGCTGCGAGGCTGTCATCAGGACACCAGGGGGGAAGAAGAGACAGGTTCCTCTGAGAAGACAGAGAATGGAGGTCGACTCACTACTTCACCCTTCTTCTGCCACACACATGGTAAGATTAAACTTGGGAAAATGTGCATTAACTCCTCATATGGCATCCAAAACTAACATTGGAGCCTTCAGAGCGACTTAAAAGATCATCAGTACTAGGAAAATGCATAATTAGGCCTTATGTAATGAGCACTGTACATTGTAGGATGGAGGGAGTGAAAAGCCGGCAAGAAGACACTCTCCTGATCCCTATGTTGCTGACCTTCTCCAGGTATATAACCAGAGCAAATATTTTGTGAGAATGTGCAATTTTTGCACTGATTATTTTGGGTGGGTACATGTGCAGGTGGCAGACAAGAGGATAGCTCAGCTCCAGGTCAGTCTGGAGACGGCTGACAGAGAGAAAGAAGAGCTGCAGCAGGTCTTACAGGGACTGAGGCAACAGGTGCAGCTCTCTCTCTCTCTCTCTCTCTCTCTCTCAGCACCAATTCAGCCTCAGTGAACACTTTCTCTTGTTCCTTTAATCCGCGAAACACTTAAGAATGGAAGAAACACAGGTCAACTTACGAATGAGACACTTCAGCCTCGGTAGATGGGGTTTGGATCTAAGAACTCACCATTTCAGCCTACTTTCATCTGTCGTTCTTCCCTTGCACCCCTCCCTCCATACCCCTCTCCTCTCCTCTCTCCTCTCCTCTCTCTCTCTCGTGAAGGTTGAGAACAGAGAGTCAGAGATAGAGAGACTGGCCGGGATGCTGAAAGGAGGAAGACCACCAGAGGCTCTGGCAGTCGAGGGAGCTAGGGCCTCCAATGAGAGAATGGTTGCACACCTCAACATACAGGTTTGCCATTTCCAAACACCTCTTGTGTGAAATTTCTGCGGCACTTTTTGCAAGTATACTTAATATTGTACATAGATGCCTGAATAGAAGCATTGCCACCATACCGTTTAACTGGCAAATGACTTAAAATTTTTGGTGCTTTGAGTGAGTTATTTTGGCTGCAGGTTGACTTCCTCCAGCAAGCCAACCAGGAGCTGGAATCGAAACTGAAAGATGCCGAGTCAGCCAACGGAGACCTGCAGGGACGAGTTCAGGAGCTGAGTGGGAAGAACGCGAAAATCTGTGAGGGTGAGTATATATGGTCAGGGTCATTTTTTACATACAACGTCATTTTAAACACCAAGTCGCAAATAGCAAACTAAATGAGTTGCTGCATTATTTCTCTCTCATAGAGCTAAGTGAAATTGGGGAACTCGTGAAGCAGCTGGAAGCAGAGAGAGAGGGAGGCGAGGAGAAGTACAAGGAGAAGATAGCCGAACTGGAGGCCAGAGCAGAGGGACTGGAAGAAGAGAAGCAAGAGCTTGCCTCGAAGCTGGAGGAGATGAGGAGAGTTCGCGAAGAGGTCACCACAGACAACAGGAGACTGGCAGAGATCGTAGTGGTGATGGAGGGAGAGGGAGAAGAGGCAGCTGCCATGCTGGAGAGCCTGAGGAGAGAGAGGAAGGAACTGAGGAGAGAGTGTGTACAGCTCAGGGAGAGAGGTGTGTGACCGTGTGACTAAAGTCTTTCGTGACAAAAAACTTCTGCGGATTTTATGAAATCGTGAAATGCTGCTCTGAAGGAGAAAGGCAGAATAATTCAAACCTGTATTTCTTTACGCAGAGTCATCCCTGCAGAGACGAGTGAGTGACTTGGAGAGGTCGGGGGGACAGAATTTCCCTGGGGGGTCGGTGAGTCAGGGGGAGGTGAGGAGAATTTGCAGAGAGAGGGACCAGTTGAAGGAGGCCACCAGTCAGATGGAGGCTGAGCTGATTCAGGTAGGGAGGAGAGGGTTTTCAGAAGAAATATGTTTCTCTCTTTTCCTCTTCAGATCCAGAGCGATGCAAAATCTCTAGCCAATGACAGAGACAACTTTAAACTTCTCTATGAACAGGTCAGTCTCTTCCTCTCCTCTTTTCCTTGTCTCCTACTTTTTTCTTTTTTTTCTTCTTTTTTCTACTTGTACAAAGTTTGGGGTGCGCCTGGTACTTTTAGTAAGAATGCGGGGGAAATAAAAGGCAAAGAAACTATCTTGTATACCTCGACTATATAGCTAGAGTGTGTAGTGAAATCACTCACAGACTGTTACGTTGAATACAAAACCTCTCCATTTGCACTCTCCTTCCTTTTGCTATTCTCTCTCAGAATTTTACACTGCAAGTGTGTGTGTGTGTGTGTGTGTGTGTGTGTGTGTGTGTGTGTAGGTGCAGGAGGAGGTTCGAAGGCTAAGACTGGAGCCCCATGGAGCACAGGGATCAACCACTCTGGTACAGAGACTGGAGAGAGAGAGGGACGATGCTCAGAGGGAGCTGAGAAAGGTTAGTATCACTAGTACTTAGTGTATAGGGATGGGCATGGTATATACCTATGTAGCATCCTAGAGGTATGGGGATGTGGTATTTTTATCTCTGTCTGCCAAGGGAAGTTGGGGGGTAGACTAGTGTGTTGGTGGCATGCAATTGCTGCGTGTATAAGCTTCTTTTCCTGTTCAGTTGCATCACATTTCCAGCCTGGTTGAGTCCCCCATGCAGCTTAATTGCACCACATCCTTTACACACGTTCACAATCCCCATTGTCCCTCTCCTTACTCCCCCTCTTTCTGCAGGGGTGTAGAGAAGTCAAGACCCTAAGAGAACGTCTCAACATGCCCAGAGCAGCAAGACTCCTCCTCACACACACACTACAGATAGTGCCACTCAAGAAGACAGACTGGCTGACCTGCAGCACCAACTTGAAGAGGTGAGCTCCCTGCACTTTTTTTTAAAAATCGTAAAATACAGTAGAAGTAAAAACGTTTTCAAAATCGTTCTTCAATCGTTCTCCTTCCCCTGCAGGTGTGCAGAGAGAGAGACGAGCTGCAGGAGAAGGTGTCGGCTCAGAGCCACGCCATCCTCTCCCTCCAGCAGGAGGCGGAGTCTTCCAGCCAGGCCCTCTCCGTTGCCGGGGCCGACGCCACCCGGCTGAGGTCAAAGGTTGCACAGCTGCAAGGGATGCTTGATGCAGGTAATGTTTCACGCACCCAATGAAAAATTTTTTAACTGTACAATGGAAATCCTAGTTAGATTATACTTCAGTATTACTTCAGTATAGAGTGTAAGTTTGATAGTGCAGTGTGTATGTGTACATGTGTACTGTACCGCCCACCACCAGGGGAGAGGGGCAGGGAACAGATTGAGAGAGAGAGAAGAAAGGAGGCCAAGAAAGTCGAGAAGTCACATTCCGTTCTCTCACAATCGGCCAACAGAATAGGTCTGTCACCAAATCACCGCACTTCTGGTAGTCATTCAGGCTTGGTATATCACCTATTTTTAGCAGTTACACTCAATATGTGTGTGTGTGATGACTAGAAGATTTACCCAATTCTTATGCAGTCAATTTGAGGCAAATTTAACGGCTGTCCATATATCCTATTGTACTGAGTATTGACGCAGTCTGTTGGCTGTTCAACAGCTGAGTTGGAGAGAGAGGTGGAGAGGAGAGAGGGGAGGGTGAGGGAGTTGAGGGAGGCTCTCTCGTCTCTGGATCAGGAACACGACTCCCTCCGCAGGGAGACGGACGGAAAAGATGAAACCATCCAGCAACTGCAGGAGCAACTGACTGAGAAAGTAAGAACTCAATTACTAATACCACCTTATAAGGTAAATATCTTCACAAATTGGTAATAGGATCAACCACTTTTTAGGGTGAATATTTTCGTGACTTTTCCTGCCATGAGCATTACAGGGTTTTTTCTTGAAGCAAAAAAGAAAACTTAAATCCCTTTGAGAACTATTTTGTCTGTTTCCATCATTTTGCAGGAGGCAGCAGCCTCAGAACTGAGAGATTCGATCGAAAGACTTCGTTCTGAGTTGTCGCGGCAGCAGTCACGTGATGCGTCAAGAAACAGGGAGTTTGTGAGTCTCCAGAGGCAACTGGAGGAGTGCAGGGGAGACCTGGCCTCGGTCGTGGAGGAGAGGGAGAGGAGAGGGCAGGAGGGGAAGCAGCTACGAGAGGAGCTGGAGCTGATGGTGAGAGAAAACCAGGCTGTACACGAGGAGCTGCGTCGAGCCCTCACAGAAAAAGAGGCTCTATCGCGGAGGGTTGAGGAGTCTGCGAGAAACATGCTTCAGTATCAGGAGATGGTGGCGAGCAAGGAGCAGGAGACGGCGGATCTCGTCCAGTCTTATCAGGCACTTTCAGACGACGTGGAGCAACTGCAGAGCAGTTCGCGATATAACCTCGGGGAAATTGCGACAGCAAGAGCCGAGGTTGCAGCGCTGACTCAGACTAAGGAACAGTTGGAGGGTGTGATCGAACAACAGGCAGTGGAGATCCAACAACACTTGCACTCGATGTCACTAATGGAGCAGCAGATTTCATCTCTCACACTGGCTCTAGCTAAAATGGAGGCCGCACTGCGACAAGAAGTGGAGGAGAAGAAGGCACTCAGATCAGATATCACCGCAACTCGGGAGCTGTGCGTGCAACTCGACAAGACAAAGGAATCTCTAACACGACAGCTCGCCTCACAAGGCATTGGGTTGGAGCAACAACAAGCACAGTTGGAAGACTTGAAATCCGAGAGAGAGCTCCTGAAACAACAGCTGGTCTCCGAGAGAAGCACGAACGAGAGTTTGCAGGTCCTGCTGTCGGGGGAGAGGAGAAAGGAGTTCCATATCGCACAGAGTGGGCAGGAGAAAGAGCTGGAGATTCAGCACCTCCGTAGACAGTTGGCCAGGCTCGAAGCTGACAGGTAGAGCAACAGATGGACGTAAAGATAAATATAGTCAGTGTTTTTCCACAGGTTGTCTCTACAGGAGCAACTTCGTTCCGTCCACTCCCAACTTGCCTCTCAGGGAGAGGAGCTGCAGAGGGTTAAAATTGAGTTGGGGACAGAGAAATTCCAGAAGTGAGTAGTTTATATTCCAGGACAATCCTTTGTCAGCTAGCTTCAATCACTGCCACCATCCCAGGGGCTTACCCCTTCTACTCACTTATATACTCGTGTCTCCTACAGAGAGAAGCTGATCCAGCAAGCAAGAGGGTCCTCCCCGGCCCACTTCACCAGCTACAAGACAACGTCCACTCTGGTGACTGTGGGACAAAAACAGGACCGTCCCATCGGGAGACGGGCCACCAACAGTCCAGTAAGAAAAGCACATCAGCAAACCAGCTCTGTGGTACGGACTATAGACTGTGTTTTTGTTATCAAAGGGTGGTGACGAGTTGTTTACTAAAGAGAGAGACAGCTTGGCCAGCGAAAGTGAAAGTAAGTTTTGTTTTGATTATATGAAGCTGTGATATTTTTTATCGGCAGAATTGGTTGGTGAGCTGATGAAGAGCCCTCCCCCTCACTCCTCCCCTAACTCACACTCATCATCATCACACCCTCCCCCATCACACACCTTCCAATCTCCGCCCACCTCCTTGTAAAACAATGCTGCATTAATTTACTAGGCGCATATCTGCGCGTAATCTGCACACGATTAATTTGATTAACGTGGCCGCGCGTACGTATGGCCGCGGGCGCGGCGGGCGGGTGCGTGACTGGGGGAGCATCATAACTCGTTGTTGTGATGTCACAAATCACGCCTGGTGCATGCGCGCACACCCTTGCATGCACGCGCATCTATCTAGCTTCCCTTCACATAAAAGAAGCCTGCCTTCGTGCTGCAAAAGAAGCTGACGCAACGCAGCGAAAAGCATGGACGAGCCAGCTGACATCAGCGAGACGGATCCTTCTCCAGCGAACGCGGCAGTGATAGCGGTGGAGAGCGAAACGCAGCAGACTCAAGAAGATGAGCCGCCATCCGAGCCTCCAAAGGAGCCTCCAGAGGATCTGCAAGATGGAGTCCCTCACGAGGTCGTGCCTAGTAAGGCACTCAGCGAGGGAGACGAAGAAGAAACGTGAGTCTTTTTTTTCGATAACGTGGTCCTTACTTGCTTTTTCGATTTCAGAGCGCATAAGCCGAAATCTGTTCCAATTTGGAAGCTGGTAAGATGTTTTGCATGTTCCCTCGGAAACAAAATGACTGATGCTCTTAAATTTTCCTCAGTTTCGATTTTCCACTCCGCTGGATGTCGTAATGATAGTGGTGGGTGCAGTTATGGGCGTGCTTTCTGGAGTTGCCCTACCGGGTCACTTTCTCCTCTTCGGCGAGGTCATCAACCAGTTTGTTTACTACACCATCGCCACGGAAACTATCCGACCCCGCATCAGCGACTTCATCGACGCCCGGAACAACACGGCTTACCAGACAGTCGATGACATCGCCTGTAATTCCACTCGTGCCGATGAAGCCATATCGATGTTATCGGACAACGGAACACGGGTTTACCTGTGCACGGGAGGAGATCAAGGAGGGGCTGTGTTTTCAGAGGTTTTGGGGTACATTTGTGACCCGGCAGACGAACTACAAGCGCAGATTGCAGTCTATGCATACTACTATGTGGGGCTTGCACTGGCGGTTCTGCTTTCAACGTTCCTCGCTAATGCCCTCCTGAATATGAGCGGCTACCGACAGACACGACGAATGAGGCTGGCTTTCTTCCGGAACGTTCTCCACCAGGAAATTGGATGGTTCGACGTGACGGACTCGGCTGAACTGAGCACTCGGCTTGCAGAGTGAGTCTCTAGCCAGCAGCCCTGCATACTGAGTCTGTTCAATACTTTACTGTTATGTGCCATTGGTTCTCTATACAAGCACTTGTCAGTTTTTGTCAGTCTTTTGTTTATGAAAGGTAGGGGCAGTTAAACAGACCGTGTCCCAAATGGTATATACCTTTTCGTGAATACAAAACACCTCATTAAAGTATAGAAAGTTGAAAGTTTTAAGGATATGTGTGAATTTTTCAACAGAGCTTCAATGCTCTGCCAATCTGCGATACATAATGCACAGTGTGTCTACTCCCTCCTTCTCTCTCTCTCTCTCTCTCTCTCTCTCTGCAGCGATATTGAGAAGATTCAGTCTGGAATCGGCGACAAAGTGGCGGTGTTTCTCTCCTATTTCAGCACCTTTGTCACTGGTTACGTAATCGCCTTCACTCGCAGCTGGAAAATGGCTCTGGTCGTCATGACGATGTTGCCTCTCCTCGCTACAGTGGGAGCCATCATGTCCAGGGTCAGTGAGTCGTACTTACCAAACCCCCCCCACCCCCAAACTTATCTACTCATTTACCCCTTGCCACACCAGTGGTGCCCACAATCCACCAATATCCTACCACTGTATAAACCAACTAACTATCACATTACCTTATAGTAGAGCTTTGGGTTTTGGTGTAAAGAGAAGTTGCTTCTTCCTGTCTCTCCAGATTGTGGCGTCATTCACGGCCAGAGAGCAGAGTGCATACGCTGCAGCTGGATCAGTGGCTGAGGAGGTTCTGTCCGCCATTAGGACCGTGGTCGCCTTCGGTGGAGAGAACAAGGAGGCAGAGAGGTCGCTCTTTATCTCTTCTTCCCAACCTCTCTTTCTCATTCTTTCATTTATCTTTCTCCCTCCTTTTGTCACATCTCCAAACTGGTTGTGCTTATGAGTACTGTACATGGAGGCCTAACTACACAGACATTGTTATCACATGCATGAGGGCCAACAAGCCCGAAACAGCTGTCCAGAGCTCCCCATCTTTTTTTCTTCTCTTGCCATCACATGGTATTTTCTACATGAATACTGCACGACACAAATTTGGTGTCTAGGGGGCGGGGCTACTCTTTCTCCCTCCATCTCTCGCGTCCCCTCCTTTCCCCCCTCTCTCCTTCACGTCTCCTCTCTCATTTGGACGGCCCTCTCTCTCTCTCTGTGTGTGTCCAGGTATGGAGAACAGTTGAAGAAGGCTCGAAATGTGGGAGTCAAGAAATCCATTTTCACGGCAACCGCAGTGGGGTCATTGTATTTCATCATGTTCAACACTTTTGCCCTGGGCTTCTGGTGAGCTTGCAGCCCTATGTACATATACTGTGGTGAATCCGGATAGTTTGATGCTGCTACTGCATTGGTTTGTTTTCTTCAGGTATGGATCGCAGCTGATTCTCGATTGCGAGCTCTCTGCTGGCGACGTCGTCACGGTGAGCCCGAAATTACATCGTCCTTAAATCACTATTAGAATTTCTTCAATTACATCATTATTACAAGCATACTGTAAAGAAAGCTATCCGTGCCAGTGCTTACAGACTTGTACATTACACTGTTTTCACCATCATTTCAACATAATTTTATTACACCACCCATTACTTCACTTGATGACATCATCGTTACCTCATTGTCTAATTAATACTGTCGTCTAGGTGTTCTTTTCCGTGGTGCTGGGGTCATTCTCACTGGGTAATGCTCTGCAGAGATGACATCACTTACCTCATGTCTAATTAATACTGTCGTCTAGGTGTTCTTTTCCGTGGTGCTGGGGTCATTCTCACTGGGTAATGCTCTGCCAGAGATACAGACATTTGCCGTAGCCTTTGGAGCTGCTTCTGCTGTCTTTGAAGTTATTGACAAGGTTCGCGCCCCTCTCTACTCTCAACTCTGCAACAATTTTTTCCTTTTTATTTTTTCTCATGCTTTGACTCTCAAAAGCTCTTACTTTTTTCCATCAGACGTTTAACCCTCTTAATTTTTTGATGTGACCCACTTATTTTTCCTCTACTTTTTTCTTGATACTGTTAATTTACCCTCAAATCTGATTTCTTTCCTCAAACATTATTACAACTTGATTTTGTTATTACGCTCCGATTTCTCATCTGATAGGAATCCAAGATTGACACTTTGGCAGGCGATGGGGAAACCCCTGACGATTTATCTGGCGACATTGAGTTCCGCGACGTGGTGTTCCACTATCCGGCTCGACCGGACGTGCGGGTTCTGAAGGGGCTGAGTCTCAAGATCATTGCGGGGCAGACTGTGGCTCTGGTGGGTCCCAGTGGTTGCGGTAAGAGTACCACCGTCCAGCTCATTCAGAGGTTCTATGACACCGACGACGGCCAGGTGTGTGGAGAGAGAGAGAGAGAGAGAGAGAGAGTGCGTGTGTGTACCCTCTGCAATTTTAAGGCCACATTTGCCCCATCCCCCCTGAAGCTTATGGTGATTAAAAAGTATCATAGATGGAACGATAATATTCGAAAAATCTCCTTCCAGCTTGAGTCAAACCTTACTTAAGAGCATACATGTGGGAGTTAATTCACAATGCCAACGCTGCACGCCTACCTCTCTGTACTCCTCACAGATAACAATAGATGGCCGAGAGATCAAGTCACTGAACCTGAAGTGGTTGCGGTCCAACATTGGCATTGTTAGTCAGGAGCCTGTACTCTTCAATATGAGCATTGCAGACAACATCCGACTGGGGAAAGAGGGAGTGGACATGGATGGAATCAGGCAGGCTGCGAAGAACGCAAACGCTCACAACTTCATCTCGGCTCTACCGAATGGATACGACACGTTGGTTGGAGAACGAGGGAGCCAGCTGTCGGGAGGTCAGAAGCAGCGAATTGCCATAGCCCGTGCTCTGGTGAGGAACCCCAAGATCCTCCTCCTGGACGAAGCCACCTCGGCCCTGGACACAGAGAGTGAGAAGATAGTTCAGGAGGCTCTGGACAAGGCCAGGGAGGGCCGGACCACCATTGTCATCGCCCACCGACTCTCCACCATTCAGACTGCTGATGTGATAGCCTCCATAGACCAGGGGCAGGTGGTGGAATGGGGCACTCACTCTGATCTCATGGACAGAGAGGGACTCTACTACGAACTGGTCACTGCTCAGACTATTGGAGATCAGGAGGAGGAGGAGGGTGAAGATGGTATGTGGGTGTATATATCTCCCTCAAGTTCTCTCCTACAAAAGCGCCCTATTATTCCCTCGCAGATCTGGCGGCATTCCGAGCGGCAGTGAAGAGAGAGTCACAGAGCAGAAGTCAGTCGACGTCGGGCCGGCCGCGATATCAGTCCCAGCACTCCACAGCCTCCACCCAACAGACTCTCTTCTTCCAGCGACAGGACTCACGAACCGACCCATTCCAGAGACAGGGCTCTCTGAGGTCTTCACTCAGGAGACAAGGTTCCTATAGGAAACAGGCTTCAATTGACGGAACCCTATCCAAATTCAGGTATGTTAGCGTACTTATTCCGCACAATGGGTTTGCCTTGCCTTTGTGTCCTGTTGTATAGTAGACTTAGAGCCATGCCAGCTGAGCTACCCTGGTACAGCCCAGGTGGTAGAGCACCCTGGTGCAGCCCTGCCAGCTGAGCTACCCTGGTACAGCCCAGGTGGTAGAGCACCCTGGTGCAGCCCTGCCAGCTGAGCTACCCTGGTACAGCCCAGGTGGTAGAGCACCGTTTGCCAGCCCTGCAGACCTGAGACTACCCTGGTACAGCCAGGTTGTGTAGAGCACCCTGGTGCAGCCATGCCAGCGAGCTACCTGGTACAGCCAGGTGGAGAGCACCCTGTGCCAGCTCTGCAAAGGAGCTACCCACTGCGTACAGCCCCAGGTGGTAGAGCCCCCTGGTGCAGCCATGCCAGCTGAGCTAATCCCCTGGTACAGTCCCAGGTGGTAGAGCACCCTGGTGCAGAGCTGCCAGCTGAGCTAACCTGGTCCAGCCCAGGAGGTAGAGCCACCCTGGTGCAGCAGCCAGCTGAGTAACCCTGGTACAGCCCAGGTGTAGAGCACCGCTGGTGCAGCTCTGCCAGCTGAGCTAACCCTGGCTACAGCCGCAGGCGTAGAGCACCCTGTTGCAGCCCTGCCAGCTGACTACCCTGTACAGCCCAGGTGTTAAGCACCCTGGTGCAGCTCTGCCAGCTCCAGAGCACCACCTTTCTAATCCCAGGATGTAGAGCACCCTGTGCAGCCTGCCAGCCATCGAGCTAACCCTTGTACATCCCATGTGGTAGAAGCACCCTGTGCAGCTCTGCCATCTGAGCTACCCGGTACAAAAACAGGCACAGGTTGTAGAGCACCCGTGTGCAGCCCCTGCCGACTGAGCTACCCCTGGTACAGCCGAGGTAGACGCACCCTGGTGCAGCCCTGCCACAGCTGAGCTACCTGGTACAGCAGTGGTAGAGACACCCTGGTGCAGCTCTGCCGCAAGGAGCTACCCTGGTGACAGCCCAGTGGAGAGCACCCTGGTGCAGCCCTGCCAGCTGAGCTACCCTGGTACAGCCCAGGTGGTAGAGCACCCTGGTGCAGCCCTGCCAGCTGAGCTACCCTGGTACAGCCCAGGTGGTAGAGCACTCGCCTGTACTGCAGTGTGTCGTGGATTCGTTCCTTGAGAAAGTGTTTTCCAGGGTGGTGTGTCCATATATTTCCTAGTTCCACTGTAGTGTAGTGGGAAATCTTAGAAAGAAAAAATGGAGCAGTGCAGATATTCTTGCCAATTCGTGGATCCCTGCCCACATTTCATGTCTGAGGTTTCTCCACCACAAAGATTGTACACCCTTGTTTGTTATATTTGTGTAGTATGGAGGATATTCCAGTTGGAGCCCACCCCTCTCCTGCCCCTGGACGAGTCACCTTTGGTGCAGTGGACGTCGAAGCAAAGGTGGGTGTGGCAGTGGGTGTGGTCACCACGCCCACCGATGTTTAACTCCGCTATAACACTGTGTCTAGGTTGGGGACGAGGATGGAATTGTCGTGAAGAAGAGGAACTGGTGGTCTGGTTGGCGGAGGAGGAAGAGTGGGCTCATCGAAGAGGGAGAGGGCGAGGAGGAGGAGGAGCTGCAAGAGGTGAGAGAAAGAGAGGAGGGAGGAGAGGGAGGGGGTAGTGATTGTGTGGTCTGTTTTAGAAGGTAGCTGGTTTGAGCTGCGTTCCGGAATGATTTTACAATTTTTCGACTTTTGTGCAGGTGAAATTGAGGGACCTGCTGAAGCTGAACGCCCCCGACTGGCATCTGGTGACAACTGGAGTGATATCTTCTGCAATTGTAGGGTGCCTCTTCCCTCTCCTGTCCATCTTCTTCTCTGCGATGTTGGAGGTGAGGGAGGAGGAGAGGGAGGAGGAGAGGGAGAGAGACTCAGAGAGGGAGAGGTGCCAGTTTTGAGAATAGTACGGATATGGCCATTCTATCAGGAGTCAGCCTTAATTCAGCCTTAGTGAATGATGTCCATTGTAGAGCAACTCCCAGAGAAAAGTTGGCTTTTGCCCAAATCCCTCTAAAGTCTTAAGACGGGGAAAAAGAGTGTGGGAGAGAAAGTATAGGTGATAATGTGTGTGTGTGCGTGTGTGTGCGACTGTTTACTTGTTCTGCAGATATTTGGTTCCGACAGTCGACAGGAGATTCAGGACGGAGTCAGGAATTATGCCCTGGCTTTCGTGGGTCTCGCCATCGCAGCCGGATTCGCTAACTTCCTAGCGGTGAGTCCCTTACCACCTCACCACAGTAGGCACTTTTTACCGTTCTATTTCCGTTCCATTTCTACTAAATTTTTTGTGTCTTTTAAAGGGAATGTGTGGCACCCTAAATTTTCAGTTTATAGGGCCCAGTGCAAGAATGCAATTAAGTTTCCATTTTCAGTATATAACAGTTTCTAAATTACAGTGCCACGTTCCAAAATGTTTATTTTAGCATGGTGTCTACCGTACTCTGTACCCCAGACCTTCACGTTGGGAGTGGCGGGAGAGAAACTGACAAAGAGGATTCGACTCCGGACCTTCCAGGCCATACTGAGGCAGGAGATCGGCTGGTTTGACGACCACAGGCACTCCACGGGAGCACTCACCACTCGACTGGCTGTGGATGCCTCGGAAGTCAAGGGGGTCAGTTTGAACAAGGCTCTATAACTTACGCCGTTTGGCTTTACTTTTGGCATTTGTGGATTTGGTGTGAGGGAGGGAGGGAGGGGGGCAGTCTGCGCCACCTAGTGCACATCATGCCAAAGTGGTTCTGCTTATCTTTGGATTTCAGTGTTCATTTTCTACACAAACTGCTGTATAAAGCCAGGGAAACTATACACTTTGAAACTTAGAAGAAATTTTCTGTCCATAGATTACAAAGTGTATGTATGTAGTGCAATCATTTGATGAATAATTTAGCACTTATGAAGCTAGGAAGATTGTACAGCTAGTAGAACCACAGAGGGGACGTAACCATCTCTATCTGTACGTTCCCCTGCAGGCCACAGGACTGAAACTGGGGGTTCTGCTCCAGACGGTTATGGGTTTCCTGACAGCAGTCATCATCGCGTTTGCCGCCTCCTGGGAACTCACCCTCGTCCTCATCTTGTGTTTCCCTGTCCTCGGGGCTTTCAGCTTCCTGCAGATCCGACTCCAGGCCGGCCGGACCGCCAAGAACAAGAAGAAGCTGGAGGAGAGTGGGAAGACAGCGGTGGAGAGTATCGACAACGTGAGGACGGTTGCTTCTCTCGGGATAGAGCAAAGTCTAGTGGAGAAGTACAACGGTCTCTTGCAGTACCCTTTTGAGTGAGTTTGGCAGTCTTTTGGCTAATTTAGCCATGAAATGCAACCATTTTCGTAGAGGGAGATATTTGCATCTTTCACATGGCATTTGTAATTCGGATGACATGCACATTGTGGTGTGCATGTACAAAATCCCTACATAACGGTGCATGAAGTCAGTTTTTTATTACATCATTGTATGATGTAATCGTATTGAGATTCTCTCTCTCTCTCCTCTCTACAGCTCCAACAAGCGGAGTGTGTTCCTGACAGCGACTGTGTTTGCAGTTGCTCAGTCTATGATCTTCTTCCTCTACGCTGCCGGCTACGTCTTTGGTGCTTACCTCGTTGTCGAGGGGCGCAACAACTACGACGATATCTTCAGGTGATTCCTGGCTTTCAATTTCAAATTTTAACAACATTGTTTTTCGGCCATTTTATTCCCTTTTTCTTTCACTGCTGCTGAAGAATGGAGTTTTGATGGCTTTTTTGGAGCTAACTTCTCGCAATAAAAGCAGAGCGCTAGATCCTCTACGTAGTGTGTTCCAATGTGTGGCAAAACCTTACATTCTCTCTCTCTCTCTCTCTCTCTCTCAGGACATTTGCAGCAGTTGTGTTCACGGCTCTATCACTGGGTAGAGCTAGTTCGTTTGCTCCAGACGCCAGCAAGGCCCAGGCCTCAGCGGCCAGGATATTCTCTCTTTTCAACAGGCAACCCCCGATTGATTCCACCAGCCCTGATGGAGAGAGACTGGTGAGCCGGGGAATGCAGTATAGCACGTTTTGTGTGCCTGTACACGTACACACTGCGGTGGGGCTGAATTGAGTGCAGTCTGCAGTTTACTAGAGCTAGAGAGTTCAAGAGTCATAGATGGTCAAGGAAATGAAGCAACCAGTGAGCTCTGAGAAGCACAATACATTTGGAGATTGAGGACCATTTACAAAGAGCTAAACTGAACATGAGTTAATGTTGTAGGCGTGTAAGCATTGGCACGGATAGATTTCTTCACCGGTCACCTGGGATTAATAAAAGAGTGACGGAAGGTGGGTAGGTAATCCGATTTCTTTGCTCCACAGGCGAAAACATCGGGAGAGATTGAAGTGAGGAGCGTCCACTTCCACTACCCCACCAGACCAGAGGTGCAAGTCCTCCAGGGACTCAATGTGGAGGTGAGCTCAGGGAAAACGCTGGCTCTGGTGGGTCCCAGTGGGTGCGGGAAGAGCACCATAGTGTCCCTACTGGAGAGGTTCTACGACCCAGAGTCTGGGAGTCTGACTCTGGACGGCAGTGACCTGAGAGACCTCAACATCCGCTGGCTGAGGTCCCAGGTGGGACTCGTGTCCCAGGAGCCCGTCCTCTTCGACACCTCCATCGCCGACAACATCCGCTACGGAGCCAACTTCAGGGAGGTGTCTGACGATGAGGTGGTGGAGGCTGCCAAGGCTGCCAACATTCACTCCTTCATCGAGTCCCTGCCTCAGGTACCTCTCTTTCCTCCCTCTCCTTCCCTCTCTCTCTCTTTGACTAAAGTGGTTTCTCTTGTTTATCCTCTTTCTGTCTGCCTTTCTGTAGGGCTACAGCACTAATGTAGGTAGTAAGGGAACCCAGCTGTCGGGAGGTCAGAAGCAGCGAATTGCCATAGCCCGTGCTCTGGTGAGGAACCCCAAGATCCTCCTCCTGGACGAAGCAACCTCGGCCCTGGACACAGAGAGTGAGAAGATAGTTCAGGAGGCTCTGGACAAGGCCAGGGAGGGCCGGACTAGCATCGTCATCGCCCACCGACTCTCCACCATCTACAATGCTGACAGGATCGCAGTTATCCACAATGGAAAAGTGATAGAATCAGGCACACATTCAACTCTCATGAGTGAAAAGGGAGCCTATTATCATCTCAACACTGTGCAACTCAAAGACTTTGATGAAGACTAACTCTTCTACTGACATAATTATAATTGACGTTTGGCGCTGCTTTCAGAACATCACAGTACATACCACATGTATCACCTTCAGTGTGGGTACATGTGCTGAATGAGTCACAATAATGTTTCATGACTCTACAGCCAACAATGTAATGCGTTGCACACGTACGTCATACACATCATGACCTCTCGCGCTGCGAATGCGCATGCGCGAAACGGACACTATCCGGCCAGACGACGATGGGAAGCGTCAACTCGATTCCTGTTGTTTCACAGGCGAAGTCTGCAGTTCAGGCAGTAACTGGCGATACTAAAGGTGCCAAAGAGACTCAGAGAGATTTCCTGGACACTTGCCCTGTCGTCTCCCAGGGAACGTCGTTTTACAACTGGTGGTACGGCGACAATGACGCGGCTAGAGAGACGCAAGTGAAATTCGGCCGTAGCACGAGTGACTTTGCGAATGGTGTGCCCGTGGTGGGTCATATCAAGGGAGGAATCCACTATGCTTGTGGAGATAAAGACGGTGGGGACAATGCCATGAAATCGGCATCTAGAAGTACAGGAGTTTTTATCGGCGGAGCGGTAGGGGGACTGGTCGCTGGGCCATTTGGAGCTATCACTGGAGGGGTAACTGGAGGTGCCGCTTTGGACGGTATCACCACAGGAGTAGATTCTGCCGTGCATGGAGAATATAGACCAGCAGGCCAAGTTGCTGCAGTTACTAGCATGATAGAAGGCAATGCAACGGTTGGGGACGTTTTCGATTCTGCCGTGGGAGTTGCATTTGATGGTGTGACAGGTTACATTGCTGGCAAAGCAGCTGTGAACCTTAGAGATGCACGTAATAATGTTAAACTTTACAGAGTTGCTGACAAAGCAGAGGTTTCAGAGTCCGTGAAAGCAGGGAAGCTGGTGAAGTCGCAAGCGGCCAATGGAGGAGAGGTTTGGATGAGTGAGAGCTCGAAACACACTGTTCCGTACTACGAAAGCCGGCCGTCCGACGGAAAATCGGTTATGAAAGTTGAGGTACCGCGTGACATGTACAGCAAAATGAAAGCAGATATGATTCCCCAAGAAGGCTCAAGAGCTGTTCAAATAACACGAGCAACAGAAGGCAAGGGGCCGGCGAACATCTTCAACACCGAAAGACTACAGAACCATCCAAAGAGTAAAGTAAACATCGGCATAAAGGGAAAAGCAAACATGGAAATTTTCAACCAACACGTACAAGGTGTTGAAGGCATTCAACCGGAAAGCCTGCAGTACAAAAGCAGTGGAGTGCATCGCTATGGTAGAAGAGCTGCAGGCTCAGTCCTACATGTCACGGGTGAAGAGAATCCTAGCAATGCTGGCAATGATTCTGCTGCTCCCGACCGTGAATTACCTGGCCTACAGTGTAAACTGTAGGAGTGGTATATATAAATACCTGACAAGAAAAAAAATTTAACATCCATGCATCTTCCCTTTTCATGGGTTAATCACGTCATGTAGAAATTGTGTCAGTACTATGTGATGCTTTCAGTGGTGCTGTAGACAAACGCTCGCAGTACAAGGCAACATTACTATAGTCTTTGAGTTTGTGAGTGCTCTACAATAGACTCCCTTATTGGCAACCATTGACAAGCAAAGCGAGTCTCCCTATTACGTAACGTGCCACATCAAGTTTACTGAACAGTATTCATTTACAGTATTGTTGCATTAGCCTGCTAGTGAGTACCCAAGTAATGCCACAGTCACTGAGACCACACCCACTGCTCCGCCCACCACCACCAGGCGACAGTGACGTCTGAGGAATCCTTGTTCTTCCTCTTCCTCCTCCTCTTCTCTCCGTGGCCTCCTCCTCCTCCTCCTTGGCTGCAACTGTCTCGCCAAGGCTGCCTCTTCCTCTGCCTTCTCCCTCTCCTCCCTCCTCCTCCTCTCCTCCTCCTCTCTCTTCTTCTCCTATTGTGGATTACATCACCGTGATGTAATGATTATGATGTAATAGTTACCTCCTCTTTTTCAGCTATAAGTCTTCTACATTCGCCATCACAAGCTGGGGCCTTAGTGTCTCTTTCATTGCACTTTACCTCCTGTGGGGAGGGAAGAAAGAGTAGAAACTAAGGGAGTCAGGTAAAACGCTTCTTTTTGCAGTGTAACATGGTTGTTGAAAGATTTTTCTCACAGTGCACATAAATATATACCTTCTTGAGCCTGCGACATGAGCAGCGAAGGGTGACTTTTCTCTGACATGTTTCAGGAGGGGGGCAGTTGCCGTGGTGACAACCCAGGGGGCACCTATGTCCACACGGCAACTGAAGACAGAATATTAACAACAGCATCTTATCGTGTGAGAGGTACTAAATGTATACAGGTGTACCTGTTTGGTGCATTGGCTGGTGCAAGTGGATAGCTCAATCTTCTCTTCTTCACTGGCAGCTGTCCACTTACTAAAGAGCAGACACACACTATTTTTCTAGCACTCCCTTCTTCCTCTTCCTTTCCCTCTCCTTCTCTCCCTCTCTCTCTTTTCCCGCTCCCCTCCCTCCTCCCATTCTCTCACCAGCATTCGACAAAGAGGTTCATAGTGTCGCAATGGCACCTCACTTTTACCAGCACTCTGCACACTTCACAAGGACCTGCGTCAGTGGAGAGAGAGTGGAACCTCTGAATAGAGAACCTCTAATAAAGGACACCTCTTTAAAAAGGACACTGTTTTACCCCATACTATACTACGAACATTATCACATCCGAATAAGGGACACCTCAGAATAACATAGGACAGGTTTGATGTCCCCAGAGTGTCCCTTGTTCAGTGTATTCCAACACCATTTCCACAGGGAATCGGAGGGATTTCCCCTGGGGAATGGAAGGGGTTAACGAACCAGTATGACAGGGGCGAGGACAGGGATGGGTGCAGCCAGGTGGGCGTGGCACCTCGCACCCTCGGTTGCACTCCAGACAGTCTTCACCTGCCTAAAGAGAGGGGAGAGAAATACACGAGGCACACACATTTGTACTAGCACACTATATACTTATGGAGCGTAGGCACGCGAGGCATCAGGCACACTACAACGAGAGGCACATAAGGTATGGCTAATAGGAATAAGCTGAGGAGAATTAAAGGGGAATAAATAATAGACAGTTGTAAGAATCTTCCCCTACATCCGGCACAGTATACAGGCACACTAGACTACACTACCTACATACATACATATGGCAGAAACATGGCCAATGAGCTAAGATTAAAGTCTTGTCCTACCACGGTGGAGTCAGGAGGGTTGATGACTTCGTGGCAGCCTCGTTGGCAGGTGTGGTTCCCGCACTTGAGTCTCCGCCCACACTTTCTCCCACAGGAATAATCTCGCAAAGACGAGCATGACTGCTCTGAAATCTGCATAGGAGAGGGATTAAAGAAAAGGAGAAGGCAGCGGACTCATTATTACCTCGTGTTCTCCCTTGCAGGCTCTGGAGAAGGAAATAGTATAAAAAGATGAAAATTCACTTTTACCCACTCACTTGGTCAGAAGTGTGGAGCACGGAGGACAGGGAGTAACGACAGGCTCAATTTTCACCCAGGGGGCCACCCCCGGGGGCCGAACCTTCACGATGAACATCGAACCCTCATTCAGTTGTGTGGAGTGGGCATTAAATGGAACTCACGGTGGGCGTGGTCGGGAGGGAGTGACAGGGAGCAAGACAGGAGTGGCCACAAGAGAAGATCTTCCCGCAGACCAGTTTGCACGGAGGACACACCCCGAAATGACAGTTGTGAGGCTGCAAGCAAAAGAGGGAAAATTAGGGTTCTTCTACGGTGTTTACTTAAAGGAAGAATAATACGTAAGTCTGGTATCTTTAGAGTTGAAAATTGCACTTACACTGCCCTCTGTGTGGTGGCACGCTGGTGGCTTTCTGGTGTGTGGTGTGTGTGTGAAAGAAAAGAAACAAGATTTAAGATGTGAATTGAGAGTGCTCTCTGGCGTTACCTGCAGGGCTGTCTGCAGCGCGGAGGTTTAGTTGTCTTCCTCAATCCACAAGGAACAACTCCAGTTGTGGTCTTACAGGCACAGCTCACTTCAGCTGTCAGGATGCACGGATAACACCGACCTGTACAGTAAATCAGTAACTCCTTTTTCTTCTTCATCTTCCTTTCTCTCTCTGTCATCTCACCAACGTGGCACGGAGCAGCACACTTGTGGTTCCGACAGCCCAGAGTCCTTCCACACACTTGCTCGCAAGGCAAACATCGACCATCGCAACACTACACAGTGAATTGTACATACTTCTCAAACAACGACCCTCTGAATAAGGGACACCTCTTTATAAAGGACACTTGCCCAGACTATAGAAGACACTTTGTTCTGCGTACTGAATATACTCCAACCCCCAAGGTGTCTCTTGTTCAGACATTTTATCGTAGACAAACACTTTAGAAGAGCCCCTTCCTTATTCAGACGTTACAAACAATTTAGAGCCCCTTTCTCTGCCTCCTCCTCCTCCTCACCTTTCTCCGACATTGGTGGCGTCCACATTGTCTCATCCGCGAGCACTTGGCCTCACACAAGTACTCAGAGCTACACGTCACCTGCTTCTCCTTCTTCCCACATCTGCAGCCTCTTACCGCCATCTGGAGACACTACAATGCACAATTTCAGTTTCACTATACAACTGCAATACACTTTTGGCGAGCAAACACATGTGCAAAACTTTAAGCAATTTAACAAATTTTACAGACCACACTACAACACACACAGTGACGCTGAAAATAGAAATTTGTGTCTACTAATAATTATACATGTACTCATTGGACAAGAGTCTCTGTACTAATGGTTGCAGATTTCACCATAAGTATGGTGGTAAGATTGAAACAGAAAATGCGATGTTTACCTGTCCACATGGTCCATAGTGACACGGTCTCATACACTTGTGTTGGCTGCACAGGAGATCCTGGGGGGAAATAAGGTAAATTGGTCATTAATATGGTATATTGCACAGACTTTGCCACATGTGTCTTTGCATGTCGCGACTTCTTCAGTGCACGGTATGTCGTGCTCTGAAAGGGTTAAAACAGAAATCAAGGGGTTAAGGAAATATTTCACCCGGAGAGGGTGTACCAGTCTTCCCGCAGGGGCAGGTTCTGGTACCGGAACGAGGACAGCCCCCACAAGGACCGGAGTGACACACTCTCTGGCAGCTGTGGCATCCACATGACAGCAGCTCCCCACAGACCTGCAACACACACACATACATACATACATACATACATACATACATACATACCAAGCTAGTCATGGTGTACACATAATGATAGATTCGCAAAGTACTGTAGAAGAGGTTATACCTGAGAGCACTGCCATGGAGGAGCGGTGCAGCCCAGCTGCTTGCTCTCTCTTCCACACACACAAGACTGCTCTATCATCTCCCCACACTCACCACACTGACCTGTATGTATACACACTCACACTGTTTCAGACACACACAAGATTACGGTGGATATGATACCATCGTGGCAACGTTGTTCGCAGGAATGAAGACCACAGTCCAATTCTCGCCCGCACACTCTTCCACACATCCACCCTCTCACCCCACACCTCTTCACCATCGCGGGACTCCGCCCACAGTGACAAGACACATTCAGGGTCTTTGGACACGGAGGACAGGGTCCTGGAGGAGGAGAACAATAGCAGTATATAACCAGAGGGAGAAGAGGAAAGGGAGGAACGGGAGAAGGGGAATAGGTATGTAGGAGATACCTGGGTGACAGAGAGAGACGCAGCTGTGCCCACACTCTGGCTGGAGAGGTTTCCCACAGATCTCTCCACACGTATGAGGGAGTAACCACAGATCGACCGGTGGATCAGTCTAACACGCCGAGAGAGAGAAAAGAGAGGGAAATACAAACTTGCACACATCTACTCAGTTAAACTCTCTTATTGCACTATTGGAGATCAACATCTATGCATACACTGCTTGACGCCTTTAGAAATGTAGTTTCACATTAGGTTGCCAAAATCAGACTGGCCACTCGTATTTAATTATTCGAGAAAGAGAAGAAAACGGATGGCGAGAACTGAAACCGGAGAGGGTGTGAAATAAGAGGAAAAGAAAGGGTGGGAGAAAGGTCTGGTGTGTACATGTTTGCCACAGAAGCAGAAGTAGGTCTTTGGGAACAGGTTCATCGGATGCTCCAGTCGACACTTGGGGCAAGACCAGAGGACCTCTTGTCCCGGGAACAGCTCGGGAGAGAGGAGAGAGAGCTGCCTCTCCCCGTCCCTCGCCCACTGCTGGATGCACTGGAGATGAAACAGACAGTAGCACTGGCTGCAACTCCACACCTGACGAGAGAGAGAGAGAGGAGAGTATCATATATACCCTCTAGTTATTCCTTGGGTAAACCCTAGTCCCTGCACCCATGTACATGGTAGGACACCTCTACAATAAGGACATCTTTTCTTTCCCCAAAAACAGTTTCTTGCACAACCCTAAAATCAAGGATTTTTCCACTAATAAGGACAGTCTAATTGATGTCTGGATCTGGATTCTACTCTATAGAGGTGTAGTGTGTAGGTAAGCAAGGAGGTGGACTAACAGCATCTGTTCTCTTGATGCTGGAGAGACAGACGAGGCAGGACCCACCAGCAGACGTCATGGCTGCTTTCAAAACCTCTCCATCCATGCTTTCACCTCCTGCATGCAGTGGAGAAAGAGACACCAATGTTGTTTTACCTACTCGTGTTTGTGTATATACACCTACTGTCTAAATAGTGTTTTTCAGTTACCGTCTGAGCCAAGATCTGGTAGTAGTTCTTTAGCAGTCTTTCCACCACCTCTCCTCCCTCCACCTCCTCCTCCTCCTCATCGCTCTCGCTGGAACTTTCATCCCTCGCAAACCGGCTGGCCGTCTCCCTGATCGCTGCCGCACGCGCCAACACCTTCTGTGAGGGGCCACTCCTCCCTCCTGTAGCCGGTGCAGCTCCAGAGCCCGTCCTCTTGCGTGGCTGGACGGAGCCGCGACCTGCAACTTGTCTGTAGGGCCCCGAGACGCCTTGAGCTGTTGAGTCCGAGTCTCTCCTCTCCTGCCGAAAACCTCTCCCTCGAGAGCTACCTCTCCCACGGGAGGGAGTTCTCCCACCGCCCAACATAGACCGCTACGTCTGCTCAAACTCTTGCTTCTTTCTCGGCTTCCTGGTAAAATCCAAATAATGCGCACCACCGTCCACTCTAGTTAGTGCCCACCTTCCAGGTTTCGCCTGCTCTGCGAACTCCGCCCATTCCCTGTCCATGCCTCCGCTCTTGCCGTGTCGGTATCTTATGAGAATGGTGCTGCGCTTGAAGGTCCTCTCCGCTTGCCGAGCCCTCTGTCACTGTGCCTTCAGGGTGGTGAGCTGGCTCCCTGTCGTCATAGTAGCTATCATGCTCATCTGGGGCTACTTCGTGTACGTCTACATCATGAACATTTCTGGTGAGTGGCTGGCTCGTCCGCCATTTTAGCGTCTCATCTTCTGGCCTTGTTGTCTGCAGGTACGTTCCCCAAAAGCTCAAACGAGGCCATATCCGTCCTTATCAGTGGTCAGTGGGTATATCTTGGTTGTGAGTGTGGGTGTATTGAGCAGCAGGGTAGGCCAGTAGATATTGTAACACAATTATTGTGCAAGACAGGTAGGTGTATATGTCTATACTTCCCACATGCAAACACACACACATTCTCTCTCTCAGTTGTGTTTCTCTTCGTCGGCCACGTTATCTACGCCCTGCTAATTTCCTCCTACGTCCGCACCATCTACGCCAAACACAAGAAAGTCCCACATGAGGTCAATACATTACTTCTCTCTCCTTTGTCAATGATAATCAGCTTATGTTTTCTACCTTCAGTTTCATTTGACTGATGCCCAACTAGCAAGCATGGATGAATCGGTAAGATCAACACTAGCTAGTCGTGAGGGTCACATGACTTGTCACATGACAATCAGGTGGACTGCAGGGAGCTACTGAGGGAGATGGCATCCGACCTCCCGGTACAAACTGCCAGTCGCAACGGCTCCATTCGCTACTGCGACAATTGCGAAATCATCAAACCGGATCGCTGTCACCACTGTTCCGTCTGTGGCACGTACGTCACCCTTTAACCCTCTTCTTCCTTCCACTTTTAACCCTTTTCCTCCATGCCTCTCTCTCTCTCTCTATAGATGCATCCTAAAGATGGACCATCATTGCCCCTGGTAATACGTTTTGTCTACTGCTAATGTGCCTTAATTTACCGCATTTTTGTGGACGTACATGTAATTGATAACCTAATCATTGTAGGGTCAACAACTGCGTCGGGCACTCAAATTACAAGTACTTTGTTCTGTTTCTGTTCTACACTGTTGTGCTGGCTCTGTGGGTGTGTGCTACTGGACTCTACGACTTCATTAGGGCTTGGGTGAGGCCTCCTCTCTCTTTTCTCTTTCTCTTTTCTCTCTTTCTCAAATGCTTGTGTATACTTCATTGCATCATTGTGAATGTATATATACCCATTAAATTTGTCTTTAATTAAGACGTGTGCTTATTATTCAGAAGTTAAACCTTTATTATATTATAGGAGTCCTTTATTGAAAGTGTCCATTGTAAGATGTTTCACTAGCTGTATATCCTGGTTTTTTGCGGTTATCAACTCTCCCTCCAGACCGATATTCTGCACAGCACTCCGGCCTACAAGTTTCAGGTCATATTCTGCTACTTCATATCGGCCATGTTTGGATTCACCACTTCGTTTCTTCTCTCTTTCCACGTCTACCTCGTCTGCTGGAATAGAACCACTCTCGGTGGGCCAAGAAAAACTACCTTCTTTTAGTAGCTCCCTCTCTCTCTCTCTCTCTCTACTTTTTTTAGTAGCTCCCTCTCTCTCTCTCTACTTTTTTTAGTAGCTCCCTCTGTCTCTCTCTCTCTCTACTTCTTTTAGTAGCTCCCTCTGTCTCTCTCTCTCTCTACTTTTTTTAGTAGCTCCCTCTGTCTCTCTCTCTCTCTACTTTTTTTAGTAGCTCCCTCTGTCTCTCTCTCTCTCTACTTTTTTTAGTAGCTCCCTCTGTCTCTCTCTCTCTCTACTTTTTTTAGTAGCTCCCTCTCTCTCTCTCTACTTTTTTTAGTAGCTCCCTCTGTCTCTCTCTCTCTCTACTTTTTTAGTAGCTCCCTCTGTCTCTCTCTCTCTCTACTTCTTTTAGTAGCTCCCTCTGTCTCTCTCTCTCTCTACTTCTTTTAGTAGCTCCCTCTCTCTCTCTCTACTTTTTTTAGTAGCTCCCTCTGTCTCTCTCTCTCTCTACTTCTTTTATAAATCGTAACTTGTCTCAATATTTGCCCGGTACAAACGGCCAGTCGCCTACTCCCTTATCCCAGAGTGACATAAAACTGACACACCCCTTCCTACGTATGTGCTCTCTCCATATTTTGTCCTCTTGTTTCTCATATATCACTTGTGTAAATGTTCCCGCCCTCCCTTCTTTGTCCAGAGAATATGCAGTATCCAGTGTACGAAGGTAGTCCGTATCGGAGACTCTATCATCTCGGAGTGAAGCGGAATCTACAGCAGGTCTTTGGGAAGACTTTGCTCAGAGCGCTCCTACCAGTATCCACCAGGTACATACATACATGTTGCAAACACATGGCCAAGAGGCAATAATACTGCATGTTAGAAGTGCTAATTCGTGCCCAGTTTTTGAATTGCATATTTAGTGGCAAATTTACTTGAGTGCTGCGTGTTAGTAGAAGTGGTATTTTGTGATGCACAGTATTGCTCTCATTTAGTAACAGGGTTTGGGCTTTCAGCCAAATTCCCAATCGTCATGTTATAATCGCCCTCCTCCTCTTGCAGTGAAGGTGATGGGGTCAGCTTCCCTCTCCACATATCGTGCACTCGTCTGGCGATGCACAACAATCACCACTCTAATCACAGGGGCAACGAGGAAGCCATTTTGGAGGCTGGCCACACCTCTGACAGCGAGGTGGAACTGTTTACTAGCGACCACAAACTAGAGACTCAACCCCTCACCAAGAACACTCAGTTATAATCACCCTGTTTCTTCTCCTCACTCTCCCTCTCTCTCTTCCGTTGCCTGTTATCTTTCTTGTTTCTTCCTCTTTCCTTCCCTCTCTCCCTTCCTCTCTCTATCTGGTCGAGTGTGTATATACTCCATCGGGTTGACGGTATTTTTGTCACATAATATTCTGCTAGAGATAATACATTTTACAACAGGAGGTTGGCAGGTGGGAGTGCTATACTCATAGAGTGCTATTTGGCTGGCTTCAGAGTCTGTGGTTAGCTTTCTGTAGAAACTCCTTTGTTCTCTGAGCTCTGTGGAAGACGGGGTATTGAATAACGTGAATAGAGACACCGCGAGTACATATATACTTCACACAGACTTCTGCTCTGTGTGTTGTATTCAGTGGGAATCTCTCTATACACACCAATGGGCAGACAGAAGAAAGGTTTTACTAGTGGCCGGTGTATGACAGGGTAACATTCAACTGCTATGCAAGAACTGTGCATTCAAGAACTGTTCCTGGGGAAACAAAGTGTCCTCAATAGTGTATACTGTACCTGGCTCTGAGACTGGCAATCATTCTGGTAGTTTCATCCTGTAAAAGAGAGAATGCAAAAAGGAGAGAGGCTGAAGTCTACCTGTAGTATATACTAGGAATTGTGCAATATTGCACATGTAGCTATACAAAAACCACGAGCAGTAAATTTACCCTCGCGAACAGTTAGACAACTGAGGCTTACTGGTGAAGTGGCAGTTGGTGAAGAAAGAGCAGGAGAGGGTGAGTAGACATCTGGTGAGGGGGAGGGGGTGTGAAGATGAGAGGGGAGAGGAGAGAGCTGCCCTTCAGCTCTGATTTGAGCCAGCTGTGATGACAGAGCCCCACCCCTTCCCCTGGGTCTCCTAGCAACAGGTGTGAGGGTGTGCCTGGAGAGGGGGGTGGAGGTGTGACGACGAGATTTCAATGTCTCCCTCTCGGACAGAGGTCTGGGATTTGATAAATCTGCCAGCGCTGCTCTGGCCTTCGAACTTGGGGTCTCTGTCACCATGGAAACAGCGGTTCCCTTAGCAACACCACTAATGAGGGGGACGTCCTCTTTCAATGTTTCCTCTCTCCGAGATGAGTGTTGCCTATTCTCATCCAGTTCTCTACGTTCCTCTCTCCTCGCTACCAATGTTCCCAGGTTCAACTGTATTCTTGCTCGGAGGCTCACTGGTTCCCTCTCTCGGTTTCAAGGGGGGCCAACTGGTTCCCTCTCTCCCATGGTTCCCTGTGTTCCAGGGGGCCCCACTGGTTTCCTCTCTCCCGAGGTTCCCTGTGGGGGGCCCACTGGGTGTCTGTATAATCTTTATCTGCGTCTCCAAGATCACAAAACGAGCAGACATTCTCTCCATCATTCCAGCCAGCTGCTCCACTCTCTGACTTACTTCACTTAGTACCTCCTGCTGCAGATTAACCAACACAACAAATAGACAGACATAATAAGTATGTGCAATTACTACAGCCAAGTCAAATGATTTGTCAAGGAATTTGTTCATTTTAGTAAGGACATGGGGGGAAGACAGACCAACCAACCAACCTGCTATAGCTGGAGAGTGCAGTGGAAGTCTATTTACCTGTTGAGGGGGCACCTGCTGATTCTCCTCTCCTTCACACTTGTTCCCTTTCTCCATCTCATCTCCATCTCTTGTGTGTCCTCCTCCCTCTTCTTCTTCTCTCTCTTCTCCTCCCTCACTAGAAGTCGACAAACAATCAATGACTAATTTATCCAGGGGCGGGTATCCTGATGGGAGGCCTTCTGGCTTCAAATTTTCTGCACTAAAAACCAGTTTACGGTCTGTGTTTGCAGGTGGAGTTTCGTGACGGATGATGATAGGTTGTGATTGTGGGGAGATTGGGGAGTGTTGGGAGGGTGTGTGGGGAGGGGAGGGGGTGAGTTCCAACATTTGTGACGGTGTGAGGCAGTGAGGGGGTGGATAATAACGAGGTAATGATGACATCGTCTCTCCCCCTTCCTGCCCTCCCTGAACTGTTGACAAATGAGAGTTGTTAAATCGTCATGGAAACCACAGTCCACACCCACCTTGTGCTACGAGTGGCTCGGTCCAAGCGGAGCTGATACCAGATGTCGTCTGAACAGTTAACACCTCCGACTGTGGAATAATTTTATTGAGGAAGAAATATTGAAGTTGGAAAAGTATACAAATTTTCCCCATGAAAAATTCTTTTCTCCCTCTAAAATTTCCACTAAATTCTGCAGCTCACTCACCCTAGAGTTAGCCTGGGTTCTTGAAGACTCGGAATTTCTAAGAAAAACAAACACAAAATACTCTCTCTCCAACCAGAACATTCTGACACTCACCTTTTCCTGTCCCGGCCTCTCGTCCCTCTGCCTCCTCGCTGCAGTGACGGGACGCAGAGTGAGCGATGCTTGCTCTGACAGGCCATCAGCAACTCCGTCACCAGCTGCAGCTTTCTCTCGGCATATCCAACCGTCAGAAACTGCTCCTTCGTCAGCCGAGGACGGTAGCCAAACACCTCACGGAGGACCTACACACATAGCAATAAAATTGCTGTCAGTGGAGCTAAGGATGTCACACATAGCTATACAAAACCTGTGTATCATCAGCAAAAAAGAAATTGTAATGTCTCACTTTGCACTAAACTGGCCTGAGTCCCTTGCAAACAGGTCATACCCACTTTAAATAAAGAACAGAAACTTTCTTCTACCGTAGAGACACTCTATTACACTGCTATAAATGGTCTTCTACTTTGTAGACGCCTTCCACGAAGCGGAGGTCGTTCTTGCAGTAGAGGTCGTAGTCGTGTCTGGCGAGCCAGGAGGCCAGCGGGAGAGAGTAGTGCATCAGAGAGTGGTGGACTATCGGCAGGAGAGCGGACGGCGCTCCCAGACCCAGCCTGGGGGGCGGCGTTGTGAGAAATGGGAAGCGAGCGGCCTCGGGAAGAGCTTACCCTTGAACGTCTGGCTGCACGCTGAGTTTCATTCGCTGTATCTCTCTCAGGAGCTTCATCAGGTTGTTCTTGATATCTCCAGTCGCTCCACTAGCGGCCGCCATGTCTGCTTCTGCGTCTTCTCAGTTTTGTATCTTCGCGGGTTGATTACGTAATTAGTTCTAATTGTTGCCCACCATAGATAAAACAGGGGTGGGGCTCGAGCACACACAGATGGACAGCGTTCATGGGACGAAGACGGTGCGCCTCCAGCGCAAGAAGACTGGACTAGACTTCAGCGTGAAGGGTGGAAAAGAGCACGGCATTCCCATCGTAGTATCGTGGATCAAGCCTAACGGAGCGGCAGGTGAGAGCGACAAAATGAAGAATCACCTCAGTTCCTATAATTATACCTCCCCTCCCTCCGACAGCAAAGCAGCTACGACTGGGAGATGTGATTCTGGCCGTGAACGGCCACTCCCTGCAGGGAGCTAGCCACGGAGAGGCCGTTCAGCGACTGAAACAAGCCGGGTCAACTGTTCTCCTCAGAATAAAACCAAACCAAGTCCTTCAAGGTGTAGCTAAAACAATGCAACTAGAATGAAGTCTATAGCTCTGATGTTTGGCAGATGTGTTTTTCGATGAATGGAGAAGGTCCTCCTCCAGAGACAGAGGGAGAGGCAGACATTGTAGCTGACTCCCTCGAGCCAGGCCAAGTTCATGAGGGACCACTGCCACCAGGCTGGGAGAGAAAGACTGACGTACGCACTGGCAGACCCTACTATGAAAAGTGAGAGGCCACGGGGGGACAAAAGTCTGAAAAGTGAGGGGCCACGGGGACAAAAGTCTGAAAAGTGAGGGGCCACGGGGGACAAAAGTGTGTGTGTGTCTAGTTCTTCAACTGTAGATAAACCGCTTAGCTATTTACGTACATGTTCACAATATAGTGAAAGATGCTATTGCATGAGGATAAGTCGAAAAGTTTGGCTAAATTATTTTACACAAGCATCAAGCAAGCAATCAAAACAGTATTTTCGCAGTCATCATACAGAGACGACGTCGTGGATTGACCCTCGCTCACTGAGACCAGTCCCTCTGGAGGACTTCCACTGGAAGACTCTGCCTCCATCCTGGGAGAGACAACTGACTGATAGTGGCGACGTCTACTATGTCTGGTAACGTATACAACACTAGAGTTGGTAGCTTCACCATGGAGATGATTTTTCTGCCTACTGTGCTGCGCTGTACATAGACTGTAAGCACACCAAGTGCACTGCATGAAGCATAGCAATAATATAGTTCTCGAAATTCTTAAACTGTACACTTAGTATATAGCAATGCTGTGTCCCCCTCCTCCTCTTCTTCAATAGTCACGACACCCAGACCACACACTGGGACAGCCCCAGGGGGCTCCGACTGATCAAACAACTGAAGGAGCTGACTGCCTTTCTACAACATCAGAAACATCTTATAAAGGTATATCATGTATATATATCTTTTATTCTCACTCTCTCTATTCTTACATTGTCATTTTCCTTGCAGGAAAAAGAAGAGGAATTGACGAAAAAGAGAGAACTTCTTCTTGAGAAGAACACGACACTTGCATCTCTACCCACCTCCTCACAGCAAGTGACAACTGTCGACACACTCCAATTGGAGCCCACTGAACCCATCGACATTGAGGAAGAAGGGGTGGAGCCTGGGTTGAGTGTGGGGGAATCCCCCGACGATGTAATCAATGACATCATGTCACTAAATGAGGAAGTTGAAGTGATGAACGACGAAGTGTCCGTTGTTCGCAGTCAACTGAAGAAACTGGCCGACATTGTTGGCCACGCCCAGTACGAGGATATCGGGGAAGAAGACGAACATGAAGCAGCTGCAAAACTCTCAGTAGATCTATCATCTGAGTACCTCCATTTCAAGTCAGTGGAATCGAAACTCCACGAGATTATCCAATCGTTGGAGGAGCTGCGGCAGAAACGAGGTTTCTCCAGTACACCTCTCCCCTACATGATGCAGCTGCCGCCACTGAGGGTGGGGGAGGGGGCGGGGCAGGAGGCGTGGCTTCACACCCTGCCAGACAGGCTGACAGGGAAGACAAACTGTGAGATGAGAGTTGAGAGATGTCTCCTACGAGAGATGATAAAGTACACTGAGGAACTGCAACAGAGGTGTGCCCTAATAAACAAGGACCGTATAGTGGGTACATCCCCCCCCACAATCAGCGATTTTACACAATAGTTCGCAATAAAGTATAATTCCTAGGGCAATATGTTATCTTTTTGTAGCGGGGCATGTTGAAATATTTTTCACAGTTTAAAGATCATCCATGAAAACTGCAAAGATTGTACTCCATAAACTAGTTTTGTTTGTTCTTGTAGACTAGCTACCATGTATGGTCGTGCGATGACATCACACGGAAGTGGGTGGAGTCAAGTTCTGGAGGAGCTGTCGGCTCTGGACTTCACACCTCTCCAGGACCAGTGGCTCCTGGAAGGATCGTCCCTCCAGTGAGCACCTTAACAGTCACGTGATTACCATGATATGATCACATGACTGGCACGTGATCACATGCAGGGAAAAGCTGGACAAATTTGTTCCTCAAGACTGAGTTCCCAGCCAATAGTCGCCAGCTTGTGTGCCACTCTCACTATTATGTTAGTAATAATTGTTCCTGTCAACCAAATCACAGATGATATATATGATGATATAAAAACTCACAAACAAACGAAATAAGTGTAGTTTGCAATTACTACGTGTCGTCTTGTAGTAAAGGAAGTAGAGAGCCGCGGCGAGGACGATTAGGTGCAGGGGGAGCAGCGAACTCCACTGCACTCTGAGTTCTGAGAAGCTGCCACCTCTTTCCCGACTTTCTCCTCCCCGAGGGACGTGTGTGTGCCTGAATCCAACTGTTGAAGAAGTCAATTTTGTTGTGTATTGCCTCACTCCTTTTGAGTGGGGGGTGGACGGGTAAGGAGGGGGATGTGGGCACCGGGCTCTCGCTCTTTCGCCGGACCTCTCTCCCTCTCCTCCCCTCCTCCTCCTCCACCTCGAAATCATTCTGACTTGCCTCGCTGAGATCAGACAACTTTCTGTGGATATAGTCGTCGTCGTCTCTGGAAACCTCTGACATCTTAGTCCCGCTGTCAACGCTGCGATTCGAACAGTCCGATATCTTTCTCGCAGGAGAATTATCGGGTGTGTCTTCGGCGCAGTCGGATCCTTCTTCCCCTCCTCCGTCTTCCTCCAACTCCACTCTCAGTCCTCCTCCTCCGACCGTCAGCAATCGCGGTTGCACCGTCTCCCCCTTCCTCCTCATCTCACGCCAACTCTTAAAGTAATGCCTCTCCTCTTTCCTTCTCTGTCTCCGTTTCTCTTCTCCCTCTTGGTCGGACATCTCGCTCCCCTCGAAGCTGCTATACAGCGAATCCTCTGCCGCTTCTTCTCTCAGTGGGCTCATAGTCGATAGAGAATCGCGGTCGCTTCTCTCTCTCCTGATTTCCTGAAGAGAACTTTTCCCTAAATGACTGGTGATTGGACACCTCAACGAAAACGAGCTACCCTCGGGTGTGGCTGAGCTTGTCAGGTCTGGTTTTTTATTTGTTGTTTCGATTGGCGACTGAGGCTGTGATAGTGTCACCGGGGGGAGAGAGAGAAAAGGGCTTTCGGGCGTTACAGATCGATCGCTGAAGTTTCCAATCTCGTCCAGGGATCTTCCTTTCAGGAGCACCTTTGTTAGTCCTCTCCTTCCTGGCTGCGTCGACTCCCCGGCTTCCCTGTGGATGGGGGAGGAGTTTGTCGATGCCGCGGTGACCGAAATATCGGGCACCGGGACAAGAAGCCGCTGTCCCGGGCCGTCGTCCCCTATACCGATGTCTGGAATCACCGTGGAAGCCGTGTCGTCTCCGCCACGTGACTGAAGAGTCGAAGAAGAGCTGGTAGAAGATGAACACGACAGAGGTCTTCGAGGGGGAATTATTGCAGGGACTTCTGGGTCGTCTTGGCTTAGAGTCGGCACGGTCAGAAGTGAGGCAAATTTCGCAGCTGGGCTCGGCGGCGGGGAGGAGCGACGTGCTCCGATCGACAGAAAAGGGGTGGGGTGGGTACAGAGGTCGTACCCCGGTACCAGATCCTCTGAGAATGGAACGGTGACGGGTGTGGGTTTTGACTTGGCCGAGTTCTCCAGGAGAAAGTAGCAGGGGATGGGATCGGGGACATTCTTGAACTCCATGGATCCACGGTAGGTGAACGAGAACTGGGGGTTGTGTTTCAGAGGCTGGATGGAAGAGAGAAATCGCGGCAGATGAAAAGATGGAAAGTTAGAGTGTTATCTGACCACTTTTGTTTAAATCAGGAAACATATTCTTGGTGGGCGAGCGGAGTGCAAGCCTATGTCAACAGAATAGGAGCTGCATGTGCAAGGGAAGTTATCATGTGACAGCATTGGAATAATGACGCACTTCTGATGACTACATAGGCCTATTTCACTTGATTGCAGAACAAGAAAATAAGTTTTTATGGCATTCGTTGTGTTAGTGCCTTGCAATTATATGTGAGTTGAAATTGGAGAGATATAGAGTTGATGAGGTGGGAAAGTTGAGCAGGGACAGCATGTAGAGGAAAGGGCGTGTAGAGAAAGAAGAGAGGGTGAGGGGGCACTAATTAGGACATGGGTACACACACCACGACACAAGGTTGGGAACCATGCTTGCTCTCATGTTCGGTGTAAATTCCACGCATTCCTCGACTCAATCACCCTTCAGAGTAATCCATAATTAGATTAAACCCTTCATTATAATACATATACACCACTACCAGTCTTCTTGATGCAGTTAAGGTTGTCCTAAAGGTCAGATTGTAACATATTATGATATCTAGCTACATCGCTAGCCAAACATGGCACACTGCCCAAGCTCTTCCGGTTTCGCATGAAAAACTTCATTTCTAACTCACAAACGTTAGTTTGAAACATTTCTTTGAAAGAACGGATGAGGTAATACTCACTTGTAGGTGTATTCGGTGACTTGTATTCTGCTGGGAACTCCGTTGCTCTCCACTCTGCTGGCGATGTTGACGGTGTTACCAAACAGGCAGTAGCGTGGCATCCGGACACCCACAATACCTGCCACCACATTCCCACTGTGGATACCCACTCGCATCTGCAGGAACAATGACCTCATGATTACATCATTGCGATTACGTCACATCGACAACTGAACTGGAGCCGTCATACTCTGGCTCTTCAACAATAAAAAAATCATTACATCATTGGTGATGACATCATATATATAACTATAATATCTGGCTCTTTAACGATGTCATCGTTACATCATTTGTGATGACATCACATCTAAAACCGATTACTATCTGGCCCTTCATCAAAACGACCTAATAATTTTCTGATAATTAAGTATGAAACTCTGGAAAAGGTTAGCTAAATAGCGCCAAATTGACGACAACATTACAATGTAATAAAAGGAAATAGGAATAATAGTCGACTGATGTCACCCAGTGAATATTAGGTCAAGCGTGACCAGGAAAAGATAGGAATGTCACTTTTTGCTTACCATCGCAAGAGTATAGCAGGAAAAACACCGACAGTACTTTAACTGTCAGGTATATCAGTACATTCTGAAATGGGATAACATTCAGAAGCAGACAGGCAGAGCCACAGTGGGAGGAGATATTATGACTAGCCTAGAGTTACTTACAACATGTACATAACCCCCCACGACACACCAATGGCAATTCCCAATGGAACTTGACTATTTCCTGACAAAGGGTAGACCTCTTTGACCAACAGAGGCACCTACAGAGCTCCCATGGGGAAGTCGAAATACAAAACATCCACATTCTGAGCTTCCTGAAAGAGGGATGCTCTCTTCCTTGGCTGAACTGAACCCTACATACCTTTGGGAAGTTAAACACAAACATCCTCATTCTGAGCTGCCTGAAAGAGGTAAATATACAGACTGGCTTTCTATGGTTTTAGAAGCTGGAACACCTTGCCCTCTTTGGCTGAACTATACCTTTGGGGAAGTGAGATATAAACATCCGCATTCTGAGCTGCTTGACAGACGGAAATAAGATCGAGTGGCTTCACAAGAGAGGAAATATCAGTGAATATGGTTCATATTTACCGAATATCACAGACAGGATGTGCAAGTCAACTGCACTACTGATGCAAGAAATTGTTCCGTTTCCTCTGGTAAACGCTCTATGCAATCAGAGAGTGAGTGAGGTCATCCTACGAGATATTCTAGCTTCTATCCACACAACGTGGGGATTGATCTGAAGTGCCCAAACATGACATTTGCACTTTGCCTCCTGTTTAGAGGTGATTCAGTGGTGAGGTACACTCAGAAAGATTAGGTAATGAGTGTGAATTATTACATCACCACTTTAGCTATGTACATTACTACAGAATTCGTGGAATGTCTCGCGCTAAAAGGAGCGAATTATGAGAGCAAACGAGATTACATCTAGGGCCCACCACACCTTGTGGAGCTAATAGCAATCATATTCCGCTAGGTAAACATCGGGAATGAGTTCACAATGAGTTGCACTGGTTGTAACATGCCAGAAAAGGATCTCCGATTAACTTCTCCCCTTCTGTGCCAATTTCTAAATTAACCCCATGACACCAACAATTTGTGTCAAAGACAGCGCTAGTAACGGATTAGGTGATTTCTCTTTGTGGTAATTGCTAGGGTTACACTCACTCTGATTGGGTTGCCATTGTCGGGGCGACACACCCGGCGACAGTAGTACATCATGTCGAGGCCTTGGTTAGCGACGCACTCGGCGTGTGTTGTGTTCCTCTGCGGCAGGCCTCCCACCACCATGTAGGCATCACCGATGGTCTCCACCTTTGGAGGGAAGGAGAGGGGGGGAGGGGGGAGAAAGGGATGGATGGTAAGTAAGGAGAAAGAAGGTGGGGAGGAATGAAAGGGGTGCGAGAAGGAAGGAAAGATGGATGGAAGAAAAGAGAGAATTAGGAAGGAGATAGAGGAAGGAACAGTTCACACTTGTTCAAAGACATTATTTAAAGTGACATAATAAGCAATAGTGAATTCATTGACCAATGTCTCCTACAGAAGAGCTTTTACCAATTACCTCTACATGGAAACTACAGACAACCTTTTCCCAGCAGCTACAGAATGCACCATCAGTCTTTTAACGTCTTCCTTCCATGTAGGCATGCCGAGAATTAACCACATAAGACGTCTTCCTCGCTATCCAGTATCACATTAGGGCCACTACCCACTGACCCACACATGCACACAGACGGCAGTATGAATAATTCATACCTCACACACACCAACACCGCACACATGCAGTTGAAGAGAGAGGCTGGTAAAACACAGGCTATAGGACTGGCAAAACCTGTGTCAATGTCATGTACAGCTTCAGCTGTTAGATCTGCTCACCGGCACCCTTACATGCCGTTCCTCTCCCCCATGGCACGCATACCAGTCACCTCAGCAGCCTTGCAGGCACACACCTCCCCCTACCTCCCAACCAGATGCGAATAAGTAAATGTGAAAACGGGTCATCGTCCAAATAATTACTCCCCTCTTCCCTCCTCTCCAAATGCGAATAAGTAAGTGAAAAAGTGACAATCATCCACAAAAAGTACTCTATTTCCTCACTTTGAAAACCTGGTTCTGATCGACGCACTGGTCGAAACAGGAATAGAGTTTGTTCAACATGTTCACAATCTCCATCGGTTCGCTCCGACTACACATTGACGTAAACTCCACGATGTCGCTGAAGAGAATCGTGACGCTCTCAAATCTCTCCGCTTCGACCATCTGCCCCGCCATGAGGCTATCTGCGACGGAAATGGGCAGCATTTCTCGCAGAAGACCGGCCATTCTCTGCTTCTCCTCCTCCAGTGATTTCTGCACCGACTGGAGCTCCAGGATAAATTCCTCGAGATGAACCGAATTGATGAACTCCGATTCGGCAGCCTGCCCGATCATTATGAGCCCCCTCGTTGCGTCGTGGAGAGGAATATCGCTGAGATAGAGCCCCGCCCTCTCCAGGTCCTGGAGCTGTTTAACCCTCGGTGAACAGAGGAAGAGGAGGGAGTCTGATTCTCGGAGGTAAATCATCTGACCACGCAGGCTCAGTGGGACGGCGTCTCGTCTGCACATGAACTTCATCGCAGTGACTGGAGACTTGCGACGTCATTCTCAGGACAAAGAAGGTGTTAATGTGAGAAAGTATTGAACGAATGTGAATTTTATGAGCGGGTGATCGATCGTAAAGTGAGAGGATATGTTTGGGTCTTTTTGGAGTGCACCCGATAGAAGAACGGAGAGGGTGGACCCACATTGGAGTATCTCCATGTTGCGGTTGAACACGACATGAAAGGGGAAAGACTTGCAAAAGACCTCGGGGGTGACGAGGGGTTGATCAGGGAACACTCGTGGAGTACTACATCGCAGCGCCTCCTCCGTCGGACTCTGCTCGTAGTGAGCCACTTCTTGCACCGTGAACACCGAATGATCGCTCCCTTCGTCCCCCTTCTTTGTCATTAGCTCAATCCTCACCTCCATCTTGAAATACTGCCTCGCGACTGCCTTTACCAGTCCGATTACCAGCGGCTCCAGCCCGTCTCTCTGCGAGTGGTAATGGAGGAGGAATTCGTCGCCCCATCGGCCCGGGCTGCAGCGGAAGGAGGGAGCCACCATGTGGGGGTAGATGGTGGAGACGTGATCGTGGAGCGAGTCGAGGTTGGCCAGGAAATCCTGGAGGGAGCGACCGAGTAGTCGCAGAGTCTCGGACTGGCCGTACTCCACACACCACTGCAGAAACTGCTCTCCAAACATCTCCAGGATGGTCGGCTGGTCCAGCCCTACACACATCATAGGTGGAGGTGATACATTTTGCAAATTTCGCAATTTTTATGCGTAAATTTACGCGCCATTTGCAAAATTCGTAGAAAGGTTTTGAATCACCCAATAATTGCAATGCAGTAAAAAACAGTCGGATCAGGCAAATGGTGGGTATATACATCTGAACGCCACATTTGCAAGCTATATTGTGTATTCATGCATGCTTGTCTTACGCGGCCATACACAACACGTGTCCAGCTGTAGTCGTGACAAACATAGGGCGGGCAATGAAACTTGAAAGTCTACCTCAAAAAACACACTCGTAGCTATGCGGCTGGGTTTGCGAGGACCGCTGTAAACACAGCTGGTAACACATGAACCACACATGTAGCTAGCTCACGTTTCATTGCGTAACTAGGGGTTACTTTACACGCGACTCAATGTCGACAACTAGATTAGGAGATAGCCGGCAACACACCCAGCTCCGTGTGAGGCACCCTCTCCTTAGAGATAACGCTATTAGCATATCCGGGAACGGCGAGCTAAGGGAGGTAAGGCAGCTGCCACTGCCAAGGGCAATTATGCCTAACAGTATAATACATGAATTGAGTCTCTCTTTGCCATCCTAGATCCCATCCCTCGGGCCTATTACGGGCCATGTTGCTCTTGGCTTAAGTCAATAGTTGAACAAAACCACTGGAAGGACGCAGAGAAAAATGATTTTTAGTAGTTTATGTCGTGTGTAGAGTAATGCATGGTGACTAGGACACCACACTGATCAGGACACCTCAGTGATCAGGACACATTAATTGACTAATCAGGACACACCCATGAAGTTCATCCAGCTATAGCTGCACAACAAGAGCCCATATTCAGTGAATAACAGACACCCTTTTTTCAGAGGCATCCCATATTTGAAGTAATATACACTAAAGTATTAGTATTGTGGCAGAGGTGTCCTTTTTCAAAAGACGGAGGTTTTTTGGATGTTTAGTGTCAACATACCGAGGACAGTGGTGGCTGTTTGCAGGAGAGAGTGTATGTCCTTTTCCTCATAGACATGGTGGACTTGGAATGAGCAACTCTCGCCCAGTGACACCCCAGCAAGGTCACTGCATACACAACACAAGTCAATTGTAACAGCAAGAGGTTAAACAAGTTGGTAGCATTTGAAAGAGCTAGGGCCTAGCTAGTATCATCTGAGTATGAATAAATTTTGTGCAGAGGTTGGCTCACCAAATTTCTTCCCATTTATCGTCACCAAACCTCCGTCTCACCAGCTTCTCCAGAGCAGAGCTGAAGAATCCATACTGCGGGAGGACGATACATTTCATTCATCACCCGCCACTCCCTCTACTTTAGCCCGCACTCTCTCTCTCCTCTCTTTTTAACGCGCCCCAAGGTTACCTCAAACGCATAGTTAGGAGCAGAACTGATGCCAAAACTGTTTACTGTCAGATTTATAGTCACGAATTGCCTACTCTGGGCTGTTGCCGACCGAAACCACCGACCATAAACAAAAAGCCCGTGAGTAATGCATAGCTATGACCAAAGCGGTTGGTATTTTTACGAGGCGATTGACAAGTAGAATCGCTCACCATGTTGGTGACTGCGTTGCAGTTTGCTGCTGTGCCGTTTCCCTAACCTCTTCACCTCGCACGCACGGAACTCCTCCGTCCGTCCGGACTGAGACCTGCATGCGTTCCGATAACTTTCATGCGGTACGGGGCGGCGTCATTATGACAAGTATGACGACATACCTGGGTGGGCGTGGCTCGTTCCCTACTGCAAGGTAAAACTGCGCACGCTGCAGTCAGTGTGTTACAGGAGGAGAAAAGCAGTAGCAAGGTATGGCTGGCAGTTTCCAGGCTGATTTCTCGTCCGTGGTCTTCCTAGCGGCCCTCTTTGGCTGCTGTTGGTCCGTCAACCCGGGACTTCGCACCGCTCTTACCAGCAAAGGCCTCAACTATGGTGAGTGGCTAGCTAAAATAGCAAGCTGGCCGAGACGGTGTGGCTGGTAGTTGCAAACTATTCTGCCGCAGGGAGGGTCTATATATTCGAGCACGAGTGTTTGTCTGAAATACAGGTATATAGTGTGATGGGACGTAGTAAGCAGTCCAATTAGCTTAGGATCCGTCTCCCTAAGGCATCCAAAACGAAAAGCAATTGCATCTATAGTCATCGAAGAAAGTGCACTACCTGTCATGAATTTTTTTCTTGTCAGATTCCCTATAAGATTTTCATACCTTTTTCGTTTCACTTTCGGCAGGAATTCCTCTTATAGTGTTGTTTTATCAGTTTGTGTCTGTTGTAAACACTGCAGCCTGCAGCGTGGGGATCCCTATTCTGGAGAAGGAGCTCTTGACTGTCGCCATTCCAGATATCTCTGGGGATGCAGACACACCTATCGGCTCTATCTCTTACTCTCTCTCAAAGTCAGCTATACAATAATATAGAGCAACTTCACAATAGAATTTCTCTGCCAGGGAGAACCATTTTTGAATGCACCTATATAGTTGTAGTAACATTGTATGTTGTTTATCTCAAGTTTCGAATGATTATAAGTTACAGTGGTATCTGAATGTAGCTTAGCCAAGCCTGCATTATGAATAGAGGATGTTGTTGGAACATACAGCAGTGGTATTAATTGTCTGTGTGTGCTATCCTATGCGTTCTCCACCATTGTAAAAACGCAGCATCAAGCTGGTGAGTTTCAAGATCCCCACTGCCTCCATCACCTCCAGTAGTGGAGGACTGTCGGCCCAGGCATCTGGCATCTCCATCTACGTCACTGCTGACTGGCACTACCGCGAAGACAGCTGGTATGGATGGACTTCAACAATGGCCCTCTGAATAAAGGACACCTCTCTATAGAGGACACTTGGTTCTGCACCATACTAATACATTATTACCCCCAAACTGGGTAACCTCTGAACAAAGGACATTTTATTTCTAACTTGTTCATTATTCAGTTGTTTCACTGTATATGCAAGGACTTAGAGCCCTTCCTGTTGACTTTCCCAGTCTATCAGTTTGTATTACACTTTGCAATGTTTTTCTTTCAGGCCTCATATAAGTGACAGCGGGTCCCTTGATGTCTCTGGCAGTTCCATATCACTAGAGGTACTATAGGATACTTACAACACTGCCTGTGGGTATCCTATTGGACCAGGTTGGGGTTGTGATGGGAGCTGACTCTAAAGGCCATGCGACCCTCTCTAGCACAACTTGCTCCTTCAATATCGGAAATCTGGATGTCCATTTCAGCGGAGGAGCCGCTTGGCTCTATAACCTCTTCTCTGACGACATTGCTGACTCCCTCAAGGACTCTCTTCGGGGACAGGTAAGGCAGACCTCTATTTTATCGTCTCCACTTTCTCTTCTGATTTCGCATGAATCATAAGTGAGATATGAAAGTGAAAAACAACACCTCTTTTTCCAAAGAAGAGCTTCCCTAGGTGTAACTCAAACCCACAACACTCTTCTTCCTACTAAGCTACCAGAACACTTCGGCATATATACCTCAGTTTGTTTCTGTCTTCACCATTTCTCTCTCTCTCTCTCTCTCTTCTCTCCTCTCTCTCTCTCCCAAATGGAGGTATGCGATGAAGCCAAAAGCACCATCAACACCCAGGGCAACGCAGCTCTGGAGACTCTGCCAGTCATAGTCCAGGTTGACAGCATCTCGGAGATTGACTTCAGACTTCTTCAGAGCCCATCCTTCACCTCTGAGTACATGGAGACACTCCACAAGGTAAACCCTATCACCAACGTGAAACCATCACTCTCTGCCAGAGGTCTGTAATATATACTTCTGCACTGTTGTAGTCAAAAATGAAAATAGTTGAGCAATTTAGTGCACAATTTTCGTTCAAGTTTGTTTGTGAAACATAATTTTCGCAGATTGCGAATTACCTATGAACATCGCAGAGATTTTGTGTACACGTAGAAATTCAGTAAACCTCTTATATTTACTCTCCATGTCCCATCAGGGAGAGTTCTATTCCATTGCCCACCCTGTGGAGGCCCCCTTCACCCCACCCCCTCTCCCGCCCATCGCCAACACCACCAAGATGATCTATTTCTGGCTCACCGATTACATCGCCGAATCTGCCGGCTTCGTCTACACCATGGCAGGCGCACTGCAGTACAACATCACTCCCGACATGATCCCTTCTTCCTTCCCCTTTAAACTTAACACCGCCTCCTTCAAGGCCCTTATTCCAGAGGTATATATATTAATCTTCATACAAAACATTTTAAGCAGTGAACATATTATTATTATCATACTATTATCTTATGTTGTTGTGGCAAGTGAAGAGAGCCTACCTAGTTGTCTGAATGCGGAATTTTTCCATTTGGAGGTGACGGGCACTGCATACTAATTACGTGTGCGAAAAATGAACTACTCATGGCAAATATAAATTATGAAACCGACAGTACTGGGGGAAAACTTTACAAAGACACTGTTCAATAAAAAAGATTCGCACTCTGTCGTCAGTTTTAGAGGTGTATTTCTTTCTCTCAGCTCTACCAGAAGTTCCCCAACTGGCCGATGCAGCTGGACCTGAACGCCACGAAGCCACCAGATTTCACGTTCTCTCCATCTCTTGGAGGGAACCTTACGGTGTTTGGAGACATGGCAGTGGAGGTTGTCAGTCCCACCAACAAGAGCATGCAGCTGGCCTTTGTCCTTGGACTGGTGAGCCCGTGGCAACCTACCAGAGCCTTCTCTTTATCCCTGATACAATGTTTCTTAACATAGTGGACATTATCTCTTGCAATGCTACACCTTCATGTGATGCAGTAATACATTAATTAATTTATCTCCCTGCAGATACTGTATGCTGATGCTTCAGTGGCTGTAAAGACAAATAAAAGTGGAGGTGACATTGCTACCTTCAATGCCACATTTCTCAAGTGAGAACGTCAAAGCAATCTGAATTCCCATACACACAAGGATAAATCTATGCGCCCTAGTTATCAAACCCAAATGGTTTCTCAATGAAAAGTACAAAAGTGCGAACCCTCGGCACAAGAAACACGAGTACTGTAACCCATGCTGTGCATGTGCGCCGAGGGTTTAGAGTTCAGCTGCAACAGTGTTTTATTTTTACCTACAGAGTCGATATGACTCTACTGGAATCGAATGTTGGAGATTTTAACGTGAGTGGAATAACCTTGTAGAAGCCACATGGAAATGACATGGTGGAAGCAACATTCTCATCTCTCTTGTTGATATAGGTGGCAGTGTTACAAACAGTTGTTAATCTGGTCTGCACTGGATTCGTAATCCCCACCATCAACCGTGAGTACTCAGAAATGTCTTCACGTCTTCTTCCTCTTTATCCTTCTTCTCTCTCCTTCCCCTCCCTCTCACCTCAGAGTATGGAAGTACAGGTATACCAATACCAACTGTTGATGGAGTTACTCTTGTTAACCCCACCGTCACCTTTGGTCAGGTAAACATGTCAATGCAACGAGGAACTCAAAAAACAAACATTTTTCTTTAACTTCATGACTTGTATATAAGTTTCATGGCTTCAATGCTGCCAGCCATGAAAAGTAACAAGAAACTTCCAGATTTTGCTTAAATGCCTCACTGTATATAGCTCAATGTTCAAGACAGTATACATTGTCTCTCTGCAGGACTATGTTGTGATAGGGTCTGATATCAACTACATCCCTCCTCCATCCCTCTACAACAGCAAGAGGCAACACTAGCCATGCACCAGCACTGTTAACTGCATAAGTTGTATTAGGTGTATACATAATAGTGTGTGTTTAAAGGACTGGAGAGTGTTTTAATATTGTTATAAACATTGCGTATGTGATGTAATTCCGCATGTGGTGGTCTTTTTCAATTTTAAATATCGCAACACACATGAAGACATGATTTAACAAAACTGAAAGCAAACAGAAATCTTACGATAAACACTAAAACAACACTTTCAAAGTACACCAACACGCCTACCCCTCTAGTACAACACAACACACACACACACACACGATATATAATTCACACACGCACGTTACAAAGTTTGTCACATAAAAATGTGAAAAAACAAACATATGATGTGGCAATAGATAACTCAGAGCTAATAGTCTGCAGGTAGTAAGGTATGATAGAAAGAGGAGAGAGCGAGAGAGAGAGAGAGAGGCTCAACAAATGAGAGAGCTTTATTGGAAGCAACACAAATGGTTAGACTGGCAGTCATGGGGGAAGGCTGAGTGGGCGTGGCAAACAAGGGGGCGTGGTCAGATCACTGTCCCATCGTCCGAGAGGCCGGTTGACCCGGAGCCGGTACTAGCTGTTGGGAGATAGTCAGAGCTGTGAGAGAGGGTTGTTGTAGGAGGGGTGGGGGTGGGGTTTGCCGAGCTCTCTTCGGCCGATGTCTCACTGAGGATCTCTGATGAGTGACCCCGTCCACTGCGAGAGGTGAGGACTGGCGAGCGTGTGGGAAAATAGGTCCCCGATGACGCGACCGACGGCATCGTCTTCAACTTCCTCTTTTTGTGCTTCGACTTGTCCTGGTTCCCGTGCTTGGCCGCCGATGCTCCGGCGGTGGGTGAGGCCTTGTGTTGCTTGTGGAGGGCGGAAGAAGAAGAGCGGAGGGCGGGGATGTCGGATACGGAGCGTTCGCAGGGTTGGAGCGAAGAGAGGTTGTGCCCGAGTTCACGCTCGGGGCTAAAGGTCGGGAGAGAGACAGAGTCTGATGTCGGGTGTGGTCGGGCGGAGCCAAGCGACGTGTGACTGCCCTCCCCGAGCTGTCTGTCTGGTTCACTGGTACTGCTGATTGTGCTGGCGTTCCGCTGGTGGACCACAGAGGAGGGATCCGACTCCAGAGAGAGAGCGTCACTTGTGTTCATTCCTTCGTTGCTCGAGTTGGTCGGGGAGGTGTTGTTAGAGAACGCCGAGTCGCTACGGTTACGGATGATGTCACGGGGTCGCGAGAGGGTAGAGGGTTCGGACCCTGCAGAGGGAGCAGGGGACATAACGACCTCCGATTCCCCCATCGCAGAATCATTACTGGAGTAATGACGATGTCTCCTTGCCACTTCGAGATCATCACTGATGTTGACTTGGAGACTGTCCAGTTCTCGAATGGCGTCGTCCAGCGTCTTCTCTGTGTCGCTGAGGGAGCGGGAGCGTCGCCAGGAGGGGGAGGAGCCGGGCGGGACAACCAGGCGCAGCGTGGAGGTGGGCGTGCTCCCGGGGGTCACTCGTCGAACCCCGTCTGACCTGGGGGAACCGGAAAATCTCTATTCACACAGGGTCCCTTATACCACTGCACACGTATAAAATGATACACACATCAAGATTATTGTGAAATCGCGCAAGGATATTGGGTTTTAGAGTGACATCATCAACAGACAACCAACTGTGTTCGCAAGAAGGAGATTCACACGTACTCGTAGCAACAAAATAGTGTTTGCTTTCCTCGTCAATCGAGGCTCTTAAAATGGCTGCTTTTGATAAGTGGAGTGTTCGCAGGCTCTCTAACACGACGTTGGCAAACAGATAAATTAGTCAGAGAGGAAGTCATTAGCCATGCCCCCACACTAATAGCAGATGACGTCATACTAAATCCAATCCATAAAAAGCGTGTTTACACTCTTGGGCCGTAGCCTGCCCCCTCGACAGCTGCTTTGTTCTCTTCTCGCAGACACAACACTGCGCGAGGGACAGAACCAAGGGCTCTGTATACTGTGACAGAGGAGGTTCATTCATTAGCAGTTGTAGCAACAGTTGACACCACACAAGGAGAGAGTTTTCGTCACTTGGTGAGGCAAGAGAGAGCCTTGAGAATTGAGGCACACAGAGCACTCGCTAACACACACACACCACACGCGCACACACACTTGGGCTAAGTGGTCGGAGACATAATGAGTTGGCAAGTGATGGGGGTAGCGTGGTGGCGAGATATGTAGCTGAATCAGCACTTCATAAGCACCACTACTAAATTTAGTGTTGAGCCAACGTCAGCATAGGACGCTATATAGGCACTCCTTACCAATACATCTTCAGGACTAAACGAAAATACATGGTCAGCAAAGGACTAAAAAACCAGCTATTACAACTGCCACTCATTTGCATAAGCCACGTGTACTCGTGGGTTTTTGAAACTCAATTGCGCGTGACCGCGGCCTATGAGGCGACAAGACACTCACACTCACCCTTGGTCCATACACTTCCTCTTCAATAGAGTGTCCACTCCCTCAGGGTCCATTGGCTGGAGGGCCTTTATCGCCTGGTCATACAGCCCCGCTGGTATCTGGAGGGGAAATAAGCACGCGTGGTAACTTATGACAAGCACACGCGCTAAGTCATAAGCACAAGTGCAGAGTTATGCTAAGTCATTACACAAGTGCGATTAGTGCATATTTGTGCGATTGATGTATATTTTGTGTAAAATGTGAGGGTGTGGGGAGGAAATTACGGCAGGAAACAGAAACATAGGCTAGTGACCTAACAGCCGAAGAAGGCAAGATGGTGGCAGATCATCAACAAAGGTCAGTTGTGACTGAATCTGTTGTTGAAGCACACTTGACAACAGCTCTGGCTCGCCTGCGAGGTGACGTCACGACACACAGGAAACAGACCGAGCTATGTGCCATAACCACCATCCTCTTCCCTGTCCCACACCCACTGGCTGTGCAACCCTCCGACCAAGGGAGGAGTCCAGCTTCCACCTTGGGATAAGTGTGGGATAAGTGGCCATTTCCCTTGCCGTGTGAAGCAACAGGCAACTCAGTCAATTCCTAGTTAACGAGAGAACCGCCATTTGTGGTCCAATGATGGCAGACAACTGGAGTGTGCAGTGGAGCCCAGCCCTCAGAGGATGGGTCTACCGTGGCTGATATATAGGAGCCATTGAGGGCAGTTCAACTGTGACTCGGAGTAGCTCAGGTGTAAACAGAGACACTGAATGGACTCTGTTTGTCCACAGAGAGGTCTGCCAGTGGCGCAGGCCGGCAGAGATGAAAGCATTCTGAGAGAGCTTCGGTCAAGATTCAGTTGAGGGAAGAGCCCATTCATTCCATATGGGGAGGCCCTACCACGTGCTATATACACCTGGCCATCTCTCGTAGACAACAACTCATTTGCACCGACACTATAGTGGGTGTGTCAAAATATCTAATTGCCTCTTTAGCCTGACCTCTGTAACACCTCATGTACCAACTCAACGTCGCAGTTTCAGGCCACTAACGGCCAATTCTAGTTTTCCTACCAAATTTCAACCCAAATTTTACCAAAAAATGGTGAAGTTTTTTCTCCGTGAAATTTGTATAGTAAGAGTTTCTCACGGTGAAAATGGAGGTGTGCATCCGAATGAGATCCTCCATGACCTTACACACCGCCTCCAGCTCTTCCTGGTCCTGCTTGACTACCTGGTAGTCTGGTTTCACTCCCGCCGTCTTCCTCTGCTGTATGGCAAAATGAGAGGGGAGAGGAGAAGAAAGGAAGATAGGAAAGAAGAAGGGAGAGGGTAAGTAGATAAGAGAGAGAGAGAGGGGTGAGAGGTTAGAGAAGGAAAACTAAAATGTAAAACTTGGCAATAGTCAGAGTACACAGTTCACAGCGATACTCAGCAGCCTATAAAAACACAGACCGAGCGAGGAATGCGATTAGTATTCTCCAGAGACCGGCGGACACACGCACACAGAGAGTAGAGTGGGCAGCATGACAGGCCCGTACAGCACATTCACAGAGTGCCATTTCCTACACTATCACCACTGACAACATGTGGTGATGTACAAACTGAAGATGACTGAGCAGCTCGCCCCACACTTTTTATGGCCTTGTATTCATAAGTTCCCCCTCTTTCCACACATCTCTCTCTCCTCTCCTCTCTTTTCCTATCTCCCTCTACCCTCCTCTCTTTCTTTCTCTCTTCTTCCAACCGCCATCTCCCCCCACCCCTCACTAGGTGCAATGTGATCATGCAATGCAGCCATTTGCTAACCTCCTTATGTAGAATGTTGGGTCCCATGATGAGCCCTAGGTTCTGCTCTGTCATTCTGTTTCCCGTCTCCTGCAAGAAACAGATGCCATATTATTGCTCGCCGCAACCCGACTTCATTTCTCTACTTAGTCACACATACAATGTACATACATACAGACTATGACAATGTATTAGAGGTTTAGAGGCTTTAGGTAATGCCCCAAACTGCACAGTCTTCTCTGTTCCAAATCACTGTGTCAGTTACGAGGTATGTTCCAAATTACGTGTCGTCAGCTACGAGCTAAGAAGGCAAAGCCACAACAAACAAGTCAACTACACCCAGGACAGCTCCCTTTTTCCAAGGAAAAAAGAAGAGCTTCCCTGGGTGGGATTCGAACCCACGACACTCTGCAGTCTAGACGAGCGACGCTGGATATATACACTACCTGTAACACTAGCAATCTGTGCCAGTGATTGCGTGGTCATACAGCACATAACTGAGGTCTTGTTTGGGCCCCCCTCCCCAAGGAACAGACTCTAGTAAACACGTGTTGCTGTGGGCGTAACAAACCGCACACCGTGTCCTCCGCGATGCTCTGTTTAGCAACTATGTGGGACAAACTAACTCGTCGCCTAATCGCATCCCGTTACTTTTCCCTCGGAATGCGTAAGTTCACATTTCACAACTTCGCACACGGGCGGTACGGAGGTATACGAGTAGATAGAGAGAGAGAGAGAGTCAATGTATCATTTCTACCGAGGGAGATAGAATCTGTTGGGCCTCCCTTACCGCAAGTTGTTTGACTGTAAACATAGCTACGGAGGAATGTGATTGGTCATGTCTGCCCACCCACAAGACTAGCTGACAAGTGGAGTTGGGAGGTCTCTCTCTCTCTCACACACACCAGAGTTAATGGAGTGAAGAAAGAAAAGTAATGCACGCGTTGAATAACTACATTTACAGTCAAACAACTGGTGATACAGTACAGATGATTTCAAAACAGGGGCTGCCCCCCCATGGAGACCACACCCACCTGGGTCCCGTCGATGAGGATGATGCCGTCGGAGTGGAGGGCCACGCGGGAGAGGAACTGGAGCAGAGCCTGGAGCGTGTCTCTGTTGGCATGGGGGAGAAGGAGGCAGAACAGACGCAGCGCGTCCCTTCGCTGAGCGGAGCTGGACAACTCTGCAAGAGGGGTAAGGAAGGAGAGAGGGAAGGGAAGGAGAGGGGGAGAAAGGAGTAACGCAAATGCAGGTACAGTGCATCCAGTTGAAGCAGGGCCAAGACCACCCACCTACTGGAGGGCCATAACTACCAGGTACCATCTACAGGTCTACCACCGTGACAACCAGCCATAGAAGGAGTGGAGTGCAGATAAGGTTCAGTCTTTCAGTTCACTATATCTTCAGTTCAATGCGTCCCTTTTCTCACATGAGCAGTTAAAAGGTCTTGGCTCAACGGACTGAGCTTTACATCGAGAAAATGCACTCAACCTGTATCGTTTGTTCTCGTTATGCACCTGACCATTGCCAGGTGTACATATAGTAACAACCACCCCAGTTGTTCTTAGTGATGTGAGGGGTGGCGATACAATGTCTCTGTTACCATGGCCACACTAATAAACCCCCTTTTGAAGACAAGGGACCAGTACAGTATATTCAGGCCCCAGAGAAGAAATATGCCAGAAACAGACAACAATTCCCCTGACGCCTACTGTGATGTTAGGGACATGGCGGAGACTCACCCACAGGAACGACAGTTTCTACCCAGGCATCAACAACAAGACATCATCACTCTCTCAGAGAGTAGGTGTGAAGGCTTTGTGCACCGACAATTGGACTACTAACAATACACTGTTTGTACACATATATTTGTGCTACACAAACTGTTGGACATTCTCCCCTCCTCCCCTTCCTCCCTCTCCTTACTCCCCCTCTCCTCTACTCCCTCTCCTCTCTGTTCCTCCACTAAAACTCACTCCTGGTTCCAAGGATTGGTCCAAACAGCTCTCTCGTCATCAGAGGCTCCGGAAGACTGCGGAAAAACTCTTTCAGCAGAGCTGCAATGTCGTGTGGATTAGCATCAGTCAAATCCACATCTTCTCCTCTGTCAAACTTCTGTTTTATCTGTTGGCGAGAGGGGAAAAGAGGAGGAGAGGGAGAGGGAAAGAAAGACGAGAGAGAAAGGGGAGGAGAAGGGAGAGAGAGGGAGAGAGAGGAGAGAGGGAGAGGGGAGAGGAGAGAGGGGGGAGGTTAGTGTTGTTTCCCCCACAGGCATTCATCAAGTCAGGTGAGGAATACAAACCAGCCAAACGTCAGTAAAGTGCGGAATTTAGAGAGTTAAAACACAAGCCCGTTGACTCAATGCCCGTAGCTATGGCCTCCCATTGAAACAGCCACACACTGAGGGTGGCATGCCATGTCTCATACATTGTCATAGAGCTTCGGGAGAGTGTGTTGTCTGCCACAGACTATCGTCTGGAGCCACAGTATGGGAACGGTAATGGAGTACCTCATCACGTAGCAGTGGCCCGGGTAATGCTAACCCTCTCACCTCCCACCTTGAGAAGGGTGTGGCTAACTCAACCGGCTCGACTTACTCCTCTACCACCTTTGTGGGTGTACATGGGTACATAACACCAGCTTCGTTTTTCTCCCGCTAGTCAATACACATGTCATTGGAGAATGCAACCTTATCGCATTCTTCATGTCCTAATCTTCTAAGAATGGCATATTAATATGCGGTTTCCCTTGCTTCTTTGCATACATACGTATCACTATAGCCAGAGCTTACATAAGCTATTACGTAGCCTGGTTGGTGGGTTAAATGATAGGTTAAAAGGCAAGAAAAGTGAAAAAGTACATCTGAGCTGGTGGCAAAAGGGCAAGAAAATTGGAAGCACACAGCTGAGCTGGAAAAGAAGGCCGTGAAAGAAGCACGGCTGAGCAGGTGAAAAAAAGAGATTGAATTCTGGGATAAACACGCCACACCGGCACATTCCGACATTCCGATGTGGTCTGAAAACACACTGAAGGCACTACTACAAACAAGGCACCCTGTAGTACAGTAATCTCTAGTAGTGTGGTTGGGAGAGAAGGGGCCACATCGTCCCCAGAGAGCAAGACTCCATCCAGGGATAGCAGCTAGTAGTGTGGTTGGGAGAAGGGGCCACATATCCCCAGAGAGAACGACTCCATCCAGGGATAGCAGCTGTGGTTGGGAGAAGGGGCCACATATCCCCAGAGAGAACGACTCCATCCAGGGATAGCAGCTGTGCACATTGCAAGAGAAGAGAAGAAACACACACACACGGAGAGAAGAGTGGGAGAAACTTTGCACGTAATTTGCTGCATAAACACAGCCATAGAGAGAGATTAGCATGTGACCGGGTGCCTTTGTACAATGTACAAGAAATTCCTTCTTGAAACGGTGTAGGTATGCATGTAAGGCGACGTGTCACTACAGAAATGCATACACTCGACCCTTTCTGCCAACAATACATCCATATGGACTAAGAGAGCATACAAACTCTATACTGAACTGTCCTTGACTGTGACACGAAGTATGCACACCGCATGCACCACAACAGCCTTATAGATATGCCCTTTGGCATGCGTGGATGCCTCAATCCAATGGCCGATCCATTAAAAGCTAGCCCACAGAATGCACACACTACGTTGCACGCCATATGAATGTGTACTTATACCTAAAAAGCAGTGGTAGACTTGTGTGTACAAGAGCGGCGAAGTACGGTGTATGATTGGTTTAGTATGCAGATAGTATCATCGACTATTGTGTAAACCGTTGACTTGGCAAGGATTCTGAAGTTGAAAAAGGCCACCATTTTCTTCAATGACAATAGCGAGTGTAGGAGAGAGAGAGAGATGCATAAACATCGGCTAAGTCCCGTCATCAGCATAATTATTGTTCAACAAGGATCTCCAATTAGAGCACGCTTTGTCATACAAGAAAGTACGAAATCAGTCTTAATAGCACTTAGCCTCGATTAAGTCAACATAACTCAATTACATGATAAACATTATCTTTTTTAAAGTACTCCACATATGCACGTCCACGGGTGCATGGACACCTAACCTACCGGTACACCCACTGCAGCAACACATCATAATTAGTTTTACCCCAGCTTGTACTAGAGATGGCTACGCCAGTGGGAGCAAGGACAAAGTTCACACGTCTAACAAACCTACAGCTGTCCCTCATCAGTAGGACAATAGAAAAGTATTTCTTTGTACTAGAGGAGCCTGTCATCTTATAGCCTCCATTGATATCTATTGCTACTCTATTCCTAGTAATTACAGGGGCTTTCACCTTTCACCCCCTGTGCTTCTTGCCAATGAGAACTGAGTGATTGATACAAACACACAAGTATGGGACAGAATAAAGCATCCATAATTACATGTAGTGAGGTGTTCTTATTAAATAGCACGCAAGAGTGGTTCTTCCAGGAAAGAAAAGGTGTCAGCAATGGAGAAGTGTCTTCATTTCATGGGTGTACTTGGAGAGGTGTTCTACCGTATTGTCAATAATGAAAGGGGCATATATCATTTCCTCCATGCTCCATAACATAGACAACAGAACCCCTTTAGCTAGAGTATATACACACCTACATACAACTATTACCGAATGCAATACATGGGTGTGTATAATGAGTGAGAGCTCTTACCACTGAGTCTCACAAACAGAGCCTCCATAGAGTACAATACAGGGATGCCTGGAGCCCTTATGACCCACAGGTTCCCAGACTCACACTAGGTGGTAGGGCTTCAACCAACATAGCTATGGCAGCTCATGAATGTCGCTGATTAGTTCTGACTAAAGTATGCATATATTTAAGAGGACGTCACTAGCTGCGAAATTGAGTGCCCGAAACCCACTTGTACTTTCCTAATGAGTGGGCAGGTAGCAAGGTGTGCATATTGTGTGTATGTAGGTGACACAACTCTCCATGTTGGGACTATATGCACACCAGCCATATGTTGTTATGTGCAGGTTCTCAAAGGACAGGTAGTCCAGTCACACACCAACAGCTCTGCCACTCTAAATGTCAGTACCACATGCTAATATGGGGGGCGCAGTTTTTGCTGGGGAATATTCTCAGTGTCTATAGCAACTCTATAGCAACCTCTATAGAGTAATAACTCTGTGAGGCACACTGTGTAAGGGAGGAAGGGAGGAAGGGAGGAGGAAGAGACGATTAAATACCAAAGATTTCCGCGGTGTAGACTTTCAATAGCTATGTCTCTTTCCCTATATCGAGGAAAGTTTTGAAGAGCCGGCTAATGAGAACATGGCACAGTTTCTCTCTGGGGGACAGAGCACTGGAAGTGAGCAACAGGCAAATCCCACGAGGGATCGAATGACAAATTAGCCGTGCACATGCAAACGCTCACACACAACGCTCAGTTGTCTGCGGCACTGTACCTACTAGACCTACTACGCAATGCATGATATGTGAAGTCATAATCACAGATCATGTTCGCGCACCTCGCGCGGCGGCATACACGACAAAGGAAAAGGTAAGTGACAAGAGGTTACATACACGAGACAAGACACACATCCTCCAAAAATGGTACATGCAAATCGATCACATGGGTACGAACATTTGCAAAACACAAACAGGGGTGAGTTACTTGTAATTCGATGGGGCCAGGTGCTCTGAATTGTAACCGAAAGTGCTGAGAAATGACTGGGAATTCTGTGGAGCACACAACAAGCCTTACTGTTACGAAAGGAAAGCAAGCAAAGTTTTCAAAGCAGGTTTTTCCTTCGTCTCTGGAATTGCAGTGCGTGACACAACACACCACAGCCACTCTCTCACTGACCAAAAAAACACAGCACTTCATAGTTACAGTAACAGCTGCAGGCATTTTTGTCATGCAGCACTATAGCAGTTCCCCTCACCTCATAAATTCTCGCCTTTGACCCCGATATTCTAAACAGTCCCTCAGTCATGACGGCTTTTTGGTCGAGTAGCTCAATCGCCTTCCGTACGATGGGTGGGACACGCGGCTCCGAAGGTCTGAGGGCGATCTGACGCTGCGTTTTTGGAGAGGGAGGAGCAGTTGCCCTGTCGGTCTTGGAGAGTGCCTCAAGGAGGACAGCCGTAGGGTTCGGCTCGTTATCCAGGAAGATGGTGTCGGTGCTTGTGGGGGAGGAGGGTGGTTGGAGGGAACCGCTGCGGGAGCTAGAGCTGACCGGTGTGGCCGCTCCGGAGCTGGAACCAGTACGGTCTGTCGCGACTTTGTCGATTGGTAGGCCAAACATACCAATAGCTTGGTCTGTAGAGAGAGCAAGAAAATGTGACAGAGCAAGTAAGAAGGCAAGAGATCTAGAGACAGCAGAGTAAGTACGGCTACTCTGTGATTTACGTATGTTTGTGCGAGCACGTACCATTGCCTGTAGATATCCTTCTCTTGTTGAACGAGTTGAAAGAAAGTCGGCCTTTCTTGGACGCTGTGTGTACAGGGTGGTGGACAGGAAGGATGGGTGGAGAAATGACAAGGACAAGAGGATCATATGCAAGTGAATGCAAGGCAGAACAATGGAAGGAAATATGTGCACGCTGTAATAAGGGTGTGGTGAACCCAAGGTATTTGTAGCTGGGCAATAATTACCCCAGGCTGATTCCAGCCGCATCTTGCAGCGCCCAATACACTGAAGCAACAGGAGACTACAGAGGTAACTGCTTAGGAAGGCAAAGGGAAGTTGGATGAGGGCAAGATGCCAGGCCTACCGGCAATGATGGCGTGTGACACAGGGAGGTTCATGGACTGTAGCTGGTTGATTGCCACTCTCTGGAAGGCAAGTAGTTCGACTTGTGAGAGTTTGTTCATCTCGACTGGTTTCAGAGTCAGCATCCTTCCTGAATCACTCTCCCATTCACATTTCCCCTAGTGTGTGTGTGTGTGAGGAGGTTAGGAGAGAGAAAGAGAGTTAAGTTAGTTAACAGCAAAGGACACACAGGGGGGAGGGAGGGGGTGGAGAATAGGGAAAACAGAGAACCTTCATTTTCTGCTGGTTGTGACTGACACTTATCAAAGCTTCCCCTCGCCATGCCACAAACAGGCTCACACAACAATTCTTACGCTCAACCAATTTGGAGTATCAGGAACCCAACTAAAAGCCCAATAGCACAGAGAGAAGAGGAGGTTTTTTTACACTATGTATTACTCCACTGCTGATAAGGCGACAGATGTGTGCAGGTCTGGAATGCAATGCTAAGTGTGTAATTATGCAGTCTCTTTCCACCTGCTTTAGCAAACCGTGCAGGTAGCTGCCTTAGGGGGTCCAGTCAGAACGCAAAAACTCCCCCCTCCCAAGCCAAGGTCACACTCCTCTGCAAGTGTTGACACATAGGGGCGTCTTGCTGGTAGCGGCTTAGTTTCATTAGCGGCCTCTCCATTAGTTTAGGCCTGCAAACCCAAGCACCACACGACCGCAACAGAGGTTTATAAGGCCCGCTGGCGAGCGAGGTCCCCGGCGCGTCAACAGCGTGTCTTATCCTCCCATCGCTAACCCACCCACTTACCTTTGAGCGCCATAGCCCGTAGCTTCGGTCCTCTTTCGCCTTCCCGGATTTTCCGCCTCCACTAGCAGCGGCCGGTCCACGACTAGGAGAGTCCGGACTCTCAGACCTCTTTACAAAATCGTCGTCGAAACAAGATGGCCGTACGGGCACCACCCCGTTCTCCTTGGCTTTCCCTTTCTTGAATATCTTCATGAGTCCCTTGCTACCGTTGCTCTTTGGGCTTTTGGCGGCGTGCTTGTTTTTCATCTTCTCGCCGCTCAGCGGCCGCACGCCGTTCCTCTTCCCTGACGGAGGCGTGGATAGGAGTTCACTGCTGCCGAAAGCGGCTGACATGGTGAAGATTCCAGATGTTTGGCTACTTTATACGGCAGATATCTGTGGAGCAAAACGCAGTGCACAACACACTCGCAGTCAATGGACCATCTCGTCTCACGCACAACACATGCTCGAAAGTGATAATTAGTAAGGAATTATGCAATATTACGTCACCGGAAGTAGCTTTGTTCGCATGCGCTTCAGATCTATTCACACACCCACGATTTTTGTGCGGTTGGAAAGATGAGTCTCATCGCTGTACTGGAGTGGGCAGTAAGCTGTGCAGTAGGAGACACCATCTGGGAGACGACGGTCCGCCTCTCTGGTCTCCTTGGAGCTCTTTTCCTTCTGCTTCTCTTCCTCGTGCGTACTCCAAATAGCGCCCACCACGTGTATCTGCTCTCGCCTCCCTCAGTTGTTTGTGTTTCTGAGCGTGACGTCAGCACGAGAGCCAGACCTTTACAGGAGCTCGTCAGAGAAGAATTTCAAGGACCCAAAGACGGGAGAGAGTGCACCGTTCCCCTCGGTGACTGACCGTCCTTCTCTCTACCTCTCCCTCATCGTGCCGGCATACAAGGAGCAAGACAGACGTACGCATCCGTGTTTTTGTTAACCTCATTCGGTATTTCCTTCACCCACAATTGTGGTGTATACTAAGCACTTTCGATACTTTTGTGGTACGATAATATGCTTATGAAAATGTTTTCTTTTTTCGTGTGTTTATTTGCGTTTCTCCAACCGCAGTGCCTGTTATGATGGATGAAACTATGGCATACCTGGAGAAAAGACAGGTTTGTGTCACATAATAATATGTCTCTCGTACCCTCTCTCTTCTCGTACCCTCTCTTTTGTTGCACAAATTGGTCGTAACAACAAAAAAAACTTGTCTTGAGTGAATGATTATTGGGGGTATTCATTAGACCTAGACTCACTTCTATAGTATCTCTCCCTTTCTCCACACTCTAAATATAGTACCAGGACTCTGGGTTTACCTACGAGGTAATCATAGTCAATGATGGTAGCACAGACAACACCTCGGACGTGGCTCTGGGGTACGTGACGAAGTACGGGGCTGACAAAGTGAGACTACTGGAGTTTACTCACAACAGAGGGAAGGGAGGAGCTGTGAGAGATGGTGAGGTCATTACTGCACCACCATTACATAACGATGACATCGTACCCTATGACATAATGATGACTTCACACCTGAATGGGCATGGTGTGGTGTTTAGAGAGGGATTAATGAAAAATGGGAAGGAACTTACATTAATTAATATACGGTGGATTGCTTTCTGGTGGTAAAATGGGAAGGAACTTACTACATTAATGAATATAGGTGGATTGCTTTCTGGTGGTAAAATGGGAAGGAACTTACTACATTAATGAATATAGGTGGATTGCTTTCTGGTGGTAAAATGGGAACAAGAACTGGCAAACTAGAATGAGGACATCATACAGTATATTGCGTCAAATAGACACCCATTTCACACGTCCTTCTTCAAAATTTGTCTAACTAAATTCTTTCCCTCCCTCCCTCCCTCCCTGTTTTCCCTCAGGGTTGTCTCAGTTGTAGAGGAGAGAGGGTGCTAATGGTGGATGCAGATGGAGCCACCAAAATATCTGACGTGGAGCGACTGGAGGAAGCTCTATCCAAACTAGCCAAAGACCACGTCAGTTCACGTGTGTCCCTCTCTCGATTTTCACTGCCATTGTTCTCACACCAAATTTGGCACGTACATATTTACAGAGTTCCATTAAAATTTACCTACAAACTAACTGGAACACTAGGCCAAACACATTGAAATCCGAGACGGAGCCTTCTGACAAGAATCTTGAGATCTCCCATCTCCCTGCCTAAACTAACTGATTTTTCCTCCATCTGTCTGTCTGTCTTGTCTGTCTGTCATGTCTGTCTGTCTGTCTGTCTGTGTGTTACTATAGACAGTGCCGGCGCTGGTAGTTGGTTCACGGGCCCATCTCCAGGAGCAGGCTGTGGCTGAAGTAAGTCCTACAAGAGTCAGTGGCAAGCATTGGTCCGCAATACAAAACTTCCTCCCTCACTAATGTTTTCAACAGATGCCCTCTATATACGGCATATTTTCAATAGATGCCCTCTATATACGGCATATTTTCAATAGATGCCCTCTATAATTATATACAGCATACAACGAGAGTTTTCCCTCTATATATAATATATGGCATATATACTGAGTAATGATATTATTTCTCAGACGATTATTATTTATAAAACTCCTGGCAACTCTACTCTCTAAGTCTTCATGACTCCCTCTCATTCTTCTCCGTTGGCAGAGGTCTTTCTTCCGGAACATTCTAATGTATGGGTTCCACCTGCTGGTGTATGTCCTGTGTGTAAGAGGAGTGGGGGACACTCAGTGTGGCTTCAAGCTCTTCACCAGATCGGCAGCCGCCACACTCTTCACGTCCATGCACATCAACCGCTGGTATCCAATTTTGCCTTTATCCTAGAATTGCCATTTATAAGAGTGTAGCTGGAATCTGTTGCATGTATGCATGTAGTATAATGCCTACTATATATACTAGTCTGTATTGTGTTACAATTTCATTGTGTGTGTGTGTGCCTGTGTGTAGGGCATTTGACGTTGAGGTCCTGTACATAGCCCAGCAGCTGGGGATGCCCGTTGATGAGGTAGCCGTCAACTGGAAGGAAATAGAAGGTGAGTGTGTAGCTGGAGTGTATTGGTGACTCCATTCCCAGGGACTCCCTCCTGATAGAGTATTCTCATGCCTAGCCTATTATAGCCGCCCCCTACTGTAATCAGATCCAAGAACTATGTATTGGTGTGTATACAGTGGAGCCCCTCTAATCTGGGACAGAAGAACAGTGTCCATATTAGTGAGGCGTTCTTACGTCAGGGCTAAAATGGTATGCAAAGAACTAAGAAGGTCCTCCATTTCAGCCGTTTTCATACACCTCTTGCCTCTACCTCTCTCTTCCCTCTCTCTCACATCTGTGTGCAGGTTCAAAGCTGGTGCCAGTCTGGAGCTGGCTTCAAATGGGCAGGGACATCCTCTTCATTAGGTTGCGGTACACGTTCGGAATCTGGAGGATTGGCTCAAACAAGCCAAAACAGCAGTAGCCAAATTTTCCTTTTTCTTCCTGTTATCCCCCTCACTTTCTACTGAGTATTTCGTAATACAACTCCATACTCTGCACCTCCGAGCTATACTACTGCACCTCGTAGCTTATTTTCATGATTTTCAGTTTGTAGTAAGATAGAGGGAAAAGATGAAAGTTTGGAATACTAGTGAGATTGGTAAAAGGCGAAAGTTTAGATAATTGTAGAGGAAAGACGAACTGGTTTTCATCATGCATTTGGACAAGTTGAGGAAATGTTATGTTGAAAATAATGACTAATAATTATTTCATTGTATATTTAGTGTAGGGGCTCACGCACCATAGTGGCATAGTGGTGGTCCACATGCAGGTGACCAAAGTGACCAAAAGTGACCACAGGGTGACGAAAAGAAACCAAATAGTATAAGAGTTGGATGGACGGATAACTGAGCTCACAAAGTCTTGAGTTTTTTGTGTTTTGTTGGGATGAATTGCGAAGAGAGAGAGTGAGAGGGAAAGTTTACAGCAAGAGAGGCGGTGAGGGCGGTGATGTATATAGTAACTCAATATGACAGTGTTTGCGGAGCTAAGGGAATACAAAAGAAGCCTTTGAGGTAGTGGACAAAAGATAAAACATATCTGGGTCTCTACGGGTAGCGGTGTGTTGTGTGGGGGGTGAGTTGGGACTATTGGGATGCATCTGTGAGTGTGTATCCGTTGCCGGAGTACGAGTTACCAAGCCCAAACACATTCCCACAGTACGTCTCTTCGTTTATGTGGTCGTCGAAAAACACCTGCCAAGATGAACAGAAACAGTCTTCATAAATCAGAGTGGATATTGTCATTTTATCAGGCTGAATAGTCTTATATGTACATCGGTGGGGAAAATATTTTCTTTAAGCCCGGGATATTTTGCTGGAAGGACTGACTACAGTGCAGGTTGCATGCAGAGAGAGAGTGAGAGAACCTAAAACAGTGTAATTATTTGAAGCTCAGTGTGACTGAAAATTTCCTAGCAGTAGCTACACTGCAGTCTGACGCAGCTTGAGTAAGTCCACGTTAGGTCTGTATGTACGACAATGCAGGCGGTGATTATTATGATGGACGTACTTGTTTCATCCTGAAGAAAGCAGCTCCAGTGAGGAAGCTGTCGCTGCCAGCCTGGTGCTGTTTGCCCACCCTCTCCAGCTGTGAGATACCAGCAGACAGAGTACAGATAATAACTAGACACATTTTTGGCGGTTTTACTCAAAATACATATGGCAATTATCAGTAGATAGCACCTGTTTTACATTCTGTAGAAATATCACGTGATTTAGACGACTGGGTTGGGTTATTCGCTCACCACCATTAGTAGAGGTCATAGTACAAACAAATGCCACACACGTTTTTTTTGTTTTTCACGAGCAAACCCAAAAGTATTCTCTACAGTAGAACATTTGATGCTCCCCCGTGAGCTAAGAATTATATCTGACCTTCAGAGAATCTGCGACTTCTTGCAGGCCACCCTTGAGGTTCTTGCACGACTTCATGAGGTACTTTACGTCGTAGACTTTCGGGAAGAAGTAGGACATGAGGTCGAAGAAATCGCTCTCTTCCTCCGGCAGTTTCTGACAGGTGAGGACTCTCATGAGGTAGCCAAAGTCATAGCCACTGGAGTGATCGATACAGCAAGGGAGGGAGGGAGGGAGGGAGTGAATGGCAAAGTATAGAGAGAGAGAAGGGAAGAGCGAAAGAGGAAGGGAGAAGTAAAAAGAAGTAAAGAGAGAGGAACATAAGGGAACGTGTGCGAGTTAGGGTTTTTACGGGGGAAGGGGGCTAGGGGTCCATGTGGCCTCAAATAAACTCACGACCCCTTAATTTCAGCTTTGCCCCCGCTCCCTGACATTTCCCATAAAATACTTGGAGAGAGGTATGCATGAAGTGCTGGGAAAGGGAAGTTTGTGGGGACCTGGCGAAGGTGATCCAGCTGATCTCTTCTCTGAGAACCAGCCCAGAGGAGGTCAGCAGCTCGGCAAAGTTGGACATCTCGATCCCTTCCTCTTCGTGCCGCTTGAACTGGATCCCGGCCTGCGTCAGCATGTCGATGGAGTCCTGCGCATACATGTCCTCACTGCAGATAGTGTGTGTGTGTGTGTGTGCAACAGGGAGGGTATGGTTGAAAGGAATTGTCAATCGGTTTGTACAAAGAAAACCAACTGATGTCACACCGACGTCATCAATTCCCTCTGATACTTGAACACATCTATATAGATCTGTACCAGAATATTGACAATTCCCTTTCAACCATATACCCTCTTTTTTTTCTCTCTGTACACTGTAGAAGTGGGTATGTTTGAAAAAGCAGTTCTTTGACTGACCACCATGAGCTCTCAGAATGGTGTTTTGATCTCTACACAGACAGATGTGACGCGCGCGCACACACACAGGCAGAGCCGGTACTGACAGAGAGGACACCTGTTGACACACATGCCCGGCAAAAGACGAGGGGAGATAATGAAGTGCCAGCGGTGGGCTTAATTGAGTGAGAAAACTGCAGGTTATAGATCTGTAGTTTTGCACCCATGGACAATGACACATGATACTGGGCTATGTATATACTGTAGGCACTGCTGACTAATCCGGTGAGGGGTGGTGCCTTGTGAAGAGTAAATTTTTCATACACGAGAAATTGTAACATGTCTAGTGAAATTAACAGAGCCACACCCACAAGACACCAGAGGGGGATGTAATACAATAGCAGAAGGGGGAAAACCCTTTGCTCTTTGGCAGCAAAAACATTAACCCAGTTGCTTGTTCCACAGTATGTGTACAAATGGTCTACGAAAATTTCTCACAGAAAACGTGCCCATGTTCTAACACAAAACTAAGAGGTTTTCTTTCCAACTACATCGTTTAAACTTACTAAAAAGGACTCTCTATAAAGGATACTTAGTAGAGGTCATAGTACAAACAAATGCCACATGTTACTCGTTAAGAGTGCAATTCTACCTCCGAGTAAGGGACGCCTCTGAATAGAGGACACCTTTCGACGTCCCAAAGGTGTCCCTTACTCACGAGGTTTCACCACCTATGGTGCTACACTCCATGTACTACCTGAGACAGAATTTGAAGTTAAACTGGAAGGTGGAGATGCCCGGAGGTCTCTCTCCCTCGTTGTTGTAGAAGGTGATCCCGAGTTGGATGAGTTTGAGGAGGTTCACGTTGGTCTGTAGCAGTTGGTACTGGTAGTCTGAGGCACTCCTGAAGTCTCCGATCGGTTTGGCCACTATCCCTGGGAACTCCGTGTCCTTTTGGAGACGAGAGAGGAGAAGAGAGAGAGAGGGAGAAAGAGAGAGGAGAGAGAGAAGAGAAGAGAGAGAGAGAGAGAGGAGGCAGGAAAAAGTCAGGAGTACAGAGGGGGGAAAAGGATAGAATAAGAAAAAGGAACGTGCAATGAAAAGTGTGTTGCACAACAATAGAATTTTAAACAAAACAATTCGTCACTGCAGTTATCCAACACATGAACAGCAGTCAGTCACTGGAGACGGAGATGGAACAAGATTTCTACCGCAAGGCGCGGTGACATGAAGAAGGTTCACAGGAGACGGGACAGCAAGAGTAGAAGTGAGTGAGAGGAGGGAGAGAGGGAGGGGAGGGGGATAAGATGTGTAATGCGTGATCAAAACTTGAAATAAGACTTGGTGTGGTATATGTGTGTGATGAGTGTATAAATTATGTTGTGTGTAGAGTCTGGAGGGTGGTGGGCTGAGAGCTGACTGCAACAGGTCCAAGAGAGATTGCTCAGAGAGTCAGCTACCGTCTCACAATGACGAAACATCCAAGGTAGACTCACATCATGTTGACGGTCACATGACGGCAACAAAAGGTGATAGTCAACCATGACTACTCTCCCCCCCAGGAGCTGAGTCATGTGGAGATAGTCAGCGGAACGCCATGGAAGACTCCCAGCAACCCTGCAACCATGAAACACAGCTCCTTCAGCAAAGTAGTTTACATTCTGTCTTCTGGAGTTCTGATAGTGTTCGCTCACTGCAGCTATTTCCAGTCTGTGTGGCATATTTGAAGAGAAGATTGAGTTTTTTATAGGAACAAGTGGTGGAGACTGGAGAGACCACACTTTGTCTTGCGCGTCGGTCGCGACATCGTAGTCCCATCAGGAGTGAATTCTTTTACCATCCTCTCTTCACTCTCTACTCTGGGTGGTGCGGTGTAGAGATGTTCTTTGTTTTCAGAATTGTAGACTCTCTCAAGTTGCAGTACAAACCATTCGCTTCTGCTGGCAGCCATCAACTGCAACCATCTCCATGACAAGTCCAGGATTACAGCTTATACATGTGAACCTATCAGCCTAACTGAAACACAATGTGAAAGGTTCTATATTATACCAGTTGATAGTGTTTCACGAATACAGAAAGTAAAAAACATTGCCAATTTGGCCTTGGCATGACATATATATCTAACTGTGATTTCTAATCTGAGTGTTTTGGTGGTCCAAACTAAATGTACAATTATTGTTCACTTTCCCATTGTCGATCTCTGTTAATATTCAGATACTGAGCCGAGCAGCTATCTGCCTACCGTCGAGTGAGTTCCTAATAGACTCCACGAGATGTTTAGAAAGATAGGCAGGAGGAGAAGAGAAGAGTTGAGATGGAGGAGGAAGAGGTAGAAGACTGGAACGATCCTCCCTTCTCTGCACAAGCAATGGCAGCCAGGGCCACCCACTGCTAACTCAAGCGCCATTCTCTCACTGACATTGTAGCTCGGGGAGGGGAGAT